CTCGATATCTTGACCAAGCTTCCAATTGGTTAAGGCCCCAGGGAAACATGTCCAGTAGGAATGAATTCCTTTTTTTAAACCAACAAGGGAAAGTAATAATAATTAAACAAAAAGAACGGAGACAAGTGAGCAGAAGCCAGCATGAGGTCCACTTTCATGGCCGCACTGTATGAAGTATGTGATTTCTTTAGGATCTTTTTTTTTCCGGGTGTGCCTCAGCATTCTGTATTTGTGTGTGTGTGTGTGTGTCGGTGTGTGGTTGCTTTTTAAGGGTGCTCTCTCCAGCTTTAAAGGGACCCAACAGATTTGGCCCATGTTTGGCGAAGCCACCGCAACTCCGACCCAATAGCAATCAAACAAAATTCGGATAGATGTCTTCCTCAGTCAGAGGCTCTGGCTAGGCTTCCGGAGTAGTTCTGGGGGTTGCTATTGGGATGCCACCTAGGCTTGTTGCTCCTATAGTTGTTGAGGGGACCAGGGACCCCTGGAAAAAAAAGCAACCCAAGAGTTGAACTAGACACAAAAACAGCCTTGTTGCTAAAATCGCCCTATTGAGATTGGGGGGCCCTAGTGGGAGGCCCTGTTGGGAGGCCCTATTGGGAGGCCCTTGATGACCACTTCGTTCAATGTTGGGACCAATTTACATTGTAGCAGTGATTGCCTTGACTAAAATGATGCGATACTTTGTCAATTCTGGGACCATTTTACATGTTTCGCCTTGAGAAAATGATGAATACAGAACATGTTTCAATCTTAGGTTTGCGGTTGAAGGCATGGGATGCATTGCTGCTTCCGTTAGGAGTGGCCGGCACCTTTGGGCGGCACTGTGACTGGACCAAGTTCTTCGCTGCGAGCCGCGAGGACGGACGCGGACTCGATCGATTTGCGCGAGGCAGTCGGCTGGAAAAAGGAAGATGGCGAGGAAATCTAGGCTCATTTAACCAAACTCCCTTTTCCCAAGTTGTTGGGTTTAATCGTTTTGTGGGAAGACAAGTTTAGTGACAAGCAACAGACATGTTGTTTGACCAATCCACGCAAGAAGTGAGAAGTTGTTTCTTTCTTTGCAGGTTGCGATAGGTTTCTTCATTTCAGCTGGTAGGTTCTTTATTCAGGTTTCTCAGCTTTCGAAGCGCTTTGGATGCCCCTGCGATTTCACCAGTTCTCCAGTTTCCGGACTCGAACCTTCCACATGGTTGTGGAAAACATGCCTTTTCGCCGTTTTCAGAGATTCCAAGGAAGGCTCTTTAGATGATACGCCATAGTCAAGGGATGGGAATCCGACTTTGGCATCACAGAAATCGTTATTTTCACGACCATTGATGATCATGTTACAGAATCATGTTATACATTTTTTCGCCGCAAACCACGAGTCTGGTTGCTTTGCTTGACCAAATCCACCGAAAGTAGTTGGAAGAGGCAGCTTTGTGCTCTTCGAACCACATAAAGTGTCTTTCTTGTGGAACCCTCGTTTCAGGTGAATCTTTCTGATTTATCCAGGTCATTTGCGGGAGCTTCCTTTGAATATTTTGCGCGTTTAGGTCCAGTTTAGGTCTTGGTCAGCCTTACATACTGGAGCCTTATTTTGGCCCCTTTTCACGGTGGCCAATGTCGTGCCCCACCACGGTTTCTTCCAAATAGTGCTACAATCGTTTCAGGCCTTAGGGCCCGAACTAGATAGCAATACGGAGGCGATGAGGCCCTTTCGTGGAATTTATGGAGCTTGCAACTCGCGTGGGCGACATCCCCCTTTGGGCAGGAGAAGAGGGAATCCTGGCGCCTCCGCGTACGTGGCAGCTGGTTTGAAATCGCGGCTTGGTCCGAAAGCACAGGCCTTCACCATAAGTCCCAACCGGAACATTGGGAAAACGGTGCCCCTGCAACATCCACAGAAAGCACCTCTCATGGGAACTTTGGATTACAGCCACCCCACCCCCCCAATCACTAGAGGAGATGCTTCACTTTTCTGGAGACACCTGTTGATGCACCCGGTTCATAATTCTGAGGCAGGTGTGGTTTGCAGGGGGCAAGGTTTCAAAGCTGTTAGTTGTCCACAGCCGCGACGCAACTTCTGTCGCTCTTCCTTTCCAGTCGGTTTTCTGGGCAAACTTCCCATGTGGGCAAACGAGCCCGGGCCCATGATTAAGGTGCTTGCCTCAGGGGGGTTCTTGTGGAAAGGTAACTGCTCGTTTTTCGGCGCGGTTACTGGCAATACTTTGCGGCGCGGTTACAGCACGATCTCTCTTGTGGAGGTGTCGTGCATAGAAGATGCGTTGTTTGGTTCAGTTTGGTTCAGTTCTGCCTGGAGATAGCGCTCCCAATATAGTTAGACTGCTGGACATGCTTTTGCACTTGCCTAGATGCCAGCTTTTTTGATTTGGGTTTTCCGGTTCTGAGGCAGCGCCGCCAGTACAACCCGAAAGATTGGCCTTTTGCTTGCGGCTCATTTGGACAAGTCTGCCTAGACAATGTCTATCCTTGATATCAAACACGGGTTGATAATAAGGAGTGGGCCATTTTAAAGGCAATGCTTCACTTTCGGAAGAAAACACTTGCAGCAAGTTGGTTGATCCGGGGTCGACACTACCCTACTTATTGTGGAAAGCATGTTTCGTCAGATTGGCCATCAGCAGCGAGAACCGTGTCCATTGTACCATCGCTAGTCAAGGCAAAAATGTGGGCACTTTCATTTCTAGACCCTCAAAGGCAGAGTTTTGACTGTCGCCTTTTCGGACCATGTTCAGTCAGTCAACGTTGGCCCAGGTGAATCCCTTCTGCCTTCTGACCTGTTGCTGGCTTCGCGTGGAGTAAGGTCGAATGTCTTAGCTTGGGCTCAAGAGCTCTCTCAACTTGCCCAAGCTACAGTACCTACATCCCGTGTCTCTCTCCCCCGTGTCTTTACTTGCGCAATGGCAGACAGTCCGTTGCCGCAGAGCTTGAGCTGCGCAAAAGGTTCAGAAGGAGAACTTGGGTTTGGTTCAGAAGTGGCAAGAGATCGTCTCCGCCGCCCAGCCTGAGGACAAGCTGGTCACGCCAACAGATGCGGATTTGGACAAGCGCCGCAGCCTCACTGAATACCTCTTCAGCTCGGATGCGAAGCTCGTCCGAGAATTTCCGTGGCACCTGCAAGGGGAGGGCCGGGCTTTGCCCCGACGGCAGGCCAAAGGAGTGATGTTCCTTACGGGCCAAGAGAGGCCCACACTCTTGTCACGTGATGAAGCTTAGCAATGGGCTGAGGGCGAACTGCCCAATGTTGGGCAGTTCGCCCTCAGCCCGTTGCCAACCTTTCTCAGGTAAACTCATTGGCAGGCAAGAGAGCACCCAGAAAGTCCTTCGCCAACCAGATCACTATGCAGTTCGCCGTGAGAGCTTTTGCCAGGTCCGCGCAACCAGGCCGGGTCTCGAGGACCTGGCCAAGGCCCTCACGGCGATCTGCATGGTGACCATCCTGCATGATCAAGATTTGTGTGAGCAAGGCATCAGCGGGGAGATGTGGTGCAGGACTCCACGGTGTCACGGATTCAGTTGCAACAACCGAATTGGGAAACAGAACGCACCAAATCTTGGTGGCTCCCGCCCAGCCATCCCCTTAGTTTTTGTTGCCTTCTAGTTTTTAGTGGTAGTTTCCATTTAACCCACTAAAAGCTAAACTTTTAGCGGGGGATCTGAGAACAGCCCAGAAATGTGCAAGTTCGCTTCCACGGAAGATTCTGCAGTTTGCACGTCGTGGAAATCCACTTTCTCGCACCGAGTTTCAGCTTTTCAAACACGCCCAGCGCCAGGCAAAGCAATGGTTTGCAGCCACGCGGAAAGCGGCCCGTTCCTCTTTTTTTGGCATCCATTGCGCCATTGTTGGTCAAGGAAAAAAGCTGGGCGCTTTGATTAATAGACCCTCAAAGGGCAGAGTTCGTTGGGTCCAACTTGGCTTGTGCGAAAGACAGGTTGTTTTGCAGGTGACCTTTTCCAGGTTCTCACTTGTTCTGCCAGGGATGGGAAGAACGGGAAGGGGCTGCCCTGGAAGCCACACGGGATGATTTTCGTCGCGGTCCTATCAAACCAGCAAGCGAATGCGTTTGCAACGGGAAGCCAAAAGTCAAGCCGAAATCCATTTTGTGGGTCCCCTATTCATGGTTGTTGTTGGGAAACATTTTACATTCTTATTGTGGTTTAGTGGTTGAAATCCAACCACTTAACTGCTAAAGTGTATTTTTTTGCTCCCCTTCCAACGTCAACCAAGTATTTTAGTACAGACCTAGCTTGCCAAATAGTCACAGGCTTTCCAGCTTCCTCTTCGCAGTTCGCGGCTTGGATTGCTGGTTTGGTGGTTCAGGGAAATTCTTGTCTACCCTCTAGGGTTCAAATCCCCAAAAGCGCCAACCAAACCTCCAATTCAGGGAACTCACCGGCAGGTTGCCGGGATCCAGTGATGCCGGAAAGTTCCCCAAGATGCGCTCTACTCAGTTTTGCATTCATACTTTGTGGAGGATGGGTGCTGGAAGGCGTTATTGATTTTGTCCGTTCCTCACGTTGCGGACTTTTTTCTCAAATGGACGCCTTTGGGTGGTCAACAGAAAGTGCAGACTTGTTGGCCACTCCGCTGAAGAAGCGACTTTCTTTTATTTTTTCAAGAAGGGTCTTGCTGGGTGTGCGTCATCGCTTGACGAGCAGCTTCTTTTTGCAGAGGGGCACAGAGTTTCATTGGCTGCCTTCCATTGCTGAACCCAAGATGATAGTTGCCCTGCCTGTCGAATGTGAAGCTCAGGCACCTCGTGGGCTCAAAGCAGCCCTTCTGCCATTTGCTTAAGAATATTTTGTTGTGTTTACCCGTTGGTTTCAAAGGGACTCTATCACTACTGGAAATATATATATATATATGTTTATATATTTTTGTTTCCATCGGACTTAAGCAAATGGAAGCCTCCATCGCTCCTTAAGCGTCGGTTTGGTCGCCTTGCGTGTAATATTGCGCTTGAAGACACCAAGCTTCTCTGAAAGTCTTTGGAATGAGATCCTTGCATCATCACTGCTTGGCGCTGGGACGGTTTTGGCCCAACTCCTTGCGGATTTGTCAGAGCAGGTTCCAGTCGGTGTGCACAAAGAGTTGGGAGGTGAGCTCCCTGGGTCGAGTGAAGAACCTGAAGGGTGCTGTGCACCACGGGACCCTGAGCTGCAACGGTTACAGACGAGCCTTTATTGAGGGGAAGAATTACCTAGTGCACCGCTTGGTGGCAAGAGCATTTCGTGGGCCTCCTCCTTCCGCTGCCCACACGCAGGTGAATCACTTGGATGGCGACAGGGAAAACAACAGGATTGAGAACCTTGAGTATGTCACGCCGCTTGAAAATTCGATTCACAGGCAGAACAAGCCGGGACGCACAAAGGCAGTCAGGTGCCGGCCTCGTGATGGAGGGCCGTGGGAAACATTTTCTTCTCAACGCGAAGCAGCTCACGCTCTAGGGCTGGATGCCTCTGCTGTTAGCCATTGCTGCTCAGGTCGCCAACGGCATGCTGGCGGGTTTCAATTTAAGCATGCTGTCGAACCAGAGCCGGCAAGGTTAGCAGGAGAGGTTTGGCGAGCAGCTCACTACCCCGGCATTAACGGTGCTCTTGAGGGCTGGATGGTGAGCAGCCAAGGCCGCATCAGGACTCATGTGGGACACATTACTCGCGGGAGCCGCCTTGCATCAGGCTATTTGATGGCTCATTGCCGCTTAAGAGCTGCTAACCTCAACCGAAAGTTCCTGGTGCATCGCTTGGTTGCTGCAAGTTTCTTTGGGCAGCCCAGCTCAGCTGACCTTCAAGTCAATCACTTGGATGGCAACCGGGCAAACAACATCGTTAACAATTTGGAGTACGCGACGCCTGCGCAAAACGTTCAGCATGCATACTCACGAAGGGCTGGCGGCAAAATTGAGCGACCCAACGCATTCAAGCGCCTGTTTGCCCGTCAGATTTGCGGCACTCACTGCTGGATGCACTTTGAGTCTGTAAAAGAGGCTGCTGCACATACTGGCGTATTCACCAGTCATATTTCTATCGTTCTCCGTGGGGGACACGGCTATGCAAAGAATTGGGAGTTCAAGTTTGCAGTCAGTGAGGAGCTTCGCGGTGAGGAATGGCGTCAAGTGATACTTGATTGGTCGTGTGCTTCTGGGTATGGCGCCAAACTGGCGCCGGCTGAATGATAGAGGGCTTCAACATACTTTGCAGTGTCAACAGAGGAAGCCAATGAGCTGCAAATGTGTACTTCGCGTACTACGCTTGCAAGTAGATTGCAACATTTGAGCCGGAGTCGCAACACACTGCAAAATGATAAGGAGTAAGAACAACACGACAACCATGCAAAGGATCGAACAGGTTAGCACCGCCTTTGTCAACATTGTAAGAACCAAGGGCATGTTGCCCATCAGGCCACCAGTTGGGATATAAGTGTGTGTGGGTGTGTGTGTGTGGGTGTGTGTGTGTATTTAAGGATTCCCTCAAAGACCAGCCGAAAGGAAAAGGGGCTTTGGACACGCCCAAATTGCTGTGTTTGTGCTGCAGGGAGGCACACTTTGTTTGGCCCAACGCCACTGTTGAACCTTCCTGGCTCATGTTTTACCTCTGCGCAGGTGAGTACGTTGACCTTCGATGCATGGGTCCTGGCAAGATTTGGCTTCCCCCACCAGACGTACCCGTGCAAAAGGTGGACCTTCATTGGCTTGACCTTGTGGGATGTATGAAGCCAATGATCGCTACCTGAGTCGTGACTCTCGATTGAGAAGCCTCCCAGTGATTTGTCAGGGATCTCCACTGGCAGAAAGAGCCCCTCTAAACCAGCAACCTCCTTTGTCATTTTCTACTTGCTCACACAGTGATGCTGCTGATGCTGCTTTGTTCTTCCCTTTCAGTTGGCGGTGCCACAATCAGCGGGGCTTGGGAAGCTTGCCTGATTTGTGAATGATACTGGCTGTGGAGGGTCTGCACCTCTTGGTAGGTTAGGCTACTTCAACTTTCTTATGGATATTTTATGTTCCCCTGTTGATTTTAAAGGGAATCTATCACAGGCGACTTCATCAAATGTATGTTAATCCATCCCAGCCTTGCCGCGAATCGGATTGAGGTGAACCTGGCGCGGATTTTTCCAGAGGCGCAGGCGGATGAGAGTTGGATGCGGACCCAGTGGGAGGCAGAAACCGGGGTCAAGGATGTGTTCCGCACCAGACGCTTGGCATAGGATCTTCAGATCCACCCTACTTTGATTGTTCAACCAGCCTAGTAGGTTATGACCATTGTTCTAAGTGGGGGAACCGGGCTTGAGGGCCAGTCCAACCTATTTGCCAGGTACAGCTCCCAAGTAACCCTCCTCCATTGTCCCCCTGGTTTCCTCCAAACAGGACCACCAGGTAGACCCCCCTGCAGCCCAGCACTGGCCAACCGGCTCGTTGTTATGAAACGTAGTCTGGAAACAGTTTCGTTTTCGTTTTGGTTGAAAATCGATGTCGACTTCCTGGTTGACCTGTTGCCATCTATTTCCCCAAACCGACACTCTATGGTTGGAACTCTTCGGCAACGAGTACTCGGCGACCCCAGTTCCCTCTTGGTTGCCTCCCAAATTTTAGGCCATGAGTTAGGGATTATTTTTGGAGAAACGGCGAGTTCGGGGGGCGGGGTGGGAGCGAATTCGATGGAATTCGAGGTGGGGGACCGCTTGTGGCTGCCTTTTGAGGGTACTTTTTTGGCGAACAGAACGCAGCGAGCGGTCAATCACCTGCGGTTTGCCTCGGTTTTCCTAGCGGAACCCCTAAGTTCTTGCCGAGCCTTTCCTCAAAAAGAGGGTCTTCGGCTCCCTTTGGAAAGCTCCGGATTTGGCCAGCCATCGTGGAATTTGGTTGCCAAACCACCTTGGGATGAAAGGAAGTACGCTGCTTGCCATGTTGTTAGTCGCTGAGTTCACTCGGACCTTTCCTAGATGATCAGTTCTTCAAAATGTAGCTCGAATCTCTTTGTTTCTCTCAAACGGCAGGGATCAAACGGTGAACCATGACCTCCACAGAATTCCTACTATGGTCCTTATCAATAAATTCACAGAAACTCCCCTTTTTCCAAGTTCCTGAGTACGCTTGATTCCCGTATTAGGGTGTGTCTCAGAATACTGGAACCCTCCAAACTGCTTGGTCCCTTTAGCACCCTAAATAAAGCCGCCACAGAACACCATGGGATATCTGTCTTTCTGGAGACTTCCGCACTTGCGAGCTGCGCCCAGGATTGTGGTCGGGCACCTCGGCAGCAGTCAGAGAGATTCGCCTCCGCTTGCACCCCTTGCTCCCTGTCTGCTTGGTGGGCTCCCCACTCGGATTTTTGTTTACCCTCCTGTCGACTAAAACTTATGGAACCCGGCGGAGAAATGGTCCCTTCAAAGGAGAATCGTCCAAACCAGAACCCCTCAGTCAGATTCCATGTTAGTGGACAGGAGGGTAACGCCAAGACGACTTCACCCTTTTTCTGCCGCGCAAAATGCCTGTGTGTGGAGGATGGGCTGAAAAAAGCCCCAAAAGTCTTGGTTCAACTGTGGGGCAACAGCGTTCCCATTTTTTGAAGTTTTTTCTTTTTTGGGGACCCATTGGAATCTCATACGCGATCCGTATGATTTTGGGTGGCACTGAGTTCCCGGACTTGCCTTCTGGGAAGACCATTCTAATGTCAAATGATTTTTGTTTGGACTGATGGAAAGTGAAAGCCTCCCTTCCCGTTGTTCACTTCTTGGGTTTGTACCATTTTAGTGGCACTCAAGCTTGGACTCGTTTCGGGCCGTGTCGCGCCATGCACTCAGGAAGCGAGAAAGTGAATCATAGAGAATCAGGAATCAGCCCTTGGAATTATTGGCTTGTGTGCTTATGCCAAATCAGCCTGTGCGGGTCGTCAAAGATTGATGGGCTTACATCTATTTTGCATGAGCCAGCGTGCAATTAGTGTCTTTTTTGTTCGGGTGCAAGTGCAATCAAGCCAATATAAGCCGCAAGCTGAGCGAGGTTGTTTCGCCTTTATGGGGTTGTGCTACAGCAAAACTCAAGGAAACCCCATTCAGTGATTCATCGATTTTGAGAGAAACATTTAGTCTAGCGCCATTGGCGACATTCGGACGTTTTTCCCTCCTCAGGAGCAGTGATGGATTCAGGCGGGTCCTTTCAGTTTGGATATTCTCCCTGAAAGTTGACATGGGAAAAAAACCCAGTAGGGGGTTCGCTAAAACGAGATTCCCCTACAAATGGATATTATTTGGCTTCAATGTGAATCTGCATGAAGCACCTACGTGAGTGTTAAATAGCCACTATTCTTGGGTTTTCATGATTTTCCATGTCAAAGGAGCGCGAAACGGGATGGATATGTTTGATGTTCCCCCGCTCCCTGTCATTTTGGCCCCGCTATGATTGGTGTACCCAGCTCCAGCCTCGCGCTTTTTTTGCAATGCTCAGATACCAGGCAACACCATCCAGAAGAGTTTGCTGATGGCCGTCCACACAGCTCGGAATCACCTGGATGACGCTGACATCTTCTGCTGGCTCGAGCTGGACAGCGCAGCTTGTCCAATGGGGAAAAACGGATGCGGGTATACCAACTAGGGCTGCGCCAAGTTCTGAGTTCCGGTTGGCCACTATTGCTTTAGCAACCTCATGTCTTGATGGGTGTTTGCTTGGATCTTTGGACTTTAATTTTCTGGTTGAAACAGCTGAGATTGCCCATTGGACCCACGCTAAGCCAAAAGCTTTTTGCAGAGAGGTCGTTAAAGCAACCAAGATGTCGGCTTCCTTCCAAGGGCGCCCCCAACAGGACAACCATAATTTTAAGGTTCCCTAAAAAAGAGACACCCAAATGGAGGGGGGGGGAATGGTGCCACAAGTTTACCCAACGGACATGTTGATCTGGGGGCTCCGGTTCTTAGGTTCCCGCTGCAAGTCACTCAGCGCCCCTTTTCGAGGCGTTCATCGCGGAAAACCTGCGAGCCTTCGCGCGAGTGCAGAACCTGCGTGCTGAGGACCTGTTGAGAGAATCGGACCTTAAGCCAGAGTTGCAGTTGCGAGTTCCTGGAGTTTAGTCACCCTTTACTTTCTTTAATGAAGTTGTGCAAGGATGATCAAGATCAAGACCACATGTAATTATGTAATTCTTGAAATATCACATTTGGTCTATTCCATCATATTTCGACTCATTTCCATGAAATTGACCTCTACTTGCTCCTTGATCACTTTAGCGGCAAACAAACAAACAGTTTGGACTTGTTCCCCCAGCTGAACGCTTCGGGCTCTCAGATAAATTCGTCTCTGGCATGGTTCGGAGCAGCTGAAGAAGCGCTTGCAGGCCTTCTCGGGCTCCGCAAAGGTTCCGGGTGCTGTTGGGGATGCTCTTTTGCTTATCGCCCTTTGCCCTTTCTTGGGGTTCGACAGAAATCAAAGGGTGCCCTTTCGTTCCCCAAGGCCAAAGGAGATCTGTGGCTGTTCCTCATTGTCCTTTGCCCTTTCTTGGGGTTGGACAGAAACGCCAAAGGCTGCTCTTCCGTTAAGGCCACACCCTGGGAATCCCAAGGCACCCATGAAGAAAATGGCCTTGACACCGAAAATTGGATGACAATCCTTAGGTAAACAATGGTGGTATAGGAGCCCAACCCTTTTTTTTGTGGGGGAAAACCGAACCCCAGGCCACAGGATATTTGTGGCTTTTGCTTTGTTCCATTCTGCACTGGTCTTGGACCATCAAGTTTTGACGCAAGAAAAGGCAGGCCGCCCGTGTTATGGAAGCTACCCCGTTCCAACGCTTCTCACAGACTGCAGTTGGATCCAGAGAGGCCTTTTGGCGAGTTCTCCACTCACCCCCTACTCCAAATGCCCGCTTGAAGGGTCTATGTTGAAGGAGAGTCCATCGCACATACGGCCTTTTTTCAGTCAGGGGTTGGCTCATACCCCAAACAAGCCCAAGACATATCCCCCAGCAGCCCCGGAGCCTCCCCCGAATCAAACCACCCCAAAGGTAGGATTGGCGGATTGACCCCAGTCGCTCGTGCATTTGGAGGGAAACCTGTACGCAAAGCTTGATTTGATTTACCTTGAGGTTGGGCCAGTTGATGCCTCCAGGCTGAGCCTCTTCGTAGCTGTAGCATTTGTTTCGGCCAGTGAGGAGCCCTACTTTGTTGCGGCATTGCACTTGGGCCGTGGGCTCGGTCAGACAGAGCCAGTTGGGCAGCAAAAGCGTGAACTGAACTATCCAGACCGCGCAGGTTGCGAGCGGTCGGCCCCTGTAAATCATGTTTGTTCCACAGATGGAAGGGCCGTTTGAGATGTCCAAGTTTTGGTGCAACAGGTCCACTTTGCTTTCAAGTTGGTTGTTGGGTTGGTGTTTGGCTCTTGGTTCGGCTGGTTTGCGCTTTGTTCTTCTGTGCTTTGTGCTTGGGTCTTGGTTTCGTTGGCTGCTGGCTCTCCAGATCTCAGTTTCCGGGGTTTTGGCACCGGCCTCGAAGTTCCCAGCATGTGCGTGTTGCTTGCCCAGGCAAGGCGCGAGCCCCTGAGCCATGTTCAACATTACTCTCACTTGCCCAAGGCGAATTTACCTTTGACCTTGTAGCTTTCGGCCGTTTGGTCCATTTGCAGTCATGGCCCCAAACGATTAACCCTACTTAAAAAAAGGAAAGATACTTTATGATGACCTTTCCCGTACGCCTTCATATTTCTGGGGCCTTTGGGCAACTGAGTACTTGTTCATTGCCAGAGAGCGAGTTTTTTGGAGCGCCTTCAGAGAGTGCGCTTGTTTTCCTTTTATCCAACTCCACAACGTAGCAGGATCTGAAGAACCTCTCACTTCCTTGGAACACGTGTGGCTTCCCACCAATCAACTTTTTGCGCAGGTGGCACCAGCTACCAAGTTGTGGGTTCTTATTTGGCCATTCAAGAGTGATGCAGAATCCTATAGAATCCTTTTGTCAGATGGTAGTGATTCCCTTGTTGTACTAGGTCCTGGTCTCTGATGGGGAGAATCTGGATATTCCCCCCCTCCCGATTTTGAACAAGCCAGGTAACGGTCCGTTGCGCTTTTGTCAGCTTCAACATGCTATATTCCACAGAGCCCATTGCAAACATCGGTCACCAGGGCTTCTTCTGGGAAGCAACGCAGGTGGATGCCCCTGGCCAAAATTGCAAGAAAGGGAAGAAAGAAATCCTGTATTTTATCGTGATTTTATGGTCCTCTGCTTGGGGAGGGTGGGTTTGCAAGCCATATTTACGACAAATCCAGGAATTTGTTGCGATTTCACGGTGCTGTGGTTGGGGAGGGTTGGTTTGCAAGCCATATTTACGACAAATCCAGGAATTTGTTGTGATTTCACGGTGCTGTGGTTGGGGAGGGTTGGTTTGCAAGCCATATTTACGACAAATCCAGGAATTTGTTGTGATTTCACAGGGTTGGTTTGCTGCCAGCTGCAAACGCCACTGTTGCCACTCACTTGCTGGTTTTCAAGGAGGCATGTTGAAGCAACTTTTGAACACCAGATCTTCTCTGCCCGCTTTTCCGCGCCTAAAAAAAAAAAAAACGCGACGCGACCCCTCCGTTTCCCTCGTCCGTTCGGGTGAGGCATGAAGCTCCAGGTGGGGATCTTCCCGCACACCGCCGGGGGCATTTGCGTCACAAAGGCGGGCCTGGCGCGCCTGGCCAGGCACTTGGAGCGGCGCCTTGGCTTCGACATAGGGCCCCACGAAGCGCGCGAAGCTGGCCTTCGCGCCCGGGGGGGGGGGGGCGAAGACCTAGCAGTGGAACGGAATCCCAAGCCAACAAAAAGGAAAGGGAACCTGCATGGAGGTCTGGAGTTTTTGAGGACTTCATTTTTGTGGGTCCAGATCCCGTTTCTTGACACAGAGCCAAACGGAAATACGAGGTCGTATCCCCAACAGCCCGGAATCTCCGGAAGTTTCCCTGAAAGAGCTGCTATGAATCACTCTGGAGCCGATCTGGGCGCAGAGAACCCCTAAGCTTGCAGCTGGGGAAAAAGGGGACTCTTTCTTTTGGTACCGTATTTTTAAGACGGACCTAGAACCATGGACATGCCAACTGGGAATCGGGGGAAGCTGAGCTCGGCTCGGTCCTTTTGGGGGCCAGGACTAAAATGGGTCAATGAGTAGATCTCCGTTCGCCAGGTGGAAACATCTTTTGGAGCACGCCCCCCCCCCCCCCCCCTTTTAGGTTCTTTCATGAATTTGGAGGCGGCTATGCGGCCATGGTCAATGGGGGTCTCCGGTTTGGTTTTGGTTAAAATAGTGACTTTGAACCCGCATAAATGGTGGTGGTCCGTTCGGTTTGCTTTTAGGCAGCCAAAGAACGGTGTCCCTTCAAACTCCCATTGGAGGTGAAAGAAACAACAGAAACCCAGGAAGCCAGGTGTTGCCTTTGTTCCTTGTTTTGGATTTGGAGATGGAGCTGACCGCTTTGGGGCTACCAGCGAAAACCATCGGTGTTGGTTCTTTACTTTGGGATCCATTTGTTTGTTTGATTGTTTGTTTTGGAATTATCTTTGGTGCTGTGTGATACCTTTGGTTTTCCCATTGTGATCCTTGTTTAATCATGGCCCCAAAACTTTGGTGCATTTTGCCAAGGGATGTTAGGACTTTAACTTTTTGCTAACTAGTGGGTTTTCCATTAACCACTAAAAGTTAGTCACTTTTAGCAGGGGAGCAGAAAGCAACCCAGTTATCGTATGATTTTCAGATAGGTGTCGTTCGGTTAGTTTCCCCTATGATCACGAAGTAATTGGTCCTCACAAATCCCACCGCTGAATCATGATGGTTTAGGGCCTTCAGGCAGGTGTTCTTTTTAGGTCAGTTTAGTCAACTTCTTTCAGTTTGGTTGACAAGCATTTGCCAGTGCCATTTGATTGTTCGATCGGGTACCTTTCTTCCCAAGGGAATGATGAGCTCAAGGTGCACTTTCGAGTTAAGCTTAATCCCCGAGTTCCTGGCTGTTCTGCTTGTGGATGACCATGGCGTAAGCAAACCGTTTAGATTTGTTCTGAGCAATGCGCTCAGGAAGTGAGCAGTTCAAAGGCGTGTGTACCCTCGGCGCTTTGGAGTCCTAAAAGCTGGATTGCCAACTTGTTTGAGGTATTGGCTATTGGCAATACTCAGTGCGAACTGCTCCATTTCAATTCCATGCCCAAACCAAACTAGCAATGCCAGTTTATGTGCTCCATACAAAATTCAGCCTTGCCCGAAGAAAGGTTAGCATTGCCCAACTCAAGGCTATGCGCAAATCTCACTGAAGAGAAACAGTTGACTGATTCCACTGCTGGGGGGTGTTCAAAAGCAAGAGTCCCATATTGCCTCATCAGAAGATGATGTTTATTGGAAAACGCAACCCGCAGGTGCACAAACCGGTGAACATATATATGAACAGGATTCCAGGTTTCAAGATCCGCGTGTTTCATCTATACACATATATATATATATATTTATAGGTTTTTTCTCACCCTTTGAGGGATCTTATGGTGGATTTTCCCCTCCTTCGGACCTTGAAAAAAGGCGCGCTCCATCCCCTCAGAGCCGGAAAACGGTTATCCACTGGGTCCACTCGGATTCGATAGGCTGGAGATGGACGCCGTGAAGTACCCCTTTCCAAAGAGAGCCCTGGCCTCGGTGTGCAGAGGCTTAGCCCAAGCTGCGCGCTGGGACCGACCAAGCGGCCCAAGCGAAACCGACCAAGTGGGAACCTCCCCTTCCGGACCAAACGGGGGGCTTCATGTTTTAGGGGCTCCTTCATTTGAGCCACTTGCTCAGAGCCGTAGATGAAGGTTATTTACTAAGGAATAGTCCCAACCACAAATGGGTGCGGATATCCGCCGTTTGAATTCTTTACATGGTTCTGGGTAGACTCATTTGAGGATTCGGTTGATTATGCTTCCTCGGATGAGTCAAGGGGCCACATATTAGGAACATCCTCATCTACAACATCCGCCCATTTCATGGGCTTCTTTCACCTTTCCTCGGAGAAACCGAGCGAAAGCCCATGATGTAGGTTCTTTTGGGTTTTTTAGGTTGTTATTTCAGGTTTTGGAAATATTGTATGATTTTCAGATAAGCTCCCGCAGGAGAACTTCCTCTGAGATCATGATATAATCTGGTCCACACATACCCCAGTCGCGTCTTGTGCAGATCATGCTGTGGCTTCACACCGGCTGGTAGATGGGCTTAGCCCCCAGTTTGGGCGGAGCAAATCATCCATTCCTCCTGCCCTGACTTTGTTTGGGAAGGTGGATTACTTTTTGGTGGGTATTAAAAGGAAAATCCAACACCAACCATTTGTAGAGCCTTCCCCCCCCCCATTTAGTGGCAAGCAAAAAAGTATGGACATGGCATGGTGGGGCCGATGCGCTGGATCAGAAATGAGTGTAAGAGATTGTGAGCCATCTGGTTCCAGGTCACATGGCATGGGTGGCAAATGGTGCATGAGGCCCAGGGCCAAGATGTCCAGAATTCAAAAGGTTGTACTACACACAGACCGCTGGAACAAACAATGTACGGATAAGCCAAAACTAAAAGCAAATTAGAGGTAAATACAAATATGCCACAAGCAAGGTTTCATGGTTTCAGTGAAGAACCATCACATGTGGAGGGGAACACCCCCCTATCAACTTTTCGGGTTTGGACCATTTTAGTGTCACTCAAAAGTTGTTTACTTTTTTGGCCAATCCTCTCGATCGGAAGACAGAATATGAAGAGTTTACCAAAGCGCGGGGTCAACTTCTTCATTCTGACCGCGGGCCATGTCCGAAATGGTCCGAGCGACCTGCTGCACCCTCGCTGGGTCTGAAGTGGAGCTGCAAGCGCAGAAGGGCCAAGACTTGCGCGAGGCCCTGCAAAGGACGCGGCGGCGGCGGCGCTTTCGGGGAACCCGTTTTTTGGTTTGTGTTCGTGTTTAGCAGGAGCCTGGGGCATGATGTGACTGGGAGTGGGGGCAGTTTGGGAAGCCCCCTTTGGCACGCTTCAAAGGACACTAAGGACAAGGCCTTCACCTTGAAGGAAGTCTGTGGGGAGCGGTGTTTCTTGGATAGGTTTTAGTAGTTCTCCACATGAGTTGTCTCTCAGAACCCTGCGGGAAATCTACAAATCCATGATAATCCATGTTATGCTTTGAAGGTTGGCCAGTTCCTGCAGAAATTCCTGTAGCTGGTTTCTACGATTCGGATTTGACCCAGTTTCTGTGTCCTGCGAAAAAGGGGAAAAAACGAACATGGCCGCGCTTCCTGAGTGTCTGGACTCGATTCATTTTGGGAAGACCATTTTGGTGGTAGACAGACACTTTCGACCTTTGTGGCCAGTCTGCTCGGGAAGTGAGAGGAACATGGCAAACCTCCATTTGCTTAATATTGCGTGTTGGTTTTAAAAGGAATTCATCACTACTGGAAATATTTTCTAATTTTCGTGGGGCCTTAAGCAAATGGAAGCAAGTAGTTCGGAATATGAGAACACTTGAATGGCGCCAGGATCCTGCCTGAACTCGAGCCGCGATCGCGGCTGCTGCTGTGGGCCAGCAAGGATCGGGCTCGGGCTTGTCTCACTGATTTCCTGGATATTAACCTTGGTGGGCAGAGAATTGTTTGTAGTGCATAAAGCAAGTCAGACTTTAGGAAGCACGAGCTTTAGCTCTGCTTCGTTTCCTTGGCAATCCTTGCATGCATGGCCACCTTTTTTGTTCTGCTGCGGCAGCCCACCTGGCGAAAAGCCAAGGATAAATGAACCCCTGGTTGATGAATAGAGGTGTCGACTAAACAGAGAATCCGCGTGCTACAAAAAGGCTTCAGAGAAGAAACGGGCAAAACCAATTCCTTAATTAGCCCACAATCCCATTTTAGAGACCATGCTTTATTTTGGGGAAAGCCTGCCCCTATGAATCCTGGGGTGGACGAGGGCCCCCATTCACACGCTTTCAGGGTTTCCTCGATTTTTGAAACCTCCCAAAGTGGCAATTTTCATGGAAACCAACAATTGAGGGGAAATCCGATGACCCATGTCTCTGGAAAGCGCCAAAGTGGTGCGCTGGCCGTTTCCCAGCCGCTAGACGGGGTGGAACTTTGTTTCCTTCAGTAGATCTTGTGCGTGATGACAGCTTTACGTTGCACAACATTTATTGGCGAAATAACATCGTAGTCTCTCTGGACGTGTTTCCGCAGAGGGCTTAAGCAACTGGATGTTTTTGTTCACTAAGAAAGAAACTCTTGTCCATCGCAAAAAGGAGTTTCAAAGGCTTAACTTACACGAACATCTACAGGACATGGCCCCCATAGCCCAAACTTCCATTTGCTTAAGAATATGTTTGATTTTCCCTGTTGGTTCTACAAAGAATCTATCACTACTGGATTGTGTTGTTTCTCTCTCTTTTTTGTCAGGGACTCAAGCAAATGGAGGTAAATAAGCTGTTTTCCTGCAGAGCGTCCTGCAACCCAAGCCGTTGAGAGTTCTTTTAATAGCGTCATCTATTTGATTGTTTTGTATAATGACTGCATTTTTGAAAGAATCTGCAAACTGTGTTGGCCCTACTTCAGGCACAATGCATATAACTGGGGAGATACTGCGGATGGACGAAATCCATTTCGCACCACCTAAGAAACCCTGGAATGTTGATTTCCCCGTAAATACCACCAAACAATGGTGTCTCATGGTTGCTTGGGCGGTGCGAAGTGGATTTCGTCCATCCACAGTATTCCCCAGACCTGACTCACGAGGTTTCCCATGGTTTCCCATGGAAACCCCAAGTGCTGCGAAGGGCTCGGACTCCATGCGCAGTGGCTGGATGTCTCGCGGGCTTGTGAGGCGGACCGCGAGATCCAGGACGCCGAGGATCTGCGAGTCCTCGGGGAAGAGATCGAGGTGAAGGCGCAGCTCGGAGCTGGGAGGATCTGAGAGGATCCCCACCGGGCCCCTTAAAGGGGGTCCATGACTGGATTTGTTTCCCAGCTGAAGCAAATGAAAGGCTCGATTTTGCTTATTGCACCGGGGGAGGAAGTAGATAGCACAGTTCGAATTTGTGGGGTCAGTTAAGGGGATGTCTCCACCGGGTCCCTTTCTGGAATTGGGGGAGGGGGGATTTCGACCCCTGGTCTGGCAACCCATTGTCCCTCTTATTGGGAAGACTAGGATTTGATAGGTGTCCTTTGTTGAGTTCGCTTGGTGCAAAATGGACTGGATGGCACTAACTTATTCAGTTTGGATGGATGGCACTAACTAACTTAGAAAGTTAGATGGGCTATGGATGGTAAAAAGAATAGATGGCACGGGTTTAGATGGGTTTCTTCCATTTACCAGGGCCATCCATTTGTCCAAAACGCCGCCCAGGCTTGGACCGGGAAAAAAGCGAAGCCACGGAGAAAGGGAAACCAGGAGGAAAACCATCATTTTGGTTGGGCTTTTTGTTTGTCTTTTCTTGGGCTTGGTACCCCTTTCACTCAAAAACCAGAGTTCCGTTTCGGAGCTTTAGTCACTTTTTCTGGTTTGGTTGCCAAGTTGCCATTTTAGCGGTAAAAAAGGTGAAGGACACCAAGAGGAAAACCATCATTTTGGTTGGGCTGTGTTTGTCTTTTGTTGTGGTTGGTGCCCCTTCCACTCAGAAAGTTTCGGAGCTTTAGCCACTTAGTAGGTTTGGTTGCCATTTGAGTGGTAAAAGTTTGGATTTTTGTTGGGCCATCCCATCCATTCGGGAAGTGAGAGCCATGGTTCTTGGTGGTTCCAAGGGAATCTATCACTACTGGATTTTTTTCCGGGGGTCTTAACCACATGGAAGCTTAGGTTTTTAGTGTCTTTAGTTGGTTTAGTGGCAGTTTCCTTTTGGAAGGGGACCTGAGGACAGCGCAGGGTTGTCTTACTTCAGCTTCTCTCCAGCTGGTGATTTGGGCTGGTGGTTTGGAGGATAGGGCATGGCTTCCCGTTTACCCTGAACAAGAAACAGGGGGTTCATATCCCTAAACCACCAATCCAAACCAGCAATGACGGGATGCTTTTTAGTTCCTGGTTCCTGGAGTGTACACTTTTTTTTCCGCTTTGGATCATATGAGTGGCAAGCAAAGACGTTTGGCTGCTCTTTGTTGGGCCAACCCACTCCGCAAATCAGGAAGGTGAGTTGTAATTGAGGCTGACGTTAGTGCCAGCAAAAGTTGAGAAGCCATGGTTGCAAGGAATGGTCCACCTAGTGGATCCCAGTTGCCACGTCCTGTATTATACAATTATAGTAGCATATCGTTGGGTCTTGTCGTTTTGCTCGTATCGGGCAGTTCCACCTTGGGTACCTACATTTTGAAGCAGCTTTTGGCAGGGGTTTCTCCCTCTCCCTTTGTGGAACCTGCAAAAGTGCGCAGTCTTAGAAACCGCCCGTAAATCGAGAAACACGTTCCATCTGGGGAGATCGGGTCATAACCAAAGTGTAAGACTGGAGTACCCAGGGAACCCTCACAATTGCCTGAAACTTTGTTATATATATTCCGCTGGCATTTGCCTGAAAATTTCCTGTTCCCAGCTTCTTTTTGTTGATGTTTGGGCCTTTCGGGTAAATCCGGAAAATGTTTGGCTGGTTTGCTGGTGTTCCTTCAAAACCCGGGTGGGCCCTTTGTTCCTAAAACCTGAGCCCGTCTCCACGCTATCAGCCAGAAAGCCCAAGCTGAAAGCTTTGTCCGCCAAACTTGAACTGAGGTACTTGCTTGCCCAAAGCGAATCGACCTGAACTGACCTTTCAGCTTCCTTTCTTTGGTCCGATTTTGGTCAAGGTTTTTAGAAGGCCATTTGTGGGCGGACTTAGGCGAAACGAAGCTTTGAGGCATCACAACCTTGGCAGGTGTTGCAAGTTTTGTTCATGAATTCCAAAAGGTGTACTGTTTATGTCCAGGAAACGAGGCTTGGACTCACCACACTGGCTCGGTTTCGAGGTGTTGAAGGTGTTCGACCACGATTTCCCTGGGCGCAAGCTGGACGTGGACTGCACGATTTGCCCCCACTGCCGCATGTGCACCTGGAGCTCCAGGGGTAGCAAACCGTGCGTGTTCGATACCGACGAGGTGGGCCGACCAAACGCGTCATGCGGTCGATCTGTGTGGCTATTTGGGTTGGATCTTTGGACTTCAACTTTTTGGGAAACCAGGGTTGTTGTTGGGATTTGTTTTTTTTCATTTTTGCTTATTGTGGTTTAGTGGTGGAAATCCAACCACTTAACTGCCAAAATGTATTTGTTTTGCTCGCCTTCCAACGTCAACCAAGAAAACGGTGGATTTTCCATTGGCCGCTCCATTTTTCGTGTTGAGCATGTGATGTTCATTAGGGAAGACGACTCGACGACCCATCTGGGCCGTTCAAAATGGAGTGTTTGCCAATCCCAATCCACAATCCCAATTGGGAAACCACTACAAGGGGGACCACTTTCGTAACCAATCTTGTATGACTGCCATTTGGTACTTATGGCTCCATACAGGTATCCCAGAGCTTGTTCTTGATCATCTTTTGGGTTGCCATGCTAAACGAAAGTAGGCACCACGTTTCTCAGTTGCCCAAGGCGCATCGACATCCTGAAGGGTTCCGATGACTCACTCCCTGAGTTCCGTTTCAAGCAACAAGTTTGGCAGGGCTCCTTAAAAGATACATGTTGCCCATTTGATACATGGCTTTTTGCACCAAAATAAAAGGACGCCACCATTTGCAAGGCAATGTTCAGGTGTATAATGTAAGGATCCCTGTTTTATTTCCAGGTCCTTTGGGCATCCGAGATTTTGGTTGGGCACAGATTGGTTTTGATAGGGGCGAGCGGGCGGTCTTTGCGGCTGCGGCTTGGGCCCGGGCGCTTCTGAGAGGCAATTTGATTTTTTGTTTGCTGCGGTTTTCTGGCGTTCCTCCGAACCCAAACTGATTTAGGATTGCAGACTTAACTCACCTGTTTGTCTCTTTGCTGTTTTCGGTTTCCGTCGGGCATAGCAAACTCACCATGTACAGCTTCTGGCTCTTTTGGGTGTCCTTGATTTTTCCACTCAGCTAGCAAGAAGTCGCCTTTTGCAGTTCTAATCCTGGTTAAGTGTAACTTCTTGGGGTTACCCCTTAGTGAAGACTACGTTTGGATCGAACAAGTATCAATTGTGATTTTGCTGAGATTGGAGACGGTTTCCCTCCCCAAAAACAAGCAGGGAAATTGATAGGGACACCTAAAGGACAAATTTCCAGCAGGGTCCCTCTTTCAGGTTCCAATTGTTTTGGTTCCCGTAAGCTTGTTTTTGTTTAAGTGTCCCAGCTCCGACTTGTTGATGCAAGGGCTGGATCCTTGGAGCTGTCTAGTCTACAGCCCGACAGCAGGCATCACCAGGCTCAGTTCAGTAGGAGTCTTCAACCCCACAAACGGTTATTTGCCGAAAGCAAACCAACAAGATCCGGCCGTTTAATTTTCTTTGATTGGTTCATGATTGGTTCATGTGCAGAGGCCCCAAAAGGATGGTGTCAGCTGAGGGCGTAACTGGAGCTTTTCCACCAGTCACTGAACTGGGCTGAGGCTTGCGTGATCTGCGGAGTTTGCTACAAGTGCCGAAGTCAGCCCTGCCTGCGGGAGCGCCCTCCCGACTTGCCGCCTTCGGAATCCGCACGGGAACAGCCTGAGGCAGGACCTGTGCCAAATGTGCCTAAGGCGGCTTAAGCGAGGGAAGCAGTGCTTCCAGTTGCCTCTATAGGATCTATATAGGCTGTTCATGGCCCTTTTCTGGTTGCAAAATTATCACTGCGTTTGATGTGTTTTGTTGGCTGATTCCGTGCTTGTTCACAAAGTTTTTTGCTAGCATCACCAGGGTTGGCGGGTTGGCAAGAATGGTTGTCCGCGCTCAAGGATCCAACAGGTGCCGTTTAGGCAAACAATGTGCAGGACCCAAAACCACTTTACAGTTGGCTATGCCAAGATGTTTAATCCCTTCTCCCTGCTTGCAAACCGTGCTTCTCCCCAAATAAATCAAAGTCCCCTAATAATTTAGAAATAACGGAGGAGAAAGAAACAAGCAGGTTCCTGCTCCATGTTGGGGCTGCCAACTCATGTGTTTTTAACTACTGGGAGAAGAACGCCCCCACATGGAATCCACATTTTCCTGCTGGTAGGTAGCGCATGAATGTCTAATCAACCTTGCCTCTGTTACTCTGTTTGCGTGAGCAGTTTCCAATCAGGTCTTTCGGGTTCGATGCTGATATCAATAAATTCAGTTCATCCCGAATCACTTGAACAACTTTTGGCTCAAGGCAGAAAGGTCAGAGGTCTTTGCATCGTCGCAGCCATAGTCACTTGACTTTTCTTGACTTGAATCGTACATTCGTCTGGTTATCAGCCGTAGACTCAATTAATGCGACAGTTAGCTACGCCTGGGAAGAGACAGCTCATCTGGGCCTCTTTGGTTGGCGTGGAGCCGGCAGAAGAGATAGGCTCGGTATATTGCGTGACGGTCTGAGCAAGGGCATCTTCTCGAACGAGCCTCCTATTTTTTTTTGGACAGCACCTGGGATCGATTGCAACGAGCAAGGGTGAGCGACAAGAAGAGCCTCGTCAACACCGGGTGCGTTTTCAGGTAGTCAGGTCTGCGGAGGGAACTGCTCCTCTTAGGCTTCTGCAGCGCGAGCGGCTCCAAGCCGCAGAGCCTGCATCGTCGTTTGCAGGGTGCCCCAGGTGACCGCAAGGCTGCGCCGAGCAGGACTCCACCCACTCCAGCAGCGGTCGTCACGCCAACCCAAGGGACCAGTGAAGCAATCGTTTCACAAGCCTGTCATTTTCTCATTGGCTTGACATGTCAGAACTCTTTGCGCCGGAGCGCATCACCGACTGGAAGTGCAAAGGAAGAGTTCCCGTGCATAGGGACAACTGGCAAGGGACTCCATACTAAAGGGCCGTGGTTCTTCCCTAAAGGACGTGTGTTGCCAGACCATGCGCAATTGCGTGCAGCTGCAGCGAACCCTTTAGACGGCAATCTCAGGGCAACGCAAAGGCTTGTTGAGCAAGACGGTGACAGCCAAGCACAAGCCAAGAGGGCCAAAGAGTTCCTTGAACTCACCAACCTCATGGGAGTCGCAAGGACAATCCTTACCCACAGGTGCATGTAGCCCTTTTCCTAGGTCTTAGATGCACTAATACCGATGCGTGCTTTACTTCGACAAACTCCTGTCCTCCCTGGCCTCGGCCTGGCCTTCACGAACTTGACAAGAACAGTTGTGACCAAAGTCGTCATTGAACAGTGCCTTAATTGCGATTAGCTCCCTAATTGTGATTTGCGGGGTTCGGTTCCCTGTGCTCCCTGGTCACAATGGCAACGTGTCAATCGCCAGCAACACAGAAAACCATTTGCTAAGAAACTCAAGAAGACGCAGAAGCATTCTAGAAAATTATTGGGAAACTTCATTCGTTGTGCAGACAAAGTCCTTAGTCAAGGGGGCCACGCCGCATTCGAATGGCCGAAGACATGCGAGGGCTGGGATCTGCCAGGGCTAGTCAGGTTCATCTAGAGGCGGCATGACTTGTTTGTGCGGAACCACAACGTGGAGGGTCGTAACCTTTTCGTGGAGATTGGCCAAAAGCCCCGACGAAGCCAAGTGCAGTCATCCGCATGATTACAAGCATTCACCTCTCGAAGGCAGTCCAAAAGTGCCTTTTATCCCATGTACATAACGAGATGCATTTCTTATTCCTTGTGTCCTTGCTGCACCGCCTGCGATGCCTGTGCAAGTGTCAGCTGGCCCAATGCCTCTGCAAGAACACTTGCGTGGCGAGCACGCCCCTGGTGAAGCGGCAGGCCACCAAAAACTTCCAGAGGCAGAAAGCGTTGAAAGCGCCTTTCCCGGGGAAGACGACGAAGTCAACGGGCGAGTTGGTAACGGAACCTGGGCTTTCGATGAGGTCATCTCAAGCGAAGACCTTTTGGCAAGATGTAAAAAGAATAAAGAGCCTATCAACATTGCCTCTCTTATGAGGATCTTGTCGATCAAACATTGGGAGACTCCGGGCTTGCAAACTCAAAGCTCGGATTGTTTCCCGGGGAGACAACCGGAATGACCGGTGTCAACATCAATTTAGCGTATGGCGCTCTTCAAGAGCACGAAGCTCGTCAGTCACACGTAGTAAAACCCTGCACCCTGCCGTATCTTGGGACCAAGTTACCTACCTGGGTCATCTTCTCGTGGGAGTTGACCCCAGCTAAATACCGGCACACCAAACAGCCGTGTGTTAAAGCTGGTTAGACGCTTGTATGGGCGTCCCGAACCAGGGTACCACTAGGATCAACGGCGACGGGAATTCATGCAAACCTTACAACGAAAACATGTCGATGAATTTCCATCATCATTTTGGTTCGCTAGACGGAGGCTTCTCAAAACATGCTATGTCGACGACATGTTGAGCTCTGGCGCACCAGAGAATCTTCATGAGGATCTCAGAAGCATTGGGAGCCAAGATCCCTTTATTCTCACAATGGCAGCCCCGGAAAGCTTGCACTGCACATGTGTTCCCTATGAAATCGAACATTTCGAGCGAAACCTTGGTCGTGCCATGGACCCGATCGAAGTTGTGCTGTCGGCCCGGCACGCAGTCAACCTGAATTGGAGGTTCAGTCTGCAAGTGTTTTTCAGTTTACTGCCGGAACTTGTCTTGCTCTGTTGAAGGGGCATACGTGATTCACCTGTATGGGTCGAACGGGCACTCGTTGCAAGGGCATACCAGCGACCCGCCGAACTGCTTAAATTGTGCTTGTACACCGCTGCCGATCATTGCAGTGGCATCGAGCATACCAAAAGCACAAGTAGCAAGTTTTTGTCCATCGAGGATCCTAACACCTTGTGACCGATCGCGCACAAAGCTTCCTATCCAAGTTCAGCGGACAGATCACCACACCGTTGCCGGTGTGCAAATGGGTCCATGCTCTACGCCTATTCTAAAGCTCAACTTGCTAAGTGCCATCTCGTGAAGCGGTAACGCTCCGAGACACCTAGGCCAGAGGGTTCAAAAACTCAGCTGGAGTCTTCGCGCTTGTCAAGTGGAGAAGGAATGCCCCCACGTGGAGTTCACATTTTTCTGCTGGTAGTGCATGCACGCTAGTTAACCTTGCCTCCGGAATCCATGTTTGCGTGAACAGTTTCCAATCAGGTCTTTCGGGTTCGATGCTGTTCAGTTCATCCCAAATCACTTGAATAGCTTTTGGCCCAAGGCAAAAGGGTCAGAGTGCTTTGCATCGTCGCAGCCATAGTCACTTGACTTTTCTTGGCTTGAACCGTACATTCGTTGCTGGGTCGTTTGTCCGGAGGCGAGGTCGGGCAGACATCGTCACTTTGTGTTTGTTTGTTTTTATTTGTCAAAAACATGCAATTAGGGGGCTACCTTGGTCTATGTCCCAGTCAATGAGTTCCATTTGCTGAAGCCAGCAGTGAGACAGTGATAGATTCCCTCTGAAACCAACAAGGCAAAATCGCGAGTTCTAAATTGAATCAAAGATGAGGGCCAACGGTTGGCAAGTGAGCTGTTCGCTTCAAGGCTCTGGATCTGCCGCTGCAAGAACATCCAACTCCACAAGCCTGAGGACGGGGATCCAACTTCTCTTTACGGTTTATTGGGTGGCAAGCCCAGCCATCCCGCTCAACTTAGCTTAGTGGGTTTTTGGTTGGCTTAGCGGTACTTGCAACCCCCAAGTTGTTCACTTATTGACCGGGCTGGTCAAAGGCAATCCTTACCTTTACTTACCTTTAGTTATCCATTTGTAGTGGTTTCACAATTGGGATTTTGGCTTGGGATTGGCAGCCCTCGGCTCATCCGAGGCTTATTCAGGGATAGCCCCGAACCCCCCCTAGGAGTCCATGACCGTTTTTTGGTGACGCAGGGCTTGGCATGACCGACACCCTCCCTCCCGCAGAGTTGTCAAATTGCGCGTCCCGGTCGGCGCTGCACTTGCCACTCGATGCTGGGAACGCTCCTGGCATCCAAGCAGAAGGAAAGGTGTGCAAAGGCAGGTCTAGAGTCACCCGCAACTTTGTTTCTAGGGGGAAGCGATAAATCGACCAATCTACCCTTATGAAACCAGGCTAAGGGTTTCCCATTCTTTTCACTTTTCGGCAAACACCAGCCGTGTTCTTCGGCTTCCAAAAAATATACAGATAGGCCTTTGTCTGAATAAAAGGACTTGTGAAGATGACCAGTGAGAGGCTGATAGAATAGGTCCATACGTGAACCCATGGCAATTTTCATTGGGGGCTGATGTCCCTTTCTTAAGCCCACAGTTTACCCCACAAACTAGGGGTTCAGGGGGTCATATATGGGCATATACATTCACCTAGCCAGCAGGATTCGGTTTTGCAGGCGTTGATCTTGCCGAGTGTAAACCTGGCCCTGTTCGGGAGAACTTGACTCAAGCGTCCCCGCCGTTCTGCCCCCGGGTTGGCCCGGTCTTTCCCTTTGGCCCGTTCCACCTTCAATCGAAGGCAGATGGATTTCCTTGCGAGGTGTTGGGGGTTTGGGCAAGTCAGTGTCGGCCTGGGTCCCCTTGCAGAAAGACTCAGTTCTTGAAAGCCGGTGGCTTTCAACCGTCCCCCCGAAATGATCACCGCATTTATGCCCGGCCTCACCGGTCGCGCGACGCAAGGTCTGACTGCGTTTGGTTTCCCCAAATCGAGTTCCCGTGAAACGGCAGCCCAAACAGGGTGATCGCCTGAACGATTTCTGGGTCAACTGAGTGGAAAGAGCGCCCAGGATGTGTCCCTTTCTGAGCGCTTGGAGCTTGGGAGCGCGAGCTGGGCCGGCCTTTGCCTGGGTGTCGAGAGACCACTCTGGAGTCATCCCCGCCATTTTCTGGTCAGGCCAGGATAATTATGCTATGGATCACCTGTTCTTGGATCAAGTCTGTTTGGTTGTTTTGTTTGTTTGTTCATTTTTGGTGGGGCTGCAAAAAACAGCCAAGCCCATATCAAGGCGTGTGAAGTATGGAGTTCTGGATTTATCACGTCACCTGTTCTGTTTTAGATAGTTAGACATCACTTTGCTGTTTGAGACAGGTCCTTTCTGCTTGAGACATCGCATGATGGTTGCCAATGAAAGTTTTCCTTTTTTCAGGGTGGTGCTATGCTGCTACGAAGTCTTTGGTGTGACCGAAAGGGAAGAGCAACCAATTGAAATTGCAGGCAACCTAGCTGTCCCGGCCCTCAGCACATGTGCAGGGTGCCATTCACCCTGACTGCCTGAGTTCTTGTTGGGTCAAGACCGCAGAGAAAGCCCTAAGGCTATGAATTTAGAGGCAAATAGCTACCTCTCAAGGGAAAAACCCTCAGGGGGCGAGTCAACTACCTCAAGAGTGGCTGGGGGACGTGAACCACCGAGTTCTGATTGCCGCCAGCAGGGGCGCGAAGGCGCAAAATCGGCACTTGTTTTGCAATTCCAACGACTCCAACATCGCGTTTTTTCCAGTTGAAGTTGACACCTTCCCGGCAGAGAAGACACCTGATGGATGTGGCATGGAGTTCGCGGGATGAATGGTGCCTAGACCTGCCCATGGCAGGGACCTCTTTGGTCCCTGGTGCAGTCTCCATGTGGCTCACAACGAAAAAGCGAATCCACGGCGAAGGCCTCAACAAAAAGAAGTGCGGCCGAAACGAGTGCAGTCGGCTCGAGCTCGCGCGCATTGGGAAGCCCTGCGTCGTTGCTTCCGAGCGCTTGACTGTTACAGGGGTTCCATGATGTAGGTCCTTTTCTTCAGCATTTGGGAATGGGTTAGCGCTGGCAGAAGATATGTTTCTGGGGTCATAACACTCACACATGTGTTGTGTGCGTCCACATTCATGCTCGAACTCATGCATTGATGCGCTGCACATGGTTTGCAAAAATTATGCGCCACGTTCAACTTACGGACTTTGCCCAGCTCGTTGCATTCAAGGCTAGTGCTTAAGTGTTCGAGCGCTGGTGAGACAGCCATGCGCATTGTATCCGGTTCTAGCACCTTAAGCTGTTAGAACCCAGGATTAATAATCCCGTCCCGTTGTTAGGGGAGTGTTCCCTCCAAAAGTGATGAACCCCCACAAACAGGGGACACCCCCCAATCAAAATTAACCCGGGGTTCTGCTTAATCCGGGGTTAACATTAAAAGGAGCTCAGCCAACTTCCAGTGCTGGAGAAGGCGAAAAGGCCACCGTAGGTAACCCTTCGCCAGCTGTGCCTTGGCTTCCTCCCTGGCTTGGCTACCTACTATCCTGTTGACTGGGTGTGCTTTTTGTTTCAGGGTATTCTGTTGGAAAGGGTGTTGTTTTTAGCCGAGCCCTGGCACAGGACCAACCCTGGCAGGCGGTTGGTTGGTTGGTTGGTTGGTTGGTTGGTTGGTTGGTTGGTTGGTTGGTTGGTTGGTTGGTTGGTTGGTTGGCGCCTCGGTAGGACGGAGGTTTGGGATGGGTTCAGGGTAGGTTTAGGGTAGGTCAAAGCCTGTTGATGCTGCAAACGATGCTGAGGATGCTCTAACGATTCTGGGCCCTACGCTTTTCTGACTACCCGAAGTTGGCGTGGGTTCCAGGTTGGCTCAGGCTTGGCTTCGGCCATGGTTGTGTTCAAGCCCACTTCGGCGTCTTAATGTAGGTAGCATACCTTAAGCCACCCAAGTGGGCTTAAACACAACCATGGCCGATTTTACACCCACCCCAAACCAGTTTTAAACCCATCCGAGACCAACCCCAAAAAGCCCCGCCATAAACCAGCACTAAACCATCTACCTCAAGCACAGCCACCCCCCAAATTAGGCCTGGAACCCACCCCACTGGAACCCACCCCAAACCCAGCCAACCAAAGCCTGGTGATGCTGAAAACGATGCTCAGGGTGTGAAAACGATGCCAGGCGGACTACCCTAAACCCACCCCAAACCTTTGTCCGTTAGTGTCTCTTTTCATGCACGCCAGGCTGTGCCAGGTCAGGTTAATGCCAGGGCTGTGCAAAAAAACACCTCAGCCGTATTATGTGTTTGATGGTTTAAAGGGAAGTCAAGAGGAAAGACATTATGTTGGAGGTCCCCTAGAAAAAAGACACACTTAAGGAAGCAAGATCCGTACTGTGGATGGACGAAATCCATTTCGCACCACTTTGAAGCCATGGTTGAAACCATAACGGCTGTTGGTATTTACGTTGCGGAATCCTGAGAAAGTGGGTTTCTGAACGGTGGTGCGAAAACCAGATTCGCAACCACACGGCGCCAGTTTTCTTCCATTTGCTTAAGACTCGTGTTTATTGCCTTTTTTTGTTAAAAAGGGAATCTATCACCACTGGAAATATGTTTTTTTGTCCAGGGTGCGAACCAGCAAATGGAAGCTTTAGCTCCAGCCGCGCGGCTCAGGTGGGGTTTTGGGCGCCGGTGCTGAAAGCGCCGGAGGCGTCGAAGGAGTTGGCTGCGCGGGTGCACGGCTGCGGCTTCGTGGCAGGACATTGGCCGGGCACCGAGTCAGCGATGGAGCGCGTGCGGTGAGTGGAGCGCGAGCGAGAAGGAGCAAAGGGTAGGATGCGGAGATGCGGATTGCTTGTTTTGGTTGAATGTGTTTTTGGAGTTGGTACCATTTGTTTGGTCCAACCAAAAAAAACCATCATTTTGGCTTGGCTCTGTGTGTGCGTCTTTTGTTGGAGTTGGTACCCTTTAAGCTCACTTCCTGAGTTCTTGGACTTGAAACGTTTGATCAAGACCATTCTAGTGCTGAACAAATAGTTTGGACTTCTTTTGGCCCATTCTGTCAGGGATTTTTTTTTGGGGGGGGGGACCTCTTTTTTGTGGTTTTACTTCAAGGGATCGCATTGTTTTTGTTTTAGTTTTTTCTTGGCAGGGGGTCCCTCAAAAAGACACACCCTTGCATCCCATCCATTTGGTTCCCGATCCAATCTTAAGGCTCGAGGGATTCCTGTCTCAAATTGGATTGGCGCAAACTTTAAAATTTGTTGGGGAACCTTACAACCTTACGGGAAGACTACCCGCTCAAATTTCAGTGGTTGGTTCACGCAGTTAACGGAACTGACCAATAAAGTGATATTTTTGTTGATTGGGGAACTGTTATAGTGGATGGCCCGCCTTTTTTCTGTTGGTTTTTATTTTTTGGTTGGTTGCCCACAGGTCAATGGATCCAGTCACCCCCAAGAAACCTGGAGATGGACGCAGCCCCCGGCAGGTGGGACATCATGCTCGGGCGCTGCTTCGTGGCCGCGAATGTGTCGGCACACCCCAAGGCGGAGAGGGAAACCAGGTAGAATTCCTGTGGGTTCTTGAAATGGGAACGCACAGATGTTTTGGTTGGATTTATTGCCTTCTGTTGGTGTTGTTGTTTTTGTGTTTTTGTTGCTTGTTTGGATATTTAGCCTTCTTGGTTGGGAACATGTGTTGAAGGTGTACTTCTCCACGCGCCAAGAAGCTGCACTGTTTGAACTTGTTCAGCCACAGATAACCCCCCCCCCCCTTCCCCACAAAAACAAAGGCACATCCTTGAGGGTTCATTGCGGGCTTTGCCAGGGTACAACTCACCATTTGGGGCACCCCAACAAGGAGGACTACTTGTTCGGGGCTCCAGGAAGTTTAGACTATTCTATTTGCTTAAGTATATGTGTTGCTGTCCCCTGGTTTTTTTCTAGGGCAGCGCTATCACTACTGAGTAACTACTGGCCGTACTTGTTCATGTGTTTCCAGGGACCCCTGAAAAATGGAGGGACAGGGATGTAGGCAGCTCAGGACCCACAGTTGCCGCGTCGGGGCTCGTGTCCACAAAGGGCTTATTTGTTTTTTGTCCAGGTCCTTTGGACAACTGATAAATGCTGGGTTTCCTTTTGGCTGTCCTTTCAAGTCACGCGACAAAGGTATCTGCCAAAATGCGCACCCATCGCATTTGTCCGTGGTTCAAGCACGTGTTCTTTTTTTTTTTTTGGGGGGGGGGTTGGGCCCCAACCCAACAGTCCAGCTATTTGTTTTTGCTTTTAATTGCCGACTATCACATTTTGGCAAGGACCAGGACCCTTTGACCTGACAATAAAAACATGCTGCCATAAGGGGTGTCACACACCAAAGTCCCACTAAAAGGGGACGTCCGACTATGAATCAAGCAGGGGTGTATTCATCCACAGTTCCCATCATTTGAGCTGTTTGTGATTGTTGCCGGGGCGCCGTTTTCCAGGGCAACATTAATTTTGAATTGGGCACATATACCCCCAAAACTCCGGTGGTGTCCTTCTTTCATTTTGTTGGGGACGGATTTTCCTAAACAAAGCTCACTTACCCAAAGCCGAGCCTCGAACTTTGGGTTTTTCTGATTCGGTCAATGTTTCGCCAGCACGCAAGGCGTTCGCCATGGTATTTCCATGTCCCCCCAAGGGCTGACTTTTAAGGCGTCAGTCACAGGACCCGCTGGCCCAGGTGGAGGACACCTTGGGGCGCTACTACTTCGCCACGGAGCCCTTGCCTTGCCTCTTGCCTGAGTTCCGACCTTTTCTTCCGGCGCCAAAAAAGGACCCTGGCGCTGCAACATGGGACGGACCCCGCTTTGCGCGATCCGCTTGCCCGTTTTTAGGGCCGCCACAGTGTAGGGCACTGGGAGAACTGGCCCAAAAAGTTTATGTGGCTGTGGCTCCAAAAAACCGGAATTCCAAAATGGAACCCTGGTAAGTGGAACCATGGACCAAAACCTGCGTAACCCCTCCTGTTTAATTTTGAGCCACACCCATGGCTCTCCCAAGATGAAAGCTGCCTTGTCAAACCTTTCAAGCAGTCTCCGGGCACCCTCCAAAAGCACAAACCCATAGATACATGCATAGTATCGAGTCAACCCATGTTGTTCTAAGACGCTGCTTTACTTTGGGAATGCAAGGATGGTGGGCCTCCCAAGGTGTTCGTCCATTTGCTTAAGTTTGCTTGTTTTTTGAAGCAACTACTGATAACTACTGGCCATATGTGTTCATTGATCTGTTTCCAGGAGGGGGAATTCGCACATAATATATGTGTATACCCAGACTGGAAGCAGTGACCACGATAGCAGGTAACCCTTCGCTATATTTTCCTCTAGGTTTTACATCATGGTGTGCCTTGGCCCGCTATAGGGGCTTGCCCGGAAGCACTGGGATATATAGTTACCCGACAAACCCATATACTTCCATTTGCTGAAATGAAAACTATTTGCTTTCCCCTTTCGGTTTTAAAGGGAAGCTATCACTACTGGACATATTTTACTTTTTCAATGGGAGAAAGAATCAATTGGAAGTTTTAAGACAACCACACGGATTCCCCATGCCGAGATATCCCATACATAAATACATATATATATATATATATATATATAGATACCCCAACCCAAACTGCCCTATATATAGATACCCCATGTATATGGATAGCCGACAAACCCATATATATATATATACAGAGATCTTTACAAGTACCAAACATCCCGAAAAACATCTCTACTCGAGGCCAGGAACACCTCCGCGGCCGGCAGCTGCCGCCTTTGCCGGGCCCGAGGTTCTCAGACCGCCTGAGGTGCTTCGGACTGGGAAGAAGGGGAGAGGTGGATGATATGGGTTTGCCTAATTTATAGCGAGAGCTGCCCTTTTTCAGAGTTTGGCATGTGCGCCACACAGGGGTACTTGTATCACGGAAAATTCCCAGTCACTTTGTGCAAATAGGCATCCTCCACATCACAAGAGGCGTTTTCCACATGAGTCATCCATGCCCTTGTTGGCAGTTCATCGGCTGCAGGCTCGCCCAGCTCACCTGAAAGTAGGATAAAGGTCCTTTACCCTGGTATCCCTCAATTCAGCTTGTTGGCTTATAGTAAAATTTGCAGATGGAGGTGTCTTTCAGGAGACCCCCAAAATGGCTTCGGTTTTCCAGTTGGTTTCCCTTTAGACCACAAAAACAGGGGTACCCCCAACAAAAAAGCAAACCCATACTGCCGTCGCAGGGTTTTCCAGGGTCCTCATTTGGTTTTCAGGTCTGTGTTTAAGTTAATTATGTGTGTTTGTTTTTCCTTCGCATGAGGTATGTGGTTTCCCATGTTTGCCATTAACCATGTATGTTGTAGTTCATTGTTTTTGCTCGACAGCGAGGAGCTTGTCGCACAATGGATGGCTGGCTATTTCACCCCGGGTCCAGTCAACGAGCAACTGCAATTGAGAGGTCTCCGTGCACAAGGCAAAATGTGTTCCTGTGTTGAAAATAAGCCGAACACCCTTTCTTGGCTTGGGGGAATGATGCAAGGAATCCGCTCTTCTAGGTTTTGGGCTTGGCACCCCATCGGCTTCTTGTGGAGACATTGCCAGTGCTATCGGTGAACGAAAGGCATGACCTTTCCATGGCGCCAAGGGGCCAGTGCTCATTGGGCGGGCTGAGCTTCTAAGCTTAAGGGGCTCCCTAGGTTGTGTTTGCTCCCCAGATCCCCATCCAATTTGGAGCCCTCCAAGAAAGTAGGGCGGCTGGTCCCAGTTTTTGTCCAGCGATCAATGATCAAAAGATACGCCTTGGGGTACACCCAGCTGAAGCTGAGCTGCACATTTGAGAGAATGACAGCCAACTTGTTCTTAGGATACGTTTTTGTTTGTCAGCCACATTGCCCTGTTGTCCGCCCGTGTTGTTTGTTGGTTTCTCCTGGTTTTGGTGGTTGCTTTTCACCGTGTGTCTTGGTATTGACCCCCCCCTGCCCTGGCACCTTGCATTCTCATGTTCGTGGGTTTGTGAAATGCTCAGTGAATTCCAGTAGTTACCCTTGGGGTGGGTAAGCTGTTTTCCCTTTGGCTTTTACTTCACCAGAAATAGCTCCCCTTTTTGCTTTTTTGCTTGTTTGGGGTTCCCTTTGTTTTCCACTAACCAGGCAAAAAATATATTTTTTGCAGGGGTCCTAATTCCAGCCAAGTTTAGAGGGTGGTTTGCTTGGTTAGCTACTGTGGCAATGTGTACCCTTTGAAAAACCAGGCCCTTTGGACTGAGAGACGGATTATGCCCTTCATTTAGGGCAACCCATGTTCCTTTTCTGGGGAAGACCACCAAATGAAATTGGGCGACCTCTTCCCCCCCCCCCCCCTCCAAAAGGTAGGGTTGCAAAACAGACCCCTAAAAAAACAAATGCCCTAACAGAAGGAGGGTTGCAAACTAGACCCATCATAGCCCCCCCCCAAGGACTTGAGCGGAGGAATGGCAATGATATTGCTCCATGAGTGGATGCTGTGAATCAAGCACAGAACAAACGAGAGACACCCGCCCCCCGCCCAGGTAGGGTTGCAAAATAGACCCCTAGAAAGACGAATGCCTAACATTACTAACAGCAGGAGGGTTCAGTGTCCATCATACTGTGGATGGACGAAATCCTGCACCAATTTGAAACCATGGTTGAAACCATTGTTTGTTGGTATTTACGTTGGGGAATCATCCTTCTAGGGTTTCTTAGGTGGTGCGAAATGGATTTTGTCCATCCACAGTATGCACCCCGCCCAAGGTAGGGGGCATGAGACGGGGGCGCTTTGGACACGAGGCGTTTGGGCGCCGCGGTCTGCGAGACCTACGGCTTCGCTCCGGAGCTGCACCGCTTTGCGGTCTGCGAACCGGAGCCTCAGCCAACGAATCGGTCTCTAAAAGGAGTTGTGTCTGGTTTCTGTCTGACATCATGTTTTGTTTCTTCTTCTTTTTTTGTTTTTTTTTTTTGGTTTTTTTAAAGAGAGAGAGAGAAACAACATCATGTGTGTGTGTGTTTGTGCTCTCTGACATCATATTTTGGTTCTGTTGTTTGACATCATGTCGCCTCGCGAAAAGACGCATAGGGGTGGATCTGCAGGGTTGTTTTCTTGCCTCCCCTCTATTGCACCTTGGTGGAACTATTCACTTCTAGGCCTACGGATTGTCATCTAAATGTACAGGGTACTGAGCCCCCTAATCTGTTTAGCCATCGTTCTTTTCAATAACCGGCAGGGTTGTTCAGAGTTTCCTTGAAAGAAGCATCCCTGGAAAATATCACTACCTGAGTTCCGTTTCAGACTAACTTTTCGGGTTCGAAGTTGGACTTGTTTCCCCCGCTCAGGAAATTAGCTTTATAGCCTAAATATGAACCAGAGACTGATTATCATGTTTGGAATGCCCCAGATGTTGGCCAAGTATTGGGAAGACCTCGCTTGTTGGGGAGTCTCAGCCAGGGGAAACGTCCATGGTAGATCCTTGAGGTAAAAATAGCGAAGAGTTACTTGCTATAGCGGCTTGCCTGGAGGCACTGGGAAACCTTGCACAGGGTTCCGATATGATATTTGCCATAACGCACGTCACCTTTTGAACCTGTCTACATTCTTGTCAAGTAACGTGGCACCCACCACACGGTCCCATTAAAATAGAAATAGTCTTCCAGGACCCGTCAGTCAGGTTCCATGTGGATGGGCGGGTAAGGGGAGTTTGTCCTTGTTGAGTGATGTTGGGCAAGATTGCTGGGATCCCTACCAAAGGCAGACCCCCAGTCTCTCACTTCGCGCGAATCCACGTTTTCCCAGCGGGTTTAGTTCCTTTCAGTGTTTTACTCGTTCCTTCCCCAGAATTGTTTCCCTTTGTATTTTTGTTGCTTTTTTGGGGGTTCCCTTTGTTTTCCACTATCAGGCCAAAAATATCATTTCTTGCTGGGGTCCTAATTCCAGCCAAGGTTCCTTCAGCTAGTTGCTGACCCCCTTTTGTTTGGGTGAGAACTGTAGTGACCCTTGGAAAGTCCAGGGGTAGAAACCTTTGACAGACTCTCACACTGGCGAAAGTGGCACATGTTGCCAATAGAGCCTACAATTTTGGAAATGTCGCTTGGCTTCGCCAAATCTGCATGTGGAGGTTGGTCTTTCTCACGCAGCATCTAAAGTCAGTCAAAAACCATTCTGACCGCGGCGCTCGTGGGTTTGCCTTCCCCGCACATTGAATACAAAGGCATTGCCGTACTCGAATCGCACAGCCATCACGACAATTCCAGCTTAATGTTGGACAGAGCCTGGCCTGTTTATTTATTCTCCTGCGGCATCTTCGAAACTGGGAGTAGGTGCTGGTTGCTGAGTAAGCCATCTTTGTGCGCATTCCCATCCAAGCCGGCACTGGATGGATGTGCGTCTTTCACTTTTCCATGTGCATCTTGTAGAACTCCGAGTTGCCATGCAACAATGAACCACTCCCGTTTTTGTGTGGGTAAGGGCAAGGGGCATTCTGTGACATCATTCCGATCGAGACATATTATGAAAACCTTGGCTGCCATTTGGCTGGATCTTTCACATGTCGTTTGTTTTTGGCAAGTTGTGGTTGCCACTTGCAATTTTGTGCGACAGGGGCAACCGCCACACAGCAAGGACATGACAGAACAATGAGCAATCTGCTTTCCCGTTCTGGGCTGCGCTTTGAAGTCAGACTAAGAGGTCTTTTTATCCGCAATAGTCGCCACAGTCTCTCAGTGAAAAGAAGGTCTAGAATCAACAATCCCAGGGGCGGTTTGTGCTAGTCGGCTGTATGCTGGGAGTGTGCACCCGTAGGGCCTTTCGAGGGAACCCGACCTATGGATCCCTAGAAAGGAAGGCCTTAAGGCCTCACTAAGGTTTGCTCGTTGTGTATGAGGGGCGCTGCACGCTTTCCCTTGTTTTGGGGCTGGGGCTATGCTGTCGCATGTCTGCTCATGTCGCTGACCTTTTGGCTTCCGCGCTGCTAGCTGAACTTGCTGCATTTTTTGCGGATACTGATTCTTGTTTGTTGAGCAGGGCCGAACACATTGGCTACTTTAGTTTGCAAAACAATCAACGGAGTGTGACAAGAATGAGGGGTTCAACTTCAAAATGTGTATTATGCACGAGACTGGGTGCTTTCAGCGCATCGGGGAAACCATCATGTAAAACCAAGAGGTAAGAATCGTCGGTTACCTATTGTAGTGGTAAGTGGAAACACTGGGAGGCTTCTTGGTTCCAAGCCGTTTTGAGGAAGAGGTGATGCCTGTCGCGGACTACTGGATATCTCCCTTCGCCATAGGCCGGACGGGGAACTTTGCCTCCGGTGGTGGTCTTTCGTTTTGTTTTTTTCTGGCCCAAGTGGTAGGTTCAAGGGACAGCACCTGTTCAGGGGAAAGCACAGATTCCAGTTTCCGACTTAGACCATGTGCTTCAGAATAATTGAACATGTATCCCTGTTGGTTTTAAAGCGAAACCATCACTGGGCGTACGTGAAATATATTTTCCCGGGGGGCTGGAATTCGCAAGTGGAAGGATATTGGGACAATTCGGGGCAGCTTGCAGCTCGGCACGATTGTTGGCAGTTGCGGATGTTCCCGAGGTCCTTATTGCAACCACGAAAGGAACAGTGGCACTGAAAGCTTTCATTCACCCTGGAGCCCCCCCACCCCTTCCCCCCCCTCCGATGGTTCAGCGCTGCGGCATTTGTCTTATTTGAAGCGTGCCTATCCGATGGTTAGCTTCAGCACGTACTTGTAGCAAGCACTTGTGGTGCTTTCTTTGGAGCCGGGTTCAAAACGGCTGTGGGGGGGGGGGGGTTGGGGGGCTGCTCCCGCTAGCAGCTACCGAGTGAACGCGGACCGAGTGGTTGCTAAGCTTGCTCCCGCTTCCCATGGCCACTGGGGGCAAAGCTTGCCAGCTTGCCCTTGGGTCAGAGCAATTTGACCCTAGAATGCTCCCAGTTGCCCTGCGACGCCCTTTTTTTCTTTTTTTTGGAAAGGTTTCCCTTCAAACTCAAGCAAAAAAGGATGCCCTTCTTCCATGGCCGCTGGGCATCTGAGTGCTTGGCTTGTGGTTTTCCCTCGCCCCCACGTAAGCCACAATCAAAACCCGGGTAGATGAAGGTTAGGGACAATCCCAACCACAAATAGCTGCGGATCTCCGCCTTCTTATTTCTTGAAGCATGGTTCTGGATACCTGGAATCTCCATGAACCTTGAAAAATAGGTCCATGGCCTCATTACTTAGGATAACTTACCTCTTAAAAACACAACTTTTCAACTTTTTGGGTAACATGGGCTATATGTCTGTAAAAGGTTAACTTCCCCAATCCTTGGAGTTTTACGGGGTAAGATAATGACCAACCAAGAAAAACCCCAGGCAGACCATTTTACTACCGATCGGGTTTGGATTGCCGTGGATGCTGTGAGGCTTCCACGGCTACAAGAACCTCTCGCAGCTGCTGCACGCCTACCGCGCCTGGGCCAAAGAACGAGACGATCGCCTAAGCCATGCCAGCCAAATAGGCGATTTGCCACCATAGGTAATGGCGGCACTAGCTTTAGGTACCTAGCTCCCCCAGTAGTGCCCTTTCTCACCCCTTTTTTGGGGCGATTTGCCTACCATAGAGCAGGTAGGTAGTCCCTGCACTATTTTTAGGTACCTAGGTCCCCCATTAGTGCCCTTTCTCACCCCTTTTTTGGGGCGACTTGCCACCATAGAGCAGGTACTCCCTTCACCATTTTTTTAGGTACCTAGGTCCCTCAGTAGTGCCCTTTCTCACCCCTTTTTTGGGAGGGCTCCCCTACTAAAATAGACCACAGCAAAAAAAAGAAGAAAAACAAAGTAGGTACCCTTATTCTAACCTCTCAAGTCTGGAGGACCTACAGCGCATCACGGTTTCCTCTTACCCTAGAAGCCTGGAAGCACTGGGATTGTCATAGGTTGCCTGAGCATCTCCCGAGGCTTTCTCACCAAGGCCCACAAAGAATCTACCGGAGATGACGCGATCCTTTTTTCTTTCCATTTTGCCAAGAGGTGATCACTTTTTTTGTTCTTCTCATTTTGCCAAGAGGTGATCACTTTTTTTGTTCTTCCCATTTTGCCAAGAGGTGATCACTTTTTTGTTCTTCCCATTTTGCCAAGAGGTGATCACTCTTTTTGTTCTTCCCATTTTGCCAAGAGGTGATCACTTGTTTGTTTCCTTCCCATGTTGCCAAGAGGTGATCACTTTTTTTGTTCTTCCCATTTTGCCAAGAGGTGATCACTTTTGTTGTTTTTCCAATTTTGCCAAGAGGTGATCACTTTTTTGTTCTTCCCATTTTGCCAAGAGGTGATCACTTTTTTTGTTCTTCCCATTTTGCCAAGAGGTGATCACTTTTGTTGTTCTTCCCATTTTGCCAAGAGGTGATCACTTGTTTTGTTCTTCCCATTTTGCCAAGAGGTGATCACTTTTTTTGTTCTTCCCATTTTGCCAAGAGGTGATCACTTTTTTTGTTCTTCCCATTTTGCCAAGAGGTGATCACTTTTTTTGTTCTTCCCATTTTGCCAAGAGGTGATCACTGTTGTTGTTCTTCCCATTTTGCCAAGAGGTGATCACTTTTTTTGTTCTTCCCATTTTGCCAAGAGGTGATCACTGTTGTTGTTCTTCCCAATTTGCCAAGAGGTGATCACTGTTTTTGTTCTTCCCATTTTGCCAAGAGGTGATCACTTTTGTTGTTCTTCCCATTTTGCCAAGAGGTGATCACTTTTTTTGTTCTTCCAATTTTGCCAAGAGGTGATCACTTTTTTTGTTCTTCCCATTTTGCCAAGAGGTGATTACTTTTTTTGTTCTTTCCATTTTGCCAAGAGGTGATCACTTTTTTTGTTCTTCCCATTTTGCCAAGAGGTGATTACTTTTTTTTGTTTCCTTCCCATTTTGCCAAGAGGTGATCACTTTTTTTGTTCTTCCCATTTTGCCAAGAGATGATCACTTTTTTTGTTCCTTTCCCATTTTGCCAAGAGGTGATCATTTTTTATCGTTTGTTATTTTATTTTTCTCGGGGATCAACTGAGGGCAACTGAGTGTTGAAAGGTTGTTGAAAACGCATCGCCTTTCATTGCCTTGTGAAATGAGCTTCCTTTGAAGCAGGGTCGGGGTGAAGATGTTTGTTGTTTTCATCTGCGACTTGAGCATGCTGAAACATGTATTTAGACTGGCCCCGGGGATTTAAACAAACAACATCAGCCGTTTACGCATCACAGAGAAGAACCTTGGGCATGTCCCCCCTCAAGCGCGCAGCAGGCAAGTGTGAGGCACACCAATCTAACACCAACGCTGCTGCGCCGTCCGCGGCCTCCCATCTCTTCAAATAAATAGGTTCTGGTTTAGAAGGGATAGCCTGGGTCGCCAATTGCTGCTTTTTTTCCCTGGGACGGTTTTTTCGGCGTTGCTGGAGGACGTGGCGCTTTGGGGGAACAGGTTTCGGCACACGTTTTAAAGGCTACGTGGGCGTTACGGGGCGGAGGGCTACTGGGAGTTGCTGTTTTTGTTCCCTGAAAAGTGTCTGGAACAATGCAGCAACTTCGCTATCTATATCTATCTGTAGGAGTGCCTGTTTAAACACAGGACGCGAAAGTCAACGGGTTTATTTGGCGCTGCTCATTTCTTCAGATCTATTCTTCTTCTGACTGGGGAACCCCCTGAGCTGGTCGAAAAGGGAAGCCAAAGAGAAAGCGTCCATTCAACTTGGAGGTCCTTTGCTTGAGAGAGGCTTTGCTTCTCACGGGATCGGTCAACATGCCCGTGTAACTTCTGTCCCTTTCGGGCGGGTCACACAAGCGGCTTTCTCCAATTCGCTTAAAAGCTCGCGCGCGTGGGAAAGAAGCGCGAGCGGCGAGCGCAAGCAAGGAGTACTCTACGGATCCGAGACTTGCACCTGGGCGCTTTCCTACCGGCCAAAGGCTCCTGAGCTGCGCTCGGCGCTGTGCACCCGAACAGTTTGGTGGAGGGTGGAGGGTCCAACGCACACGCTCGGCGCTGGAGGGTGGGGGTGAAAAATTGGACCCTGCCACCATCCGCCAGTTTCGTAGAGGGTTACTGTTGTTGGTGCGTGTTAGGTTTTGCTTTTCGTTTTTGGTTCTGTTCATGTTTAGGTTTGGGGGCTGCACAAAGCAGTCAGTTTCTTGCCCAATCCATACCAAGGTTTAGAATGTGTCAGTGTGAATGGCTTAAGGCAGTCCAAATACCCAGATCCAGCCCCAACCGCCAAAGCAGAGATACTGAGAAGCTTCCATTTGTTTAAGAATATGTTTTGTGTTCCCCTGGTTGTAAACGGAGTCGATCACTACTGGACATACTTTGATTTTTTCCAGGGGGCTAAAGCAAATGGAAGGAAGTCATGTTTGGGGATGTCGCATTTGTCCAGGGTTCCATCTTTGATTATCCCAAGATGGACTCAATCCCATGGCCGTTGATTTGCCAAAAGGGGGATCCTGTCTCCTGCCCTCCTGAGGTCTTGCCGGCGCCGAGTGGCCAGATGCACCAAAAAAAGGACGGCGTTTCGCGCGTAAGCATTCAGAAGCGTGGCATCATTTCTGGTTCCGAATTTGGTTTGCACCTTACGAAGCTCACCAAGGCCGGAGGCGAATCGACCTTTGGGTTTCCCATTCTCGGGCATGCTTTGGTGGCCCCAAAGGTAATCACCTGATTTGTCCTTCCCCAGAATTAGTTCCCCCTTTTACTTTTTTGCTTTTACAAAGGGTCCCCTTCGTTTGCCACTAAGCAGGAAACAAAAAACACACATTTTTTTCTGGGGTCCTAATTCCAGCCTAGTTTCCAGGTCCCATCCGCAACTGCATAAAACTTGTCGGTTCAGTCACGCAGCTAATAGGAGCTCAGGATCGAAAAAAAGTATTGGAAGGGTGTGTCGGTTTTGAGGATAGCTGTTTGGATAAGGTTTTCCTTCATTTGCTGAAATGAACATATGTTTGTATGTTCCCTTGTTGTTAGGAAACAAAAAAAACATCACTACTGGCCCTAAACCAAATGGAAGAATGTTTCAAGGGAAACAAAAGGAGACCCAGCAGTTTTGAGGGTCCGCAATTCTGGTCAAACTCATAAAAGCCCATGTGGAATCCCCAAACCCTTCAGTTTAGCAACACTTCCATGAAACCTTCCACCTCCCGGAGCGCTCTGGAGCCCGGCAAGCAACCGCTTGTCACCCCGGGCCCCTTTCGGAACCCTACCCCAGAGCTCAAAAGTTCACTGCGATGCTAGGAGACCCGCTGCTTTCAGGGAATAGAACGCGGGTGTGTCGGTGTCTCCCTCTATCTCCCTCTCAAGGCCGGACTTCTTTACTTTGCTTTCGCCGCGGGAAATGAATCTGCGGTCTACATGACGAACAACCCAAGCAGAGCACCGTCTTCCCAGACGCCGCGCCGTCAGTTGCTGAGTGGCACCATTTCTTGGATCCCCCGCATTCTGTTTGGCATGTTCTCCACGCAAGATGGCAAACCCCAAGAAGGAGGGTACCTTTTTGCACCAACGTCACTGGCAACTGGGAAAGCTGACTTGTCCAGACCCGAATTTCTTGGAGAGTGCAACTCTTGTACACTTCCCGCACCCACTTGGAAACCCCGGGTTTTTGCAGGGCTCCTTAAAAGATACATTTGCCCATTTGAAACATGTTGCTTTTTCCACCAAAATAAAGGGAAACCACAATTTACAAGGCAATGTGCAGGTGTATAATGTAAGAATCCCTGTTCAGGGAATAGAAAGCGGGTGTGTCCCTCTCAAGGCCGGACTTCTTTACTTTGCTTTCGCCGCGGGAAATGAATCTGCGGTCTACATGACGAACAACCCAAGCAGAGCACCGTCTTCCCAGACGCCGCGCCGTCAGTTGCTGAGTGGCACCATTTCTTGGATCCCCCGCATTCTGTTTGGCATGTTCTCCACGCAAGATGGCAAACCCCAAGAAGGAGGGTACCTTTTTGCACCAACGTCACTGGCAACTGGGAAAGCTGACTTGTCCAGACCCGAATTTCTTGGAGAGTGCAACTCTTGTACACTTCCCGCACCCGCGTGGAAACCCCGGGTTTTTGCAGGGCTCCTTAAAAGATACATTTGCCCATTTGAAACATGTTGCTTTTTCCACCAAAGTGAAGGGAAACCACAATTTACAAGGCAATGTTCAGGTGTAAAATGCATCCGGATCCCTGTTTTGGTTCGGAAGGACATGTTCTGCGGTGTGTCGGTTTCGTGGATTCCGATTTGCCGCGACATGCTCGGGGCTTTGCCCGCAGCCCGTTTTTCCCGCCGGGACCCAGCACCTTGGAATACAGGCCGGGCGAAGCTTCGGAGGACTGGGCTCCTTGAAGTAAGTCCAAGGATTCCGTTTGGTTTCTGTATCCAGTCAAGGGGGTTGATGTTCTGAGAGCCTGGGTGTAGTTAACCCAAGGGGGTCGATTTTCTGAGAGCCGAGTTGGGTGGGTGCTTTTCTGAGGGTAACAACTCGTTTTGGGGGGCGTATTGGAAATGGGAAACCAAAAGGAAAACTACCGCATGGCGGTGGCTGAAAAAAATGGTTCTCCATTTCGAGACCCCTTGTTTCATGGGGGCTGGGAGGGGGGGAGGAGGGGGGAGCCCAAATAAGCCCTTTATTGAGCCCTTAATAAGGCCTTATGTGAGGCTTGTTTGGGCTCCCTGCCCCTTCCCCCCCTCTCCCAGCCCCCATGGTTGTTGGATGTTTGAAGGCAATCATAAGGAGAATCCAAGGTGAACCTGGCGAAGGATTCGCTTGCTGGGATCCACTGCGTGACCTGTTGACTTGCCTTGGACGACTTGGACTTTGCATACTGTCTTGAATCACCGGTCAATTGGGGGTTATTTCAATGGAGGAAACAAAGGCGTTGCAAATCTTGCCTCACATCGACAAATTGAATGGGGAAGGCGACTTTTACGAAGCAAGGATGGCTTGCAATCATTGGAACTTAGCTGTGGGTTGGGGCTCCAAGTCGATAGAGTCGCTTTTGCAAAGATCGACCTTTTCCCGGTCCAGTGTGTATGGTCCTGTGGCGTACAGATCCCATGTACCTGGAGCAGTGACCCGAATCAAGTGGTAATGACCTCATTTCTTCCCCAGAATTAGCTCCCCCTTTTCCTTTTTTGCTTTTTTTGGGTCCCCTTTGTTTTCCACTAAGCTGGCAAAACATATTTTTGGGCTGGGGTCCTAATTCCAGCCTAGATTTTCATTCGGCTCGGAGACTTCAGATCTTCGCTTCTAGTCGCCAGTAGGGGGGCGTTGGGATTGGGAATGGCTCCTTTGGCTCACCCGCCGGGCTCTTATTGCTTGGGGCTGGGACCGTGGAGTTTAACTATTTGAGCTCTCAGAGCTACTGCGTTCTTTCAACAATAAAGTAAACTCTCTACGGAACATCCTTCAACAATGGGCAAACTGGAATTGTTTGTATTGTGGGTACCTAGGGCTTCAAGAACCTGCAAAAATGTCGTACCCTGACTAAAACATCGTGTTTTTTCTCGATTTTCTGAAAACATCGTGTTTTCAGGAAAAATATTGTGTTTTTGATAAAACCCCTTAAAAATTGGCTTCTGAGGCCAAACACTCATTTGGAGCAAAGGGTCAAAGGCAAGGGTCGGGAGTGGATTCACACAGACATCACCCATTAAGATTTCAACTGAGGGCAACGCTCTATACTGAGTATGCTTCAAATTCTAAGAACCACATTGATGAGCCTGACAGCCAGGGTGTGCAGCTGGCTTCAGTCTTGAAGTACCTTTCACAGCAACAGGCACCTGAAGACTGGCGCCAGGTCATACCGAACCAGTTTGAAGGGGGTGCTGGAATCCGAAAGCTCCTTTTGGTGCAAAACAAGACCAGGTGACACTTTTGAGATTGTTTTTATCAATTTTGAGTTTTTTTTAGCAAATGGGGCGGGATCCTGGCGGCTAACCGCAGAAACCCGCAGAAAACCCGTAGAAACCCATAGAAAACCCGTAGAAACCCGTAGAAAGCCCGCAGCCCCAACCGAAAACATCGTGTTTTTGGAAAACATCGTGTTTTCTAACCCGTAGCTAAACCGTGGAGAACCCGTAGTAAAGCGTGGCAAAGCGTGGAAATTCTATGGGTTTTTCGGGTTCAACCACGAATGCGCTAATTCGAGAATGTTGCTGGAAAACAACGAAGTCGTGAGCAAAAGCACGGTCTTTGCTTGAGCTTGCGCGCTGTTCGAAGCCAGCACGCCCTCATCATGGCACTGCTGCTTGACAAGTGTCATAAAACCGTGGTACTTTTGACTATTTGGGTCCCCGGCCTCCTTCTTTCAGGTTGGAGTTGCGAAAGACGAGTGGCGAATGCGAAGCTGATTTCGTTGCGAGTACAAAAGGGGAGGGCGATGGGAGATTCTGAGGTTGAGATGATGCTTTTGAGATCTTTTGAGAACGGATGACGAGTTGAAGGAATGTATGGGAAACTGCTTGAAATCGAAAATGCGGTGTTTCCCGAAAACATCGTGTTTTCCCAAAAAACATCGTGTTTTTTGTAGGTATGACATTTTCATCGGTTTTTGAGGCTCCTGGTATAGTGCTTGCTGGGATCGCGAAAAACATGTACTAAAATGGCACCTGGCAAAGGAGACCACGATTTAACGTTTGCGCAACTTTAGCTTTTTAAAAATACATTTTGAGCCACCCCGAATAGGAATGTCTGAAACTCACCGCTGACATGGTTGGTTTCCTTTTGGTTCCTCTGCAAAGACCAACCGGATCTGAACCTTCTGAACGGAATCGCTGCAACCAAGCGACCTGGATACCTCCAGTTGCTTAAGAATATGTTTGTAATTTCCCTTGTTGGTTTTACAAGGAAGTCATCACTACTGGAAATATATATTTTTTCCAGGGGTCTTATCCAAATAGAAGTGCCAACTGGTGCAGGATTCTCTTCATTTGCAGTAGGACCCCTGATTTTCTTTGCCCGGCCAATTACCCGCTTTCCAACAACAAATGGGGGCAAGAGGGTCTTTCCCAGATGTGGTGTCCTTTTGGTTTCCGCTTAGAGCCACCAAAAAGGGGGTGCCCCCAGAAAATAACATACCCATGGCCCATATTATAGATATATATATATATATACATACACAACCTTGAGGGTACGACGGTGTAACCGCTGGCCATCCTTGACTCAAGGGTGGCTCTTTTGAAGTGGTGCTGCCGTCCTTTGATATGGGGGGTCAAGTTGGACTAACGCCTCTCCGGATTATGCGTTCCACCTCAGTTGCCCCTTTCGCAAATCGACCGGATGTGACCAGATCTTGTTTGTCCAACTTGGGGTTCCCGTTTTGAGCGGTGCCAAAAAGGTGATCATCTTTCATTTCCAGGTCCCCAAAGGACAACTGAGCCACATGTGCTTCAACTGCCGGACTGGTTGTCATAGGTGTCTTTTGGAAAGAAATAAGATGGCACCGGTGAAAAATCTAGGCAAACTGAAACCAGTGCCATCTATTTCCACGTTAGGTGGTTTGACGGGAAAAGCATGACATGGTTGTTGTTGGGAAGCATTTTGCATTTTTGCTTATTGTGGTTTAGTGGGATATCTCCACTTAACTTCTAAAATTCAAATGTTTGCTCCCCTTCCAACGTCAACCAAGCTAACGGGGTGTCGCAGTGAGGAGATCCACTGGGTCCGCCAGCTAGGTGCCCTTTCTCACCCCTCGAGATTCGGTTCCCCTACTAAAATAGACTACAGAACAAATTGGGTACCCTGATTCTATCCTCTCTACTGGAGGACCTAGACTACATTGTGGAAACTTCTCTGAAGATCCGGTGCGAGGCCGACATTAAATCTGGTGAATTCACAGCAGACCAACAAAAACAGTCTGATCAATCATAGGAAGACACCCCAAATGGCAAGGGCGAGGTGTGAGAGGGAAACCACATGTTGGTACCAGTTTTGGAACGGGTTTTACATGGTTGTTGTTGGGAAACATTTTACATGTTTGCTTATTGTAGTTTAGTGGTTGAAATCCAACCACTTAACTGCTAGAATTCAAATGTTTGCTCTCCTTCCAACGTCAACCAAGTTTAGGGTCACTGTGATTAGCCACGGATCTTAGGATGGCAACCGGCTTTTGTACCACCTGCCGCCAGGTGTGCTGGCCCAGGCACGCTTCCTGCATTTGCTTCTTCGATTTTGTTTTGCCCCGGTTGGCTTTAAAGGGAATCTGAATCTATCGCTACGACTTGTGTTTTGTTGGATGAAGGGATGAACTCGCATATGGAAGCAGCAAGGGGAGCTATTGCCGAAGAGTGACGATCGAAGTGGCTAAGAATATGAACTTTCCATGGCTCCCCTTGCTATGGCCTTCAATCAGTCTGGTACTAAAATGTTTGGAGCATTTGAATTGGGGTTCGGAGCTCTGAAAAACAAACGTGCAATTATTTGGCCCCCTGTATTATGTTGATTAACTTTGTTTTGTGTTGACCCTTGGATGTCAGCGGATCGGAAGCCCAAAAAAACCTGCCGCAAGCTTGGCATGTGCATGTGCAACCCTGCCAGAGCCAACAAACGATTGCTTGGGCTGGGGCAGCAACCACCAAGAAACTGCGTCCTTGCCACCGAGAAACCTTTTGGCTGGGTTCCCCAGTAGTGCCCTTTTACCAACTTTTTTTGGGGAGGGGTTCCCTACCAAAATAGACTACAGAAAAAAGGGTACCCTTATTCTAACCTCTCTACTGGAGGACCTAGTTGGTGATTCACACCTTGTTGGGGATGACCTTTTGGAATGAGATTAAGGCGTTCCCCCAGCACACAGCCAGACCCTTTCTGTGTTTGGAATCATGGGCGGGGTGGGGGTGGGGAGCCTCATGAAGAAGGAACTCAGCGCTTGCAAGCAAGTACCACTTTTGTAGGTAACCCTTTGGTATGTTGGCCTCTAGCCTTTGCATGACGGGTTAGCCTTTTACTCCTGGGTTGGAAACTGCAATGTACTCTCAGGGGGCCGGTCAAGCGGGGTGGGTGGTTCAGCCCTTAGGGAGCCTTAGGGACCCCCCCCCCCCCCGCGTGATTGGAACACTCCCCCCTAGCTTTTTGGTTATGTGGTTGGATCTTTGGACTTTAACTTTTGGAAAACTTGTCGCATTTTGTATCGGACCCACAAACACTGTAACTTGCAGAGGGGTCTCGCCAGCAACCAAGCCAAGCCTAGGTATTCCCCAGTAGTGCCATCTTTCTCACCTTTTTTTTTGGAGAGGGTTCCCCTACTTAAATAGACTACAAAAAAAGAAACGGTACCCTTATTCTAACCTCTCAAATCTGGAGGACCTAGGGATTCCCCAAAAACTGAGGGCGCTGGACATTCGGCCCCGTCCTTTCACAGGGCGGGGGGCATGCCGCGGCCCGGCCGCGCGCGGGGGGCGCCTGTGGCTTCTGCCCTGGAGGCGGGTGCCGTCTGGTCCGTTTCATTTTTGGTGGTTTTACAAAGAGGCCAAATTCAGAGGGCAAGAATGTTTTTCTTGTTTTTTTTTGTTTCGGGGGGGGGGTCCGCGAAATAAACTAAAAAAGACAAACACTTCCAGTTGATATGGGAGGACATGGGACATACACAGTTTCCTTCGGCTCCGTGCCTAAACTTGCCCAGGGAACAGGGTCCTTTACAGGATGCATTGGGGCGAGCGAAACAAAGACCAAAGATGAGGTCCTTGTGAAGCAGGACATGCAGCTCATCCGCACTCAGCTGTACCTGTCAGGGATCTGTCACTCTTGGGGCAGTTTGTTCACCTGACACCCAAGAAGGTGAACTTCTTCTACCAGGATAAATGGGCAACTGGCTGTGTGTGTGTGATTGTGTGTGTGATTGTGTGTGTGATTGTGTGTGTGATTATGTGTGTGATTGTGTGTGTGTGATTGTGTGTGTGTGATTGTGTGTGTGTGATTGTGTGTGTGTGATTGTGTGTGTGATTGTGTGTGTGATTGTGTGTGTGTGTGTGTGATTGTGTGATTGTGTGTGTGATTGTGTGTGTGATTGTGTGTGTGATTGTGTGTGTGTGTGTGTGTGTGATTGTGTGTGTGATTGTGTGTGTGTGTGTGATTGTGTGTGTGTGTGATTGTGTGTGTGCGATTGTGTGTGTGTGATTGTGTGTGTGTGTGTGATTGTGTGTGTGATTGTGTGTGTGTGATTGTGTGTGTGACTGTGTGTGATTGTGTGTGTGCGTGTGTTTTGAGGGCGTGTTTTTTTGAGGGCGGGCAATTGGACAGGATCCGGATGACTTCTTCGTGCCGACGGCCAGTACCTGGGGCGGGGAACTTGGAACTCTTGGCAAAACCTTGGGGCCGTGAGGTCTATTTTAGAGCGAGCTCCTGGGGTTAAAACGAGCGAAAGTCGTGATACATGTCCTTTTCTCGGGGATCCCTTAAATCAGCAAGTGGAATCATAGTAAAATGTGCAGGTCCTATTGCAAAGGGCTTGCAACCCAAGCAATGCATTGATTTGAAAGTTTGTGAATTTTCCGCTCTTGTTTTTAAAGGGAATCAATCACTACTGGAAATATGTTTTTTGCAGGCGGCTTAAGCAAATGGAAGAATGTTGAGTGCGGAGTAATGCATTCCATTAGTAGGGGCGGTTCCCTCGAACTCCCTCCAAAAGGGGGGGTGTCCCCCTGTTCACCAACCCGGGGTTCTCAGTCGTCAAGGGATATCAAGTCTGTTTTGCAGATACCGCAAGTGCCCTCTGGTTCTTGGGGCTGCACACAGTTGTAACATGCGATCGGGAGTTTCTCTCAAATGGCGGGTGGGTAGTATCCCCCATTCAATGACCCTTCCTTTCCCACTCTACCTTTTGACACAAGGGCTAACATGTATGCAGGGTTTTGCGATGGATATTGTAAATGGCCAAATAGTTGGTGTGAATCTCCAGGGAACTGAGGTCCACTCAAAGGGCTCCCACTGGACATTCACATTTGGGCGTCTTTTGGAGCAAACCGAGGTGGACTTTATCCAAGAAACCTGTTTGATCCCCAGTTGTCAAGGCTTTCTGAACGTATGCATAGGTGTCCTTTTGATCGGTTGGTTAGAAAATGGATGGCCCTGTTGGCGGATTGGTTCTGTTCTATTTACCAGGGCCATTTAAATCTCAAAAAAGTCCCCAAAGGTTCGGATGACCATCATGGTTTTTTGTTTGCGCGAGCAGCACGTTGCGCTGCACGTTGTGCCTCTCACAGTTCAGCTTTGTTGGGTTCAACTCACGTGATCAAGGCCTGCTTAAATTTTGTCATGGCCCACAAGGTTGCCGTTTCATTTCCATCTTCTGTGTTCATAGCACCGAGTTTCAGGCAAAACTGTAGGAGACGATGTTGGCCCCAAACGTACAGAATTCTTTGCTAAACAGAGCACCCACGTATTCACCAACCGGGTGTACACATCTAGGATATCTCCCTGTTCCCCCCCCTGCAGATGAACATGAAAAACCAAACACCCCCAACATATTCGACACATCCATGTTGCTTGTTTGCTGGTACACGGTCCATTTCCTTCTCCTTTAAGATCCGTCCCCAAAAACCCAGCCAGTCTATTAATCCGGGATCAACATTACCAAGCACCAGTTCTCCTTTCCCACTTTGGGAATCAAGGGGACACCGCTGAACATACGACTGAAAGCCCTGGTACTCCCTGCCTTTTTAAAGCATGGACCCCCCGCAGAAGGAGATTCTTCTAGAAATGATGCCGCAAGCCACCTCAACATAGGATTCCGTCCTCCCTCCCCCAACACTTGAAGATCATTCTGCGCCATGAACCATACCCTAAAAGAAGGAGGTAGCAAAATAGACCCTTACTGTCCATTATACCCTTTTCCTGTTTCCCCAAGAAATGCGAATATGGCCCGTATTCAGGCCTTTGGAAAAACCGACAGGGGTCCGGAGATGTGTTTGGATCCCACTACGTTGCGCCTCGGGTGAATCGACCTTCTTACCTTTGGGTTGCCTTCTTTTGGGTTCCCGTGTTTGGTCATGCCCCCAAATGTTGACCCTTTATTTCCAGGTCCCTAAGGGACAACTGAGATAAACTTGGTTTGGGCCTGTCTCCGCCACATTTTGGGTCAGGTGATAAGAGCCCCAGCTTCAACAATGGCAGCAAAAGCACACCTGCTGGCGCCTGGATGTTTCCTTTTATTTCCAGGTCCTTTGGACAACTGAGATAGACTTGGTTTGGGGAGTGCACTTACATGTGTGTCCTCCATTTGCTGAAGAATATTTGATATTTTGCCCTGTTGGTTTTAAAGGGAACCTATCACTATTGGGCATGTTTTCTCATTTTTGTCCAGGGGACGAAGAAGCAAATGGAAGATGTTGGATCATCAGAAGACTGGTTTTTGCCATGACAGTCTTTTGATGATTCAACACTGGCAGCTTGTTCAACAATGGCAGGAAAAGCACACCTGCTTGCCTAATAAACAAGGTCCCCCCCACGTCCCCCCCCCAAAAAAAAATACCCCCCCCCCCCCCCCACGTGCAGATGCTTAAGGGTGCGGTGATAAAAGACGGGGTTTTTAATCCCGCTCCGCGGTTCATCGCGGATCGAGGAGCGGTGAAGTCGGACCCCTTCGAGAAGCGGATCTCTGACTCCAGCCTCGGCGGAGGCACCCGCCAATATGTTGATGAGTGCTTGCGATGCTCGAGGGTTGCGTGTGTCTCTCGCAGTGCTTGTCGGGACCAACATTAGTTGTATTTTCTTGATTAAAACATGTTGTTTTTCCAACTTACCAGTAGAAACAAACCGCAACTCAAGCTGTTTGGACAAGGCCTCTGCCACACAATAGGTTGAGCAAGCGGTGTTGTGGCCAACGTTGCGTGAACCTCATGCAACTGGTGGTCCCATTGTTCATGTCCTGCAGTTTTGATACCATTGAGCTGCTTGTTCACGTTGTTTTTGTTTGTCCCGCCTCTCAACTATCTTTGAACATTCAGGTCGGCTTAGCCAGGCTCCAGTTTGCGCAGAAGCTAGCACGGCAAGTCGCCTTGGACTTCTTTCAATAAACGACTCATAGGGTCCTTGTGCGGACTTTTTCTAGGCCTAATCAAGGTCAGCAACCGGGGGGTGTTTCCCTTCAACCTACCTCTTAGGGGGTGATTTTGGCAATGGGAAAATCATGAGGCCAGCATGAGCAGAATGCAAGGAGGACAACCTCCATTTGCTTAAGAATATGTTGAATTTCCCTTGTTCGTTTTAAAATAATTCCTCAGTTACTGGAACTATGTTACATTTTTTCCTGGGGCCTCAACCAAATGGTTGGAAACTTCTTTCCGGGCGTCTAATGCTTCTCCTTTGGTCCATTCGGCTCCGACATGGGCAACATTGTTTTGCTCGCTTAGGGCAACTGACGAGGGATGACTTTATGAGGTCCTAAACATTGAACTTTAATTCACTTGCTCAAAGGACACATTCAGCAAAGAACTCTTGCCAAGCAAGAACTCTTTAAGCGAGTTAACTTCTTTGCTTCCATTCTGCCGAGTTATCTTGCCCAAAGCAAAGCAAAGAACACTGCCGAAGAAGCGCAAGCGGGCGCTTCTTGGGCTTCAGCCAGGCGTGGTCAGAGACACCAAGTCGGCGCACCCTCTTTTGGGAGGCCGCTGCCTACCCGGAAACTCCGACCTTTTTTTGTTTTGTTTCCATGTTTTCCTTTGTTTTTTCCCAATCAAAGGAGAAATTGACGCTTTAGCATGTTTTCCCATGTTTTTCCCATGTTGTCCCGTGGTCAAAGGTGGGAAGAAGGAGAAGTCGACGTCCCCATCAGTTTCAAGTTCTTTTGCGACTGAGCTTGGTGTGCCAGACTTTTGTTAAATCGAACTTGACCGGCAATCGCTTCTCCCTAAGAAAAAAACCGTCCCCCCCCAAATAAAAATCCTTGGGGGAGTTTTATGATTAGGGGACGCCGGTTCGGGCCTAGATCCAGTTGATAGTTTGCTGTTTAGTATTGGACTTGTATTGGAAAAAGTGGATCCCCTTGGATTTGCAGCAAAAACTGCTCAGATTGCAACTTTTAAGCAAGAACTTCGAAAGGGAGTGTCCCATAGCCTTCTTGTTTCAACACACTCTGGAGGGGGGGACCCCTAAAAAGCACATTTTGGGAGCTTGGTGGAAAGCATGTGTAGTCTCAGGAGTTTAGTATTGGTTTAGTATTGGTCAATTTAAATTGGCTTAGTATTGGTTTAGTATTGGTTTAGTATTGCCGATTTTGTGCCGCGGCTTGGGGAAGTTTTATTATTAGGGGTAGGTTGATGAATAGGAAGAAGTGATTATTGGTAAAACCTCAGCTGTCAGCGGGACTTTAGGACATGCCAACTTTGTTTCGAAGCACTACTTCCACTACATCCAACGCAACACGATTTCTTTTTCACATGGGTGCGTTTGCTTTCCAGGGCATTTTCCAGAAGGGTGCAACCCAAGAATCAGCACTGCAGGCAGGCCACGTTCCCAGTTGCTTGTTCTTTTTGACTGGACACATCCCGGCAAGCCATTACTTCTTGTTCAAAGCCAAGCTTGATAACCTTTTTGCCTCCCTTCTTGGTCCAGTTTCAGTCAGGACGCCGTTTTTATGGCTCAGGGTGGCTATTGGTTCGAGACCCCTGAATCTACGATGGTTTTCGCCACCCCTAAACAACTAGCCTCAAGGGTATAAATAGGACATCCAACCACCAGACACCTAAATATGCTTGTCCATTTCTGGATCTATCGTCCCACCTGGCTGGGAACCTTGCACTTCCCCGTACGGGAGGGAAGACGGTTTTCGAGCGCGTGGAAGGTTCCGGATTTGGCCCTTGGCATGTGGAAGGGCGCGAAAAGGACGGGTAGGTTCTTGGGGCTTGCCTCCCTTAAGGCGAGCTTCCCCGCTCTTCCGGATGTGGTGGCTGTCTTCTTTTGAGGGCGCCCAAAAGATTTGTGACAGAAAAAGGCCAACCAAAAGGAAAGCTGCAATCCAAACATTTTGTGGGTGCTGCCTTGAAAAAGACGAGCCCATATGAGCCTTGCCCTGAGATGCCTCCACAAGTTGGTTTCCCCCATTGGGGTCAGCATTAGTTTTAGTTTCTTGTTTTGTGTGTGTTTTCTTGTCTTTTCTTACTGTTCACATACTGTTCACGTTAGTTCGAACTGAAACAAGTGCACAAATAAGATGCGTACCGCATGCATTAGCTTTGTCCAAAGATAAGTGTAAGAGCTCCATAGTACACCAAGCTCTCACCCCTTGGGCGAATCGATCTCTTGACCTTTCGCTTTTCCTTTGGGTTCCCATTTGTACTCATGACCCCAAAGGCTGACCTTCTATTTCCAGGTCCCTAAGGGACAGTTGAGATAATTACACTTGGTTTGGGAATTCTTTCCAGAGGGAAACTTGTTTTTCAGGGGGCGCCTGTGTACTTACCGTGCTTGTTGACTCATCAGCCAACTGCTCTTATTGCCTCTCAAACTCACCACCTCCCCCTCCAGGAAGAAAAAAAAGAAGAAGCAGACATTTCCAGTCTCAATTAATCTGTGTTGGTGTTCCCCCAAGATTGTGTGTTTTGGGTCTGGGTGGCCTGTTTGGCGTGTTATGCGACGGGGGTGTGGGGGCTGGGCAGCTCAGCCGGCCGCTTCCAAGCCTCAGGCCGGGCTGACTCGAAGGAGTCGGAAATTCCCGACGAGCCAGGCCCCTCCGTTGGAATTTGGGGAAGTGGAAATTACATGGTGGGTGTTGCTTTTTTTTTGTTTTTGGCGTTTGGGCTGCTAGTGATAAACACGGCAGTAGGTGTTCTTCTTTTTTTTAAGAGATAAATTGAATATTGACAATATTAGTAGACATTTGGACGAGCCAGGCCCACTTTTTCCGGCTTGATTTTGCTTGTGAAGAGCCGCCAAGAGGGACTCCCTTGCTTTCGTATCTTTTTCCCTGTTTCCCCTTACCGGTTTTGCCTCGTTAGGTTTTAAGTGATATCCGGGGACAATCACAGAAAGGGGATGTTCCACAACCATAGGGCGTGATTGGACCTGAAGCGTTTGTCACTCTCACTTTTGTATCCCCCTGTCAAGTTTGGAACAGCCATCCTGCAGTCGCAGAAAAATGATGTGGAGGAATCCTGGAGGAAATCTCTACAACATAGGTGTCCTTGTTGGTTGAGGGCCCTGGTTTACCTGGTGGTTCAATCAACTGGGAAACCCATCTACTTTCCCAAAAGGGACACCTATGCTCTAATGGCATCCACAAAATGGGTCCCTGAAGTCGACGGGGCGCGTTTCGTTTTTCCAAGTCGCTGCACACTGCTGTCTTAAGCTAGGGGTCTATGCCATGGGGGCTGGGGGCCGTGCAACTTTGCAGGCGAGTTGGCGCTGAATGCTTCCAACAAATCCATGAGCAGTGCCAGCAACAAAAACACCAAACCTGAGATATATATATATATATATATACAAAATGCCATGCCCTCAGCATGGCCCGCAAAGAAAGTAAGACACATGTACCTCTACAACACGCATGCATGTTGCAGCCCCGATTTTGTAAAACAAATAAGGTTTGCTGCAAAACGGCTTTGCTTCAAGATGTGTCACCCTGAGGCGTGAGCCCCCTGTCACTCTTAAATAGAAACCTCTGCGGGAAGATCAGCCCGTCCCATTCTGATTGTTCACATCCAGGAAGCAGTTGGGTGCCGCCTTGCGTAAGATCTGCGGAGCAATTTGGGCGCGGTAAATCTGAGACTAGGTGATCCCTGCCCGAACAGTTTGCTTAAACAAAGTAGTTGCGGTGTTACTAATCAGCCAACCCCTTGTTGGTGGTTTGGGGCGGTTTGGATTTGGATTTGAACCCCTTGTTGCGGGGGGTAAATGGTCCTACCCCGGACACCACCAAACCACTGGGCTCCAAACCAATTAGTGGGAAGCTGAATAAGCAACCGGGGTTGCTTGTTGTTGCTTTGTGTGCATTTGCATCTGGGAGTCGTGTTGAATCGCTTTTGGTGGCATGAAAGGTTTTCTCTTTGCATTGGGCCGGTGTTCGCAAGACTTGGCGGCCAGTTGTTGGAACAACTCTGCACTTGTTGGTTGAACATGTATTTCCACCCACTAGTCACTAAGCCAATCCTACCCAGTGGATCCCGGGTGTTCGCCACTATAGCAGGTAACCCTTCGATCAATGTTGCTTGCGGTTTATACATCGGGGGGGTTCCAACTTGGTTGCCTACAACACGGGGGAAGGAATCACCGGGTCTTTCCAATTGATATGTTTGGCAACTCACTTGCAACCAAGGTACCTGGAGCAATTGGAGGTGATCGCCTGTTTTAGAAAGCCTGGGACCGTAGGTGTCCTTTTTGGTTGTTTTGGTAGAACAATAGATGGCCCTGGTTTACCTGGTGGTTTAATCATTACTACCAGGGCCATCTATTTCCCCTAAGAGGACACCTATGCCCGGGACACGGAATCACTCCAGTCAGGTCCTGGAATTGGGGAGCGAGGCCCGCGGCGCCCGCCCGGGCTGGGCTGCCCAGAGGTGGGAAGGTTCCCAGAGCCATTTGCGCGACAGGACTCGAAGACGATATGGGAATTATATTCCCGGGTCCGACCATGCACAAATGGACATGGACAAAATCCAAATCGTACCCCTAAACATCAACCAATCCAACCACTAAAATGGGTGGTGAATTCACCTACCCCAAAAATGGGATCCCATTGGTTTTGACAACCACAGCTAAATGGACTGGTTCATGCGGGCATTCAAGTAAATATGGCTCTTGGTTTGGCTCACTTCCTGTCATCCGTTTCGGACTTTAGTCACTTCTTGGTGTGGCCTTTTCAGTGGCAAACCAAAAGTTCGGACCTTGTCTGGCCATGGGTATGGCTCAACAATGAACCACCAGGAGTTGGACCGCGGGGTTTAGTGTTTGATTTAATTTACCAGGGCAACCTATGTTGAGTACCTATTCTTGACCCACAGCCATATCTACTTGACGTAGGGGACTTACCGTAGGTTCTTCAGCGCCAAAACTTGCGGCTGTTGCAGTTAGTTAGTTCGCTTGACAGCTACATGGCAAAAAGTAGATGGCACAATTGCTTCGGTTGAATCATCATCCCCTTTGTATCTGCTTACCTTCATTGTTGTCAGCATGTTGTTAGATGGTTATCAGTTCTGTTCAATTGAACCGTTTGAAAGTTGCATAAGCGTTTCTCAACACGGTGGACCCAGTGTTGGTTTGTCAAAGGAAAACCGAACAGACAACGCAACCACGTTATGGGACCTTGAGCAACCCCACACAAAAACACGCCCATTTGCTGAAATGATGGTTTTTTTCCTGTTGGTTCTTGATGGGATCAATTACTACTGGATATATTTTCTCATGTTTTCCCAGGGGGCGAACATGCAAACACAGGGGGAAACGTCCCATGAGCAAAATTCCTCCCAACTATGCAGCCATCCATCCATCCATCCATCCATCCATCCATCCATCCATCCATCCATCCATCCATCCATCCATCCATCCATCAAGCAAACGGAAGGAACTGGGTGTCTCTTGTTTTGGGGAACCCCATTTTTGTTAAAGGGAATCACATAGAACACAGCCATTTTCAGGGGATCATTTTGACACACCCTCACAGAACTTGGTGGCTCCCAGCTATCCGGTTCCTTCGCTTTTCAGCTTTTTAGTGGTGGTTTCCATTTGAGCCACTAGAAGTTATTCGCTTTGAGCGGATCCGAAAACAGACAGCCTAGATTCATAGAAACCAGCTACAGGAAATTCTACAGGAAGTTTGCCAAATACCCACCAAAATCCGGGTTTTCCTACATAATTTCCTGTAGCTGGTTCTCAGTTGTTCAGTGGCACCAATTATTTTTACCTTATTTTTCTGGTGGCCCCACTCAAAATGGTCCAAGCCCCAAAAAACGGTTCCCTTTTTTTCTCCAGGGTCACTGAACAACTGAGTCCACTTGCTCACTTGCCCAACGCCGACCCTTGTAACCTTTGGGTTTTCCCCTTTTTTGGTCCATGTTTAGCAAAGCTCCCAAAAGGTTTGCCTTTCATTTCTGGGGCCTTTGGGCAGCTGAGATTGACTATGGATAACTCTTTCCATTTGGTAGGGCATATCTTTGCTTGGTGGCTCTTCGAAACATGGCCAAATACCCACCAAAATCGCCAAACTCAGGGTTTTCTTACAGAATTTCCTGTAGCTTTCTTCGATGGAACCGCCCTCGACTTCTCCCCCCCCCCCGAAGCGCACATGAGGCACACCCCGCCCAGCTCCGCCTCCGCCACGCCGCCTCTGGGCCCCCCGCCTGCCGTCGGGGAACCCGAGGGGCTAGCGGTTTGGGATGGATAGGCCTCCATTTGCTGAAATGACTATTTTGTTATTTTCCCTTGTCGGTTTTAAAGGGAATCTAAAAGCTACTGGAAATATGTTTTTGTTTTTTTCCACTGGCTGAAGCAAATTGTGGTAGTGCTGGTGCGATAGGTAGGGTTTCCATTGGGATGGATAGTAGGGAATGTGAGCATGAACCCAGTCGCTTTGGTCCCCTAGGAAACGCCTTTGGATGGTTTATCTCGGGGTCATTCCAGTTCTCATTCCATGCCGAGCACCAGCAAGGTTTGTTAAGGCCTCTTGCCAATTTTTGGGGGGTGATCAATATTCCTTTTAGGGCCCCAAGATCAGTATGGGTAAGTTGTTTTTCCCATTTAGTGGGGACAGTCGATCCTTTGCTGGTGCTTTCCCGAATGGTCACTGCATGTACAGGACCTTTTGATCAACTCCCATGTGTTTCTGGGATTTCATCATGTTTCCGAGCTCCTCTTCGCTTTCTTTAATGTTCTTGGTTTCTGGTGTCGTTTCACTTCTTCAGGGCGCTCTTCATTTCTTTGAGGATCTTCATTTTGCTCGGGCTCGCCGCATCTTTCAAGCAAGCTGGGTCCAGCAGAGTTCCCTGAGTTCCCGAGACGCCCCACCAATTCACAGAAGCAACCCGTAGTATTCCCCAACTTTGATCTAGTTTTTCCCGGGTTGCTATATTCATCAAACCATCCAGATGAGTCTGGAGACAACATGTCTCAATCCGAACGGAACCTGACTGACATCACCCTCCCGCCAAGAAACATCAAGATGCACATGGCCCGACTCCCCAAAGTGACAGTTTTCTTCCAGAAGCGGTCTGTACACTGCACACTGGTTTGTGGGAAGGCACGCCCAACATCTCCTCTTTTCTCACAAATTCGAAGACGCCCGCGCCCAGTCGAACCGCTGCTCAGGTTATCAGTTGCTGTAGAGGTGCTCCATTCACAGAATGTCAGGTGCTGCCAGTTGACATTTCCTTCCCCCCCCCCCCCGCCCGCAATGTGCACAACATCCAAAACAAGGGTCCTTTCCCCAGAGGAGTTTCCACCCCCCCCCCCAAAAAAAAACAAGAACAACGAAAAATAAGAGAATGGTTCCATGTTTCTCCGGGCCGATGTTGATCTACAGAGCGACTTGGAGCTCCAAAGCAAAGCAAGGTTTGCAGGCTCCCCAATCTGCAGGGCAGACTGCCTTCAGATTCTTGGAGACACGCAAAAATCTTGCCCCAAAGAGCGTGTCAAAACGATCACCTTGCAGAGTAGGATCACAGTATCCAAAGTCACCCGAAGTTCCCAAGATAAGATACAGCCTTACTTTGGAGGACACGGATGGGGGCATGGATCCCATGATAGCCTCACCTCCCAACTTTTCTTGACTTCATACCTTTTGGGGTTTGGACCATGTTCGTCTCAAAGTTCAGACTTTGGGTCAATCCGCGGCACCAACAAAGAGTCAGGCACTGCACACCACCTTCTCCGAGGAACGCGGCCCTAGGGAGCGCTTGCTGCAGGAGGATGCCAGGCGTGCGGCTCCTACTCAGTTGCTGTTCTGGCGAAGCGACCGGATCTGACCGGATCTGGTTTTCACTTTTCAGGTTCCCATTGTTGTGGCCCCAAAAGGCGATCGTCCAGGTCCCTAAGGGGGGGGGGGTAGTGACGGCATCAGTTGGGCCAGTTTTGAGTTTCCTTCAGAGACCAAAATCGAGTCGAGATGGATTCATGGCCCCTTCCATGCATGTTGAAGTTTGCCATGGGTGAAGCGATGTAAGCGAATCTGTGGATCTCCGTAAACTTCAACGGTTTACGGGTGGAAGTAGATATTTCCCGTGCATCCCACTTGGCTTCCCTTACCAACCCACTTGATATGGGTTACATTCCCCTTTAGACAGCAAGCCTCAAACCTAGTGGATGTGCAAGCAATCGGTATGATCCACCAAAGGGTTCCCCGATTCCGACTCTCCCCATACCCCTCACTCCAAAGACCCTCTTGTTTCTGGGGTATGATGTCAACCCTTGAAAAACACATGAGGCACTTACCATGAAGAACCGCCTCTTTTTATGAAAGCCTGGCCTTCCCCTACAAAAGGTTGGCACTCTCCAAATCAACATGGTGCCCAAAAAGATGCGAACTATCCCAAGGCAGGTTCCTCTTGAAATGGATGGGTTGCGTGGAAGTTCCATGTTAAAGCTCAGCTTCCCATAGCTTCCCACTACTTATACTTCAGAAGGGGACGCTATGGGGGCTGCGTTGTTCAGATTCCTGGGGGCTGCCTTGCTGATCAACAACCAACTCGGGGAGGAAAACAAAACACCCATCATAACAACAACACAAAAACAAGCCCGTCATCTTCATCTGCTCGTTCGAGACCTGGGGTTGGTCTGAATTATCATTTTAAATGCAAACATTCTATTTCAATGTCTAATTTAAACACGGAAGTTGTGATCGGATTCATTCCTTATCAAATTATGTTTAGACTCTAGTTTAATTGGACAGTTCTATTGGGAAAGGATCTCCGTCTAGAGTCTAAATATAATTCGTAGTAGGATTCTGATCAAGCATTTCCTTATTGAGTCCCAATTAAGTCCTATTCTAATTCAATCTGAACTTTAAAGAGCGGCTGTTGGTGGAGACGTGAGTTGAGTACGCAAAACGCTACAAAACACTGGTTTTCTGACCATGATAGTGCTGGGGCTAGTAAACCAACAAAAACACGATTGTGGGACCTTTGAGTTCTGTCCTTTGACTTAATTGCTTTTTCAAATCCTACTCAATTTCTGACTGACGGTAAATATAAATGTCTATCGACAGACTCCAATCATAATTTCTAAGTTAAAGTAGAATTTGAACAATGACTATTATGCTTCAAAGTAAATGTTAGACAGGAACATGTAGTCAGCATGTTCGGGACCGCTAATTTATTTCCTTGTGAATCAATGCTGCTTGATATATTTATCAAGTTCTACCTAATTTCTATCTCACATTAAACGGCACTTACTGAGGGCAGAATCCAACCATTGCTTATTTTGAATTAGACTTTCACTATGGATTATATATACTATGTCAAAATAAATGCTACACAGGTTTCCATTTCCAATAGAATCGGCTTTGCAAATCAGTAGACATTTAAGCAACGTGTATTTAACATTTTTTGGACCTCTAAGTTATTTCATGAACTCTACTTATTATATGTATCAAGTTCAACTTAAATTCTATGTAAGTAAAACTAAGCAGAATCGAATATGGAGAGTCCACTCAAAGGAAACAAACGCAGCCCCCAGGAATCTGCATACGCAGCCCCGAGGACCCCCCCCGCCCTCTAGTACTTGGTGGTGTGGATTGGTGGTTTGGCAGTCAAGGGTAGTTTCCCATGTATCCTCTACAAGAACCAGGGGGTCAAATCCCCAATCCAATTCACACCGCCAACGCATGGTTGTTGTTGGGAAACATTTTGCATTTTTGCTTATGGTGGTTTAGTGGGAAATCCCCACTGAACTGCAACAACTAATAATTTGTTTTGCTCCCTTCCAACGTCAACCAAGAACGTAGGGTGACCTGAGAAGCCCCGTTTGGAAGATGTCTTCCCCCAGTGAAAAGAAGGAGGACAATGGATCGACGGCTTCCCCATAGCCTCAGTTGCTCAAGGCCAACCTTTTTTGACCTTTGTTTTCGCCGCATTTTGCTCCATGAGTCAAACAGGCTTGCGTGTTTGCTTTTTTTTGTTTGTTTTATTATTATTATTATTATGATTATTATTATTATTATTTGTTTAAGCCTCCCCAACCAAGCCCAAAAAAAACGGTCTCGAACGAGCAGATGAAGATGGGTCCCATTTCGGTGATCAGCTTTTACGTGCAGCTCCCCCTTGCCTTGAAAGGGCCTGTGAGGGGCCGCGGCCTGAAGCATTTTTCAGGCGGTGGGTGCGGTGGTTTTTCTCTCGCGTCTTCTCGCGTTTTTTTTTTTTTGGCCAGGCGGTCCTCGCCAGAGCCGGAGGCGGGGAGGAGTTTGGTGTGGCTGTTTTTTTGGGGGGACCCCGGCCAAACGGTGGTTTTTCTTTGGGTTTTAGACGTGTGTCTTTTGAAAAGGGACCCAGCAAAATGGTGGCGTTTTTCTTTGCGGGTTCTTATGGAAACCACTCCAAAAGCGTCCCCTCGCACAAAAAAACACCCATGTGGGTGTGATGCGTAATAGGAGGCACGAAATGGTAGACATCAGAATTTGGTGGGATGTCCACCAACCACTTTGGAGGTTCCCCCATCGAAACTCATATCCATACTTAGCCATACTTCCTCTTTGGCCCAAGGTAAATTGAGCTGGTTTGGTGGGCCAAGGGCTGCTGTACAAAGTGGAAAAGTAGGCAAAATTACCACTGCCTTCAGTTCCTGGTTGCACCCCTAGGAAGCTTACTTTTTAAGGGGGTGCGCAACGCTTCAACCTTATTTTCCAGGGAGTTGGAGGCGACATACAGGCGCATTTTGGGAACCCCGGGTAAGGGACAGTAGGTGCGCTCGCTTAGGGGTTTGGATGTATGGATGCTATGCCACCAATATAAGCCTGTGGCGCGGTAGAATATGAACCTTGAATGAGCAGCGCCATAAACCCTGGCAATACAAAGCAGTAAAGGGGGTTGTCCCATAGACCCTCAATCCCGAAACGCAGGCCGCGAAAGCTTGCGAAAGCTTATCCCGAAAGTGCCAAAAGAAGGTCCCGCCGCAAAAAAAACAACGGCGAACGCCTGCATGTTGAGCGGGAGTTCTTTGGCACCGTCTTACATTTTGTCCGCCGGTGGAAATCACTTTGCAGAAAGGCCAATGGCCACCGCCAAAGGGTGTGTTTCAACCAGTCCGCCGCGAAGGCGCCGGCGCAAGCGGTTCTAAAGAAAACGATTCGCCCGCGAGAGCAATGCGTGGGGTCGCGAAAGCATCGCGAAAGGCAACAGCAAGTTCATAGTACCTCAAGAGCATTCGACACGGCTAAAATGGCAACTATACATACCTCCACAACCCATACCCGAAAATGCCCTTGGCATAAATACCACCCTATGTGTATGGCGAGCTTGCTTAAAAGGAGGTTACCCTGATGATGCTCCCTCACCAATTTTCATCGGGGGAGTAGGCCCTTCTCACTCCCCGAGTTCCAGGTTGCTTGACACTTGTCGGGCTTGGGTGCCATTTTAGTGGCAAATTGCAAGTGAAATATTTTCGGCAATCCAAGTGAGAGTTTGCTTCTACCTCCTCTGGGTGTCGCTTCTTTTTCCAACATTGGGCCATATTAGCCCTATGGATTCAGCCGTTGCACACTTCAAAGGCCGAATGAATGTATATGTCCACATGAACCCTCAGTATGAACCTCTACCCTCCCACCAGCTAACATGGAAGTGCACAGACCCCTGTAGAAAGACGGCTTTCCTCTTGGAAAGGGCCTTTCTGCACTTCCATGTTAGTTGGTGAAAAAGTAGTTTTTTGGTCACTGAGTTCGTTACGGCATCGAGGAGCACCTTTCGGGGGGAATTCGACGTGCCAGTTCCGGCCGCTGAAAAGTTGCCTGAAGACCGGGCAGTCGCGGCAGGAGGCCAGAGCGAAGCAAGGTGGATCTTTTGGGCTTTCCCTGTTGGGCCACCGTCCAAGGGGGGGGGCGGCGGGGTGCTTTTGGGCGTTTGTTTGGGTTTTCCTTTGAGGCTTCCTTTTGGTGGTCCCCGTTGGGTATTTTTGTTTTGGGCGGCGACTCGGCCGTTGGTGTCCGCAAGCCGCCTTGGCGCCTTGGCCGCAGAATCGGAAAGCTCACCCGGCGTTTCCTTTAAACCTGCACGAGGTGATTGACTCACTTCCTGAGTTCATGAACTTTAAACTTTTTGGGAGGACCATTTTAGTAGTACTTTAAACTTTTTTGGGGCCATCCACTCAGCCAGTGAGTTGAGGAAGAACAGCCCAGTTGGCTGAACAGGGAAACAATCAGAGGCCCCTGCGGAAGGCATCAAGCGCACTCCGGGGCAAAAAGGTGATGTTCTCCACGTGTTGACCTCAGGGTTAGAGAAACACTGCAGAAGGCGGGATAGAGGGGGGGAGAGAGAGAGAGAGAGAGAGAGAGAGAGAGAGAGAGAGAGAGAGAGAGAGAGAGAGAGAGAGAGAGAGAGAGAGAAAGAGAGAGAGAGAGAGATAGCGAGATAGCGAGAGAGGGAGAGAGAGGGAGAAAGAGGGAGAGACAGAGAGAACCATCACACCCAAAGGGATGCTCGCTCTTGCTCTCGCGCGCATCGGAAGGAGAGCCCAAGGCCAAAGAAGCGCCTTGGCTGAAGCTGGTGAGTTGGGGGTCCATGGCATCTAGGTGTACGAATACGTGGGTGCGGCCCCTTTTTTAGGGACGCCCCCCTTCAAAACAACAGGTTGTTCTTGTGGTTTCCCTTAAAACCTGCCAAAAAGGGGTACCAAATCCAAAACACCAGTAGTGCCCTTTCTACCGTCTTTTTTTGGGGAGGGGTCCCCTACTAAAATAGACGTCCTGAAACAAGTTGGTGCCCTTATTCTAACCTCTCTACTGGAAGACCTAGGCTCGATTTAGGGCACTTGGATGTTCAACCAACCTAGTAGGTTATAACCATGGTTATAAGGGCACCATCCCCAGTTACCCCAGTGATAAGCATGGTTATAATCTACTTGCTAAATTGGTTGAACACCAGAAGGACATCTTGCTGGTTCGATGGGTAGTTTTTCGTGGACCCCTGATCCCGAAGGACCAAGAAATTCAAGGGCCAGGTGATGAATGAGACCTCTGGATGCAGAGCTAAGGAGCCCCTTGTTGAACATACCCATTAAGACCTTTAAAGCCACTCTGAAAGGGAAATATGATATCCTCAAACAGACACCCCAAAATCGCGCGACAGCTGGGTCAACCTTTGGTAACACATGACATGATGCTAGCCACCCAATGGGTCCTTCGCCTTTTGGGGGGTTTACCAGGCGGGGGAGGGATGGTGGGCTTCAAGCTCGGTCAGCTTTGGGATCGGGGTCGCGTGGTCGCGTCGAGTGGTCCGGTTGGACTGGCAGAGTAGATTTTCATGCGGGTTTTGGCTTGCAGTCCTGGGAAGGCTGTGGATTGTTGTTGGGTCTGTGTGCAAGCGTTGACCCAGCGCAAGCTCCACACCACAACGAATACTGCTAACCTGAATCAGTTCTCAACTTGACTGTTGTTGGCAAGTGTTTAGTTTGTTTTGGCTGTTTGTTTCTGTTCATGTTTGGCCGGCCCTGCAAGAAAGATAAAACATATTATTTTGCTACCATAACGAGGGTTGTAAAGTCAATCCACCCGAACACTCGTAGCTTGCCCAAAATGATTCATTGAACCTGGCCTACTGCAGCCCAAAGCAAGCCCATGACTTGCTAAGCCCCTGCCAAGCCACTACAGTAGGCAACCAGGATTGCTTACCCTGTAGGATTTGCATGGCGGTTTCCCCTGGTTACCTACTACAATGGTCACCGCAAGCACTGGGATACTTAAGGTGGACTAGCTATTAAACAGAATCTCAACTTCTCATGTTGGGTGTACCTGAGGATTGTGTTTTTCCTTCTCCCAATCCTTTCTGGAAGCTGCCATCACTTGGTGCCAATTACAAGGGAGTCTTGTTTAGGGGTCAGGAAAGTATGGGGAACTCTGCCCGGGCTTGACTTCTGAGGTCATGCTTGAAGCAGGCGGCTTGAGAGAAGGGTTCCGGAAAACGCAGGGCTGAGGCCGAGCTAGGTGGATGCCGTTTACTTTTTTGGGGGCATGTTTGGGAGTAGCTTGCCTGTTTGGTTCTGTTCACGTGCAGTTGCACGAGTTCCCCCAGTAGTGCCCTTTTACCCTTTTTTTGGGGGAGGGTTCCCCTACTAAAATAGACCACAGAAAGAATCGGGTGCCCTTATTCTAACCTCACAAATCTGGAGGACCTAGCATATCTTCAGAAAGCTCATACTTTCTGAGGCGATCGTTCTGGGAAGCAACCCATTCTGGCCCATCTGGAAGTGAGTGGCTTGTCGGGACAAAGAGCCAATGGGATACAATTCCAGGGACTCTGGCAATTTACGGCTGCGTTTTTTAGTAACAGAACCCTGAAAAGGTGGGCTTCCTTTTGGTTTCCCTTTAAACCCATGCAAAAAAGGACACGCCCACAGAAATATGTACCACGAGGCAACTGGTTGCCAATTGCTACTCGGGATCCATGCAATCCCCTCCCATGGACTCAAGGAACCTTGACACTCATCTTGACTGCACTGATAGGTGTCCTTGTTGGGAAAATGTGGATGGATCATGGGAATGTCTCCCCCCCCTTAAAAAAAAGAAAAAGTCCTTTTGGTTGTCCTTTAACACCACCCAAAAAGGGTAGCCTCAAAGAAAGGACGCCCATTTGCAGCCAATTTCGTGACTCGCCCCCTGATTCCTTGACGTGGATTGCGATTTTTCTGGAGAACCCCCCCAAGAGATGTCCGGGCTCAACGTTACTCAGCAATGAAAACTCCCACCGTGATGAACAGATACTAAAAGGCAGATATTTCACTTGGACACCATGCAGGTTGGTTGGTGGCTTTTTAGGTTCTTGTTTCAAGTTAAACGGGAAACCAAAAGGACAATCATAATTGTTCAGGGGAATCTCCTTAAATATCACATACCCATATAAATCCACCAGGTTGATTATTCCGGGGCCGGTGAAACGCCGTTTGCTAAGTCAGCTGGACCTTGGGAAGCTTTTGGCCGGCAAATGCCCCCCCCCCCCCTTGGATCCCAGGCAAGCCACTCTAGTAGGCAACCCTTCGATCCATTTCCTTTTGGTCCCTGATCACTGGCCATGCGGATTGGTTCACCAAGATGTTGCCCAATCCGCTCAGGGGCTAGCGTTTGGGCGTGGAAGCAGTGAGGCAACGCGTCAAACGAATGCCCCCGATCAAGTTTCCCCAGTGTGCGCCACGTGTTTGAACGAATTCTCCAGCCTCAAGCATCTCTTCCGACGTTCTGGCGAGCTTCCATCCAGACCGTCGGTCCTTTTGCTTGGGGATCCATTGCTTTAGGTTTCGGGGGGGGGGGGGATGTGCCCTCCCAGCGATTCCATGGAAGCTCCGAAGAAATCGAGAGGACTTTCCTGGTGCACGGTATCCGGTGGCCAACAAAAATCGAGCCAAGCAAACAACCATGCGCACAACTCGATTCTAAATAGCCCAGGAAGCAAACAGAAACAACTCAAGGAAACCAAGGACCCCTAACAAATCGGGTTGGGAAAAAACTTGGACAACCCGATTCTTCAGTGGCACCCGCAAAACATGAAGCAATTGCTTCATGTTGCCTCGCACCCTTCAAAGAAGAAACTGGTTTTCCCTGGTGCCCCGAAAGCTGATAGTATCTGATAGTGCTCAGGGAATGAGACATGGAATGACCCCGAACATTCTTCGCCTCGCAGCCTAACCAAAACTAGGTCCCAGAGCTAGGTGCCCTTTTACCCTTTCTTTTTTGGTTGGGAGATTCGGTTCCCCTACCAAAATAGGCAAAACCGGAAAAAAGTCGTCGGTGCCCTTATTCAAACCTCTCTGCTGGATATCCGCCGGTCGGCTTGGGAGCGGTGACATCGCCAGGCATCTCAGGCCGACGGGGACGAGGTGTCCCCCTTCGAGGCCGTGGGTCTGAACCTGGACAGGTCCCTGTTGGAGAGTTGGGGCAAACTTCACCGTGGGCATGTTTTGAGTGGTTTTTTTTGGGGGGGGGGGTGTTTTTTTTTTGAGATCGTTTGTTGGTCGTTGTTTTTTTGTTCGGTCCATTTGTCAAAATACCGGGGGCTGCCAAAAAACGAGTTTGGTTCTAACAACAGTTGGGAAGGAACGCAAGGCGGAATGGCACGACAAATCGGACTTGGCTAGCAAGCCGACTTGCGGTTGTAATTCCCCTAGACAGCAGGTTTACTACAAGCACTCCTAAATCCCAGGCCAAAATCATGATAACTGGCACCGGGAGTGAGGAATCGGTCGGGGTCCAAGTTGGCTATTGAGAGACATCACCTTTTGCTCCCCCCAAGCGAAACTCTGGTGAATTAACGGGATCTGACTCGTCGGTTTTCTCCCAGTTTGGTCCAGTTTTAGTCAAGGCTTCAAAAGGTGGACCTTGTTTTTTGCAAATTCTGTAACAACTGAGGAACAGTCCCCTGAGGAGAACCATGTTCTTATGTCATGCTGATTAAAAAGGGGTCCTGCTTTTCCAGACGTCTGCTACGGTCCGGTGAGCTAAACACTTTTGGATTGGTCCGGTCAAGAGATGGCTGTTTTCTAGTAAGGGGTTTGAATGGACTCCGCTCGTTCAGAAACATTGCCTGAAGGGTCCCCCAATACGACTGGAGGAGAGGTCGGTGGGCGAGGTCGCGGGATGATGGATTCAGAAGTGTTGATGGTTGTTTTTTCATTGGGGACGCTGATGCTCACTTCCTGAGTTCATGAACTTTAAACTTTTTGGGAAGACCATTTTAGTGGTAAATAACAAGTTCAGACTTTTTTTGGCCAGTCAACTTGAGAAGTGAGGATATGTTTTTCAACAAACTAGATTCTTAGGGAGTGAGGATTGCGCAAACTCCCGCTTTGCGAATTAGGGTTGACATCGGATGAATCGAGAGGACAACACCAATCCGTCGTGGTCCCCCTTCTTCTCACCTACGTTGAGACAGCACCCCATTTAAAATTTATGCCCGGAAAATGCAAATGTAGCTTCTCACCGCGATTTAGCAACACACCTACGCGTCGTCCCAAACGTGCTTAAACACAAACGTACTCTTGGTGTGATGTGGGCTGTGGAAGGATAGCAACATAATAGCCAGCTCCTCCTTTTTGATTTGTGTACTTTTTCTGGGGGGTCCTCTCTTTGGTGCATATTGCTTGGATGTTAGGACTTTTTGCCAACTAATGGTTTTTCCATTAAACCGCGCTCTGGTTGGTTTACTACACGAAACCCGTGAAGGGTTAGCATCTCTTGCATCCGCGGAGCCGCAGGCGTCCCTGAACTCCACCTTTGGCAACTTTCAGGTGGGGTGGGGTGGCTGTTGACTCTTCAGGGTGCTGGCAGGCATTTTGTCCCGCGAATACACGGCTTGCTTTAGGGTATGACGACCCTTGACTAAGAAGGGAGGGATTTACCGTGGAAAACCAGGTTTTCCAAAAAGCATCCAAAAAAGAGGGTATTTGGAGCAGTGGGTAGGGGCCCCTCTAGAGGGATTCTACACTCAAGGTTCCCTTCATTTGCCCCGGGTCAAAAGGCAAGCCAACTGGGTCCCTATATGGCTGTGGCTCAAAAAACCGGTACCAAAATGGAACCCTGGTAAGTGGAAACTAAGGCCAAAACCTGCGTAACCCCTCCTGTTTTATTTTGAGCCACACCCATATTTTGGGGGGGAGCCCTTCAAATTGTTCCCTTTGCGACAGGTTTCATCGAAAATGGGCAGCCTCAAGGGTGGGATTCCATCTACCCCAGTACGGCATTTGGACAACAGTGTCCTTTGGACGACTGCACGTTCGCGAAAGGCATTCCCCAGTTACCCAGTGGTGCCCTTGTTTCCTTTTTGTTTGGGGAAGGGTTCCCTTTGAACTCAACCAACCAGAAAAAGGATGCCGATTCTTTTTCTCTTCAAGGAATCCACTGGGCATCTGAGATTCCTTGCTGGTCCTTCGGGCCTCTTGTGTCCGAAGGCCTCAAACCGGTCCGAGGCGATCAAACCTTTCACGCGTATTTGAGTATCTGACTCAGGCGTTAGCCGCCGCGGTCCAAGCGATGGCCTGAATCACCGAAAGAGACCCTCATCAACGCCCTGAAATTCATGGGGGATGAGCAGGGGCACCCCTTTGGCGGAGTGTCCGGCTCTGGTGTTGATTTTTGGCTCGAAAACTGAACAGAGAACTCACTTCCTGAGTTTATGAACTTTAAACTTTTTGGGAAGACCATTTTAGTGGCAAATACAAAGTTTGGACTTTTTTGGGCCGTCCACTCAGCCAGTGAGAGCAGGAGCTGGATGACTTTTCTGGAACCAAGGCGTGTTCGTGCCCTGCACCAGGTGCAGGAGTTGTTTGTCGCCAGGACAGACCGAAACGCGACCGTAGAGAATATTTAAGCGGGGGGGGGGGGGTGGTCCAAGGGGTAAGGAACCCTGAAGAACCCTAGAACACCCTAGAAACTCTCAACTACCCCCCCCCCCCTCAAGCATTCCTCAGAGTTGCTTCCATAGGTCAAAGCCTCTCCATGGCTTGTTCAACTCAACCCTTGATCCTGCCAGATGTTGGGTTCCCTCGGGTTGTGGAATTTGGGGCTCTGGTTCGACCAAGGGTATGTCTCTGCTTAGCTACATGTTTGCAAACTATGAAACCGTCGTCTACTTTCACGCTGGTTTCTGTGTGCGGGGCCTTGGATGCAAATTGGGTTGAACCTTCAGCCAAAAACTAACCCACGAAAAGCGGTACTCTTTTTGGGATGGGGGTAATTGCCCTCAGTTCAACTGCATTTCCCAATGCCACGTGTTCCTTGGTGCAAGTAAAACCAACACCTCTTTGGCACGTGAGTTTCTTTTTTTTGTTTTAATAGGGATCGCATCAGGCGCGTTCCTTTTAAAAGCATTCGCTCTTTGGCCGTCGTGGGTCCCCCGAACCCTGATGAACCCCTGGTACATGGAAATGGAACCCTGGTATATGGAAACATGGACTCGAACCTGCGGCCCCCTGAAGGGTATTTTTTTGATCCATACCCTCCCACCAACTAACATGGAAGTGCAAAAGGCCTTTTCCAAGAGGAAAGTAGTCTCTCTACAGGGGTCTGCACTTCCATGTTAGTTGGTGGGAGGGTACCCTTTTCTTCTTGTGAGAAAGCCGTAACATCCGCGTTTGGGCTCGAGGCGCGGCCGGCTGAGCCGGCTGAGTCGCCTTGGGAGGCGGTTGGGGCGGTGTCGCTCGGTCGGCGTTGTTCTTTTTTTGTTCATTTTGCGTGCGGGTTAAGTGAGGAACCTGGGAAGGTCATTTGACGACCTGTGGAGTTCCAAATTTAGTTCATATATTCAGTCACATAGGTGTCCTTTTAGGTTAGTGTGGCTACAACTAGATGGCACTGGTTTGGATGGGTTTTGTTCAGTCATGGCCCCAGAAGGCTAGGCGTGTAATTCCTGCTTTGTTGGGCAAGTGTGTCCAAGTTTGTTTGAACTTATACTGTTTTGAGAAGATGTGTTTCCATGTGCACAGCAATTTTCGAAACTTCATTGATTCATCTCCAGAAATTAGTCAGGCGTAGTTCCACCGGAACAAGGAACCCCAGATCAAAACAGGAGTCCCCTCATGCAATGGGGGAGGTGAATGAGGTGTCGAACTTTATTTTGGTGCCTACACTCACACCCCAGAAAGCTTCTCAGAACCCTTCTAACAAGGTCTAGATCCCCCAGTGGTGCCCTTTTACCCTTTTTTTGGGGAGGGTTCCCCTACTAAAATAGACTACAGCAAAAAGGGTGCCCTTATTCTAACCTCTCTACTGGGCTTTTTGTGGCGGGGGGAGGGGGCTTTGGCGTGAGCCAACAAAATACTGTGGATGGACAAAATCCATTTGGCACCACTTCAAAACATGGGAGACAATTGCTTGTTGGTATTTACAGGGAAATCATCATTCCAGGGTTTCTGAAGTGGTGCAGTATTTCGTCCATCCACAGCATTAAACCTTTGATTCTTGGTTAGTCCCTGCTGAAAGTAAACGATTCGAGGGTGAGCACCCCGAGAACGGCGATCCCTCGCAGCCTCGCTTGGCAAACACCCCCCCTTCCCCGCGGCGTATCATCCTTCATGAAGCACGAGTTGTCAATAGTAGCCTTGGGCACTTTGAAGCTGGCAGTCGACAAATGAAAATAACTTTTTGGTACTTGGTGGCATTTGGCACTGGCCGTTGGCGGAACAAGTACTGGATGAAGCGTTGAGTGGTCCGCCGCTTGTTGCGTAATCCCTTCTCACGCTGCAGGCAGAGCCTGTGCAGCCGATGCAGCCAGTGCAGCCAGTGGCACACTTGCAGGACCAACAGCCTTTCGATCCTTGCGGGAGTTTTGGACTGGCCAGTTTGCTCAGCGCCGTGTTCGTAAAACAGCAAGTGCCCAAAAAATCCAATGCAAAGCCAGCTTGACTCAGGCAATCAGGCATCACGCTTGGAGGCTTCGACGCACGAACAGCTTCCGGCGTAATGCAATGCTCCAATGTTCCCTGGGCCTTTGGGAAACATTGCCTAAACCCGACCTTTGCATGGAGTCTTGCAACAAAGACAGCCCTATTCTAAAAACCATGGGCCATGCTGAAAACTACACTGGTAAGTGCCAATATCAGTACCTGATAATGTCTACGAGCCTTCGTTTGGCAGCTCTGCCCAGGCCTGGTGACAATGTTGCTGGTGTGTCGGCGCGCGCAGTGCTTCTGTCATTCTTTGGGTGTGCAAACGGCACAAGCAGCGCAGCGGATGCAGCCAGCGGCACATGATCAGCAGCCTGCAACGGGGAGGGAGGGAGGTCCCGCAAGGTACTTTGGGGATGTAACTGGAGGTCCGCGCAAGGTGTTTGCTACGCTTGTTATGCTGATGTGGTGGGTGGGGAGGGCTACTGTTGAAACTGGTACAAAGATCAAGTGGAGTGTCGCATAAGCATAGAGCTACCAGGCGCTCTTCGTGCATCAACGCCCCAAAGTGTCGACTGCGCTTAACTGTTCTTGGCATGTTTTTTGTTTTTTTCAGTTTTTGTTTTTGTTTTTTTTTTTTTTTTTTCTGTTCATTTTTAGCTGGGTGTTTGCAAAAAACCGTCAGTTTTTCGCAAGCCCATACCAAGAGAGATGTGCGGGACTCATTTCTCGCAGGCGCCTGCCCACGAACCCTGGTTCGGCAACAATGCCCAGGCATTGCTTTGCGACAGCTGCTGGTGTGATGTGGGCTGTGGAAGGATAGCAACATAATAGCCAGCTCCTCCTTTTTGATTTGTGTACTTTTTCTGGGGGGTCCTCTCTTTGGTGCATTGTGTCAAGGGATGTTAGGACTTCAAATTGTTGCCAACTAATGGGTTTTCCGAATTAAACCACTAAAAGTTAGTCACTTTTAGCAGGGGGGCAGAAAGCAACCGAGGGCATGCCATATGATTTTCGGTGTACGTCGTTGAAGTTGTTGCGCAGGCACAGCCGGTGCAAGCGATGCAGCCAGCGCAGCCGGTGCAGCCAGCGCCGCCAGTGGCAAGGGAGGTGGGTAGAGCACTGGGCATTGTGGGAGGTGGGGGTGGAGATGGAACTCGTCACAGTATATCGTTCATGAGTGAGTGGCAACATTCGCAAAAGCAGCTGAATAGCAATCTGTTCCAGCTCCACGTTCTAAAAGTGTTGTAATATTTGACCACTGCAATTGTCCAACATGGTTCATACTGCTCAGGATGTGTTGGGCTTGCGAGGCCCTCGCAAGCCGCCGTACAAAGGGGTAGTTCCCAAGATGAATGTGGCCCATGAGTGGCTTTCGGAGACTAGAGTTAAGGTGTCATGGTTGTTGAAAAAACATCTCTCGCATTTTTGCTTCTTGCTTTTCTAGTGGTTGAACTCCAAATCCACTTAGCTGCCAAAAAAAACTGAGAACTTGCTGATTTAGTGGTTTAACTTCTTGATTTTAGTGGTTGAACTCCAACCACTGAACTGCTAAAATTTGTCATTTTTTTGCTCCCCGTACCCAACTTTTCAACCAAGTTGAAAGCGGATGAGTCTTAAGGCCTGGAAGCCTGGAAGCAAACCAAAACGGCAACCGCTTCTGTTCAGCGCCCTCGGAACATATTTTTGGGGTGCTGCGATCCAGTTTGATTTTATTTGTTTGTGGCACTTCGTCCTAAAAAGCGTTCACTTAAGCCGAACATGTTTTTTTGGCACTTCGTCCATCAAATGATCCTTGAAGATGAAGGCAAGTCCTAAATCAAAGAGTTCACAGCCTTAAAATATGCCGGCAGGTTGCTTCCATTTGCTGAAACGAATCATTCCTGGACCTTCGTTCGTTACAGAAACGTGTGTCCCTTGGGTGTTTCGTAGCAGGAATTTGCCAATCGGGTGGTAATTTGGGTTCAAGCATTTTGGCTATTGCGTGGCTTATGGTCTGTTGCGTGGAGACATGTATGTTGGAATTAGTATGTCTGTTGGCTTATGTCTGTTGGACACATACCGATACCAGCAAAACGGGCGCAAATACCCACAACACGAGCGCAAATACCCGCAAAACAAGAAGCCCGGTTTGGTGAAGCAAACGTGAATTTGGGAACGAGCACGTTTTGGGTCATTGGGCGAAAATAGTTGGCCCGGGCATTTCTTTCGTGAAAAAATATGTAGCAATGGAAGGTCCAGGTTTTAATGTCCCAGTTAGTTTTTAAGGGAATCGATTTCACTACTGGAACATGTTTCGCTTTTCTGTCCAGGGGGCCGAAGCAAATGGACATTTGCGCTCTATTGGCAATTCTGCTGGCACCTTCCTCCTGCTGACCTTAAACCCCCCACTTATCATTAAGAGGGGTCCCTTTTTGTTGCGGAATCCTTTCTTCCAGGAGGATTTCCTTCCCTGATTTTTTAACTGGGGGTTCATCAATCAGAGGTCAACATTACGAACCCTTTTTTGGCCCTACTGTTCATGCATGAGTTTGCCTCCATTTGCTTAAGAATATTTTTTAGTTTCCCTTGTTGGTTTTTAAAAGGAATGCATCACTACTGGAAATATGATTATGTTTCCTGGGGCCTGAACCAAATGGAAGTTTGGGAAAGCGCCGTGTTCATGCATGAGTAGCAACATTCGTAGAAGCTTAGCGGTATATTCGAGTTGTTCAAAGCTATGCAAGGCGGTAACAAAGTCAAGTTCCAAGCGTATGTGTATGTGTGTGTGTGTCGGGATGTCCTACAGTCCTACACGATGTTGCAAGCCTTCGTGTGAAGGTTGAGTTTCTGTAGAGGATGCTGGCTGGCCTGCATCAGGTTGCTTCTGGCGTAGACTTGGCGCAGCTGGCTGGGCTTTCCAGGAAAAAAATCCGCGCTTTCGCTGCGTGTGAAGCTGTTCCGGCGTCAAAGCCTGAAAGCACAAGCAATTCGGCAGGCACCCGCCTATGAGCCCTCGTTTGGCAACACTGCCCAGGCCTGGTGTCACAGTTCCGAGTGTTCGGTGGGCGGGTTTTCGTGCATGCGAGCATCTAAAACCCCCTTGTGCATGCTTAACTCGCGGGCTGTCTCGTTTTTTGTTGGGTGCGCTTACCCAAAATCTGTTGCAACAAACATGCGTGAGGTGACGCCAGCAGTTGCTTTTTCAGGAACATGGTACGTAAGCATGGCCTCAGTTGCCCCAGGCCCCCAGGCCCGCCTTTTGACCTTTTGGTTTCCCCTTGGTCCGTTTTTAGTCATGGCTCCCCTCGAAAAGGTGAACTGTTCATTTCCAGATCTGAGATTGTGCGTAAGCCTTTTTTTGGAGGACTGTTTGTTTATATTCATGTTTTTGATTTCACTCGCGTGAGAGGGGATGCTGTCGAATCGGGGACAGGTTGTTCCTTTGCAGCATGTGGTAAAGATCCCTTAGCTCTCGGTCGCAATGTAGCTCAAAGAAGCCAACACAACTCAACAGACTTGCCTGCATTCCGTGCATAAGGCACCCGTAAGGCGCGTGGCCCTTGCCTTGTTTCCGAGCAGTAGCCCTTGGCAGCCCTTGCCTTCTTGTACACTTTGTGGTCCACTGAAAGATTCAAGATTGCGATTTTTGAGGTGCAGCATACTGCGCCTGAAAAGAACACGCCCTGCAAGGCGCGCTTCCATTCATGGCAAAGGAGGAAGGGTTGCAGAGGGCGTCACGCAAGCCAACGCATGGATTGGGCAAGGTGCGAGTACCCTCCAGTTGCTTAAGAATCTGTTTTATTTCCCCTTGTTAGTCTTCAAAGGAATTCATCACTACTGGAAATATATTTTTTTCCTGGGACCTTGGCCAACTGGAAGGTACGCAATGGCTGAACGCGATTCGACAGGGAGAATCATCACACGGCCAATTTCGGTGCAACTGGAGGCGCAGCCAGCGCTAGCGCCACACTTGCGGGAGCAGCCTAGAGAGGCAGGGGAGCGGCAGGGGTGGATAGGACTAGCCTTGGGCTGTACCGTGTTCATGAGCGTCGCATTCGCAGTTTGCAGACATCTCATTGATTTATCCGCGGGGTGATGCTCAATATGTCTTATCATGGTTTGGGACTTTGTTGTTGCAAGCCTCTGGCCAAACATCAAGTAGAGTGAGCTAGTTGCGTCACATCAGCTATGCGTCTTTACTAGCGGAAATGATGATTGCAATAATTTTACGCGAGGGCAGGTCTTGTGAGTGAAAGACCCGAAGCGTTGTGCCCGCGCAGCACCTGCCCACGATCCCTCGTTTGGCAACACAGCCCAGGCCTGGGTTGCTTACCGCTCCTGGAGTTGCGGGAGACTGCATTTCTTTCCGTGTGCGCTGTGAGCTGCGCGTAGCGGAGAGTTGCTGTGACTGCCTTGCTTTTTTTGCGCAGGCGCAGCCGGTGCAACCAATGCAGCCCGTGCAGCCTGTGCAAGCGGCGCAGCCGGTGCAGCCGGCGCCGGCGCCACACTTGCAAGAGCACCAGCCGGCAGCGGCGAGGGAGGTGCGCACAGTACTTGAGCGTTGGTCAGGGTGAACGAGGATGGGAATGCTCAATTTGATGTCCAACCTGCGTGTGCCATTAGGTTGCTGTTGTTTTCTTTTTTTGCGAGCCTTCATGTGAAGGTTGACTTTCTGTAGGGGATTGTGGCGTAGACTTGGCAAAGCTGAGCTTTCCAGGAAAGATTCTGGGTTTTCAATGCATGTGAAGCTCTTCAGGCGTCAAAGCATGAAAGCGCATTTGCCAAGTCGGGCCTACTCAAACCAGTTTTCCCATGGGAACAATTCTGCAGGCGCCTGCCTACGAGCCCTCGTTTGGCAACACAGCCCAGGCCTGGGTTGCTTACCGCTCCTGGAGTTGCGGGAGACTGCATTTCTTTCCGTGTGCGCTGTGAGCTGCGCGTAGCGGAGAGTTGCTGTGACTGCCTTGCATTTTTTGCGCAGGCGCAGCCGGTGCAGCCCGTGCAGCCCGTGCAGCCTGTGCAAACGGCGCAGCCGGTGCAGCCGGCGCCGGCGCCACACTTGCAAGAGCACCAGCCGGCAGCGGCGAGGGAGGTGCGCACAGTACTTGAGCGTTGGTCAGGGTGAACGAGGATGGGAATGCTCAATTTGATGTCCAACCTGCGTGTGCCATTAGGTTGCCGTTGTTTTCTTTTGTTGCGAGCCTTCATGTGAAGGTTGACTTTCTGTAGGGGATTGTGGCGTAGACTTGGCAAAGCTGAGCTTTCCAGGAAAGATTCTGGGCTTTCAATGCACGTGAAGCTCTTCAGGCGTCACAGCATGAAAGCGCAATTGCCAAGTCGGGCCTACTCAAACCAGTTTTCCCACGGGAACAATTCTGCAGGCGCCTGCCTACGAGCCCTCGTTTAGCAACACAGCCCAGGCCTGGGTTGCTTACCGCTCCTGAAGTTGCGGGACTCTGCATTTCTTTCCGTGTGCGCTGTGAACTGCGCGTTGCGGAGAGTTGCTGTGGCTGCCTTGCATTTTTTGTTCAGGCGCAGCCGGTGCAACCAATGCAGCCGTTGCAGCCTGTGCAGCCTGTGCAAGCGGCGCAGCCGGCGCCGGCGCCACACTTGCAAGAGCACCAGCCTACAGCGGCGAGGGAGGCGCGCAGAGTACTCGAGCTGTGGTCAGGGTGAAGGAGGATGGGACTCGCCAGTTTGGGCAGTACCTGGTTCATGCATCAGCCGCAACATTTCACAGAAGTTTTGCAGACATGCTCAAGGTTGATGTCCAAACTGCGTGTCCACTAGGATGTTGTTGTTTCCCTTTGTTACCAGCCTTCGTGTGAAGGTTGAGTTTCTGTAGAGGATTGTGGGGCTGACTTGGCAAATCTGAGCTTTCCAGGAAAGATTCAGCGTTTTCAACGCATGTGAAGCTCTGCAGGCGTCAAGGCATGAAAGCACAATTGCCAAGTCGGGCCTACCCAAACTAGTTTTTCTCACGGTGACAATTCTGCGAATTCTGCAGGCGCCTGCCTACGATCCCTCGTTTAGCAACACAGCCCAGGCCTGGGTTGCTTAACGCTCATGAAGTTGCGGGACTCTGCATTTCTTTCCGTGTGCGCTGTGAGCTGCGCGTAGCGGAGAGTTGCTGTGGCTGCCTTGCATATTTTGTTCAGGCGCAGCCGGTGCAACCAATGCAGCCTGTGCAGCCTGCACAAACGGCGCAGCCGGTGCAGCCCTCGCCGGCGCCATACTTGCAAGAGCACCAGCCTACAGCGGCGAGGGAGGCGCGCAGAGTACTCGGGCTGTGGTCAGGGTGAAGGAGGATGGGACTCACCAGTTTGGGCAGTACCTGGTTCATGCATCAGCCACAACATTCACAGAAGTTTTGCAGACATGCTCAAGGTTAATGTCCAAACTGCGTGTGCCACTAGGATGTTGTTGTTTCCCTTTGTTACCAGCCTTCGTGTGAAGGTTGAGTTTCTGTAGAGGATTGTGGCGCTGCCTTGGCAAATCTGAGCTTTCCAGGAAAGATTCAGCGTTTTCAATGCATGTGAAGCTCTGCAGGCGTCAAGGCATGAAAGCACAATTGCCAAGTCGGGCCTACCCAAACTAGTTTTTCTCACGGTGACAATTCTGCGAATTCTGCAGGCGCCTGCCTACGATCCCTCGTTTAGCAACACAGCCCAGGCCTGGGTTGCTTAACGCTCATGAAGTTGCGGGACTCTGCATTTCTTTCCGTGTGCGCTGTGAGCTGCGCGTAGCGGAGAGTTGCTGTGGCTGCCTTGCATATTTTGTTCAGGCGCAGCCGGTGCAACCAATGCAGCCTGTGCAGCCTGCACAAACGGCGCAGCCGGTGCAGCCCTCGCCGGCGCCATACTTGCAAGAGCACCAGCCTACAGCGGCGAGGGAGGCGCGCAGAGTACTCGGGCTGTGGTCAGGGTGAAGGAGGATGGGACTCGCCAGTTTGGGCAGTACCTGGTTCATGCATCAGCCGCAACATTCACAGAAGTTTTGCAGACATGCTCAAGGTTAATGTCCAAACTGCGTGTGCCACTAGGATGTTGTTGTTTCCCTTTGTTACCAGCCTTCGTGTGAAGGTTGAGTTTCTGTAGAGGATTGTGGCGCTGCCTTGGCAAATCTGAGCTTTCCAGGAAAGATTCAGCGTTTTCAATGCATGTCGCTCTTCAGGCATCAAGGCATGAAAGCGCAATTGCCAAGTCGGGCCTACCCAAACCAGTTTTCCCACGGGAACAATTCTGCAGGTGCCTGCCTACGAGCCCTCGTTTGGCAACACAGCCCAGGCCTGGGTTGCTTACCGCTCCTGAAGTTGCGGGACTCTGCATTTCTTTCCGTGTGCGCTGTGAACTGCGCGTTGCGGAGAGTTGCTGTGGCTGCCTTGCATTTTTTGTTCAGGCGCAGCCGGTGCAACCAATGCAGCCGTTGCAGCCTGTGCAGCCTGTGCAAGCGGCGCAGCCGGCGCCGGCGCCACACTTGCAAGAGCACCAGCCTACAGCGGCGAGGGAGGCGCGCAGAGTACTCGAGCTGTGGTCAGGGTGAAGGAGGATGGGACTCGCCAGTTTGGGCAGTACCTGGTTCATGCATCAGCCGCAACATTTCACAGAAGTTTTGCAGACATGCTCAAGGTTGATGTCCAAACTGCGTGTCCACTAGGTTGTTGTTGTTTCCCTTTGTTACCAGCCTTCGTGTGAAGGTTGAGTTTCTGTAGAGGATTGTGGGGCTGACTTGGCAAATCTGAGCTTTCCAGGAAAGATTTAGCGTTTTCAACGCATGTGAAGCTCTGCAGGCGTCAAGGCATGAAAGCACAATTGCCAAGTCGGGCCTACCCAAACTAGTTTTTCTCACGGTGACAATTCTGCGAATTCTGCAGGCGCCTGCCTACGATCCCTCGTTTAGCAACACAGCCCAGGCCTGGGTTGCTTAACGCTCATGAAGTTGCGGGACTCTGCATTTCTTTCCGTGTGCGCTGTGAGCTGCGCGTAGCGGAGAGTTGCTGTGGCTGCCTTGCATATTTTGTTCAGGCGCAGCCGGTGCAACCAATGCAGCCTGTGCAGCCTGCACAAACGGCGCAGCCGGTGCAGCCCTCGCCGGCGCCATACTTGCAAGAGCACCAGCCTACAGCGGCGAGGGAGGCGCGCAGAGTACTCGGGCTGTGGTCAGGGTGAAGGAGGATGGGACTCGCCAGTTTGGGCAGTACCTGGTTCATGCATCAGCCGCAACATTCACAGAAGTTTTGCAGACATGCTCAAGGTTAATGTCCAAACTGCGTGTGCCACTAGGATGTTGTTGTTTCCCTTTGTTACCAGCCTTCGTGTGAAGGTTGAGTTTCTGTAGAGGATTGTGGCGCTGCCTTGGCAAATCTGAGCTTTCCAGGAAAGATTCAGCGTTTTCAATGCATGTCGCTCTTCAGGCATCAAGGCATGAAAGCGCAATTGCCAAGTCGGGCCTACCCAAACCAGTTTTCCCACGGGAACAATTCTGCAGGTGCCTGCCTACGAGCCCTCGTTTGGCAACACAGCCCAGGCCTGGGTTGCTTACCGCTCCTGAAGTTGCGGGACTCTGCATTTCTTTCCGTGTGCGCTGTGAACTGCGCGTTGCGGAGAGTTGCTGTGGCTGCCTTGCATTTTTTGTTCAGGCGCAGCCGGTGCAACCAATGCAGCCGTTGCAGCCTGTGCAGCCTGTGCAAGCGGCGCAGCCGGCGCCGGCGCCACACTTGCAAGAGCACCAACCTAAACCGGCGAGGGAGGTGCGCAGAGTACTTGGTGGATGGGACTCGCCCGTTCGGGCAGTACTTGGTCCATGCATGAGCCGCAACATTCACAGAAGTTTTGCAGACACGATTAAGCTTGCTGTTTTTGCAGGGCCAACCTGCGTGTGCCATTGGGCTGTCTTTGTATTCCTTTGCGAGGCTTCATGTGATTTTGCTCTTTTTGTGAAGGATGTTGGCTGTGTTGCGTTGGGGTGGCTTTCCAGGAAAGATTCAGCGTTTTCAACGCATGCGAAGCTCTGCAGGCGTCAAAGCATGAAAGCACAATTGCTACGGGCCTACCCAAACCAGTTTTTTCTCGGGGTGACAATTCTGCGAATTCTGCAGGCGCCTGCCTACGAGCCCTCGTTTGGCAACACAGCCCAGGCCTGGGTTGCTTAACGCTCCTGAAGTTGCGGGACTCTGCATTTCTTTCCGTGTGCGCTGTGAGCTGCGCGTAGCGGAGAGTTGCTGTGGCTGCCTTGCATTTTTTGTTCAGGCGCAGCCGGTGCAACCAATGCAGCCGTTGCAGCCTGTGCAGCCTGTGCAAGCGGCGCAGCCGGCGCCGGCGCCACACTTGCAAGAGCACCAACCTACAACGGCGAGGGAGGTGCGCAGAGTACTTGGTGGATGGGACTCGCCAGTTCGGGCAGTACTTGGTCCATGCATGAGCCGCAACATTCACAGAAGTTTTGCAGACACGATTAAGCCTGCTGTTTTTGCAGGGCCAACCTGCGTGTGCCATTAGGCTGTCTTTGTATTCCTTTGCGAGGCTTCATGTGATTTTGTTCTTTTTGTGCAGGATGTTGGCTGTGTTGCGTTGGGGTGGCTTTCCAGGAAAAATTAAGCGTTTTCAACGCATGTGAAGCTCTGCAGGCGTCAAAGCATGAAAGCACAATTGCCAAGTCGGGCCTACCCAAACCAGTTTTTCTCACGGTGACAATTCTGCGAATTCTGCAGGCGCCTGCCTACGAACCCTCGTTTGGCAACACAGCCCAGGCCTGGGTTGCTTAACGCTCCTGAAGTTGTGGGACTCTGCATTTCTTTCCGTGTGCGCTGTGAGCTGCGCGTAGCGGAGATTTGCTGTGGCTGCCTTGCATTTTTCGTTCAGGCGCAGCCGGTGGAACCAATGCAGCCGTTGCAGCCTGTGCAGCCTGCGCAAACGGCGCAGCCGGTGCAGCCGGCGCCAGCGCCACACTTGCAAGAGCACCAGCCTACATCGGCGAGGGAGGCGCGCAGAGTACTCGAGCTGTGGTCAGGGTGAAGGAGGATGGGACTCGCCAGTTTGGGCAGTACCTGGTTCATGCATCAGCCGCAACATTCACAGAAGTTTTGCAGAGATGCTCAAGTTTAATGATGTTGTTGTTTCCCTTTGTTACCAGCCTTCATGTGAAGGTTGAGTTTCTGTAGAGGATTGTGGCGCTGACTTGGCAAATCTGAGCTTTCCAGGAAAGATTCAGCGTTTTCAATGCATGGGAAGCTCTTCAGGCGTCAAAGCATGAAAGCGCATTTGCCAAGTCGGGCCTACCCAGACCAGTTTTCCCACGGGAACAATTCTGCAGGCGCCTGCCTACGAGCCCTCGTTTGGCAACACAGCCCGGGCCTGGGTTGCTTAACGCTCCTGAAGTTGCGGGACTCTGTATTTCTTTCCGTGCGCGCTGTGAGCCGCGCCCTAGCGGAGAGTTGCTGTGACTGTGTTGCATTTCTTGTTCAGGCGCAGCCGGTGCAACCAATGCAGCCGTTGCAGCCGGTGCAGCCTGTCCAAACGGCGCAGCCAGTGCAGACAGCGCCGGCGCCACACTTGCAAGAGCACCAGCCTACAGCGGCGAGGGAGGTGCGCAGAGTAATTACTTGAGCATTGGTCAGGGTGAGGGCGGAATGGATTTTCTTTTGGGGTCGGTACTGTGTCTATAAATGACAAGCAACACTCGTAGAAGTTTGCACCAGCTTTGCAAGATGGTGCCAAGGTAGATGTCCAATGTGTGTCTGGCTGTGTTGGTGTTGTCCTCGTGTGAAGGGCATGTTCCTGTGAATCAACCTGGGTGTGTCCCTTCAGGGTGCTTCTGTCGCAGAGTTGGCAAAGCTGGGTTGCGCTGAAAGACTCAATGCTTTCAGCACATGTAAAGCTCCTTGATGAATCAAAGCCTTGCAGCACCATGCCCGGATCAAGCCAGCTTTCACACATGGGCAAGTCTGCAGGGGTTCTTCAGCAAGAGTTTGTGTTTTTTTTGCATTTCTCGGTTGCGCCTTCAGCATTGATCAGAAGAATGGAGGATGTGTTCCGGCAGAAGCTCACTTCCTGAGCTCATGGATGTTGTTTTTTGGCAAGAGCATTTGAGTGGTCAGAAACCAAATTTATCCTTGTTGGGCAACCCCTCAGGACGCGAGGATGTTACTTTATGATTGCAAGAACTAGACGCTAAGGCAGCACTTGTGGGCGAAAGCCTCCGAAGTTGCGAGACTCTTTATTTCTTTCCGTGCTTTTGTGTGTGTGTGCTGTGGGCCATGTGTACCGGAAATGACTGTGACTGTGCTTCTTGCATTTCTTGCGCAGGCGCAGCCGGTGCAACCGATGCAGCCGCCGCAGCCTGTGCAAACAGCGCAGCCTGTGCAGCCAGCACCGGCACCGCCTGCAGCGGCGAGGGAGGTGCGCAGAGTACTTGAGCGTTGGGCAGGGTGATGGAGGATGGGACTCGTCAGTTCGGGCAGTACTTGGTCAATGCCTGGGCCGCAGCATTCCCAAAGTTTGCAGACATGCTTATGCTTGCTGTCTTTTGCAGGGCCAAGGTGATGTCCGACCTGTGTGTGCCATCAGGATGTCTTTGCTCTCCTCCTTTTTTGCGAGCCTTCATGTGTGAAACTGTAGTTTTGGTACAGGATGCTGGCTGTGCTGCGTCGGGGTGGTTTGTGGCGCTGACTTGGCAAAGCTGAGCTTTCCAGGAAAGATTCAGCGTTTTCAATGCGTGGGGAGCTCTTCAGGCGTCAAGGCATGAAAGCGCAATTGCCAAGTCGGGCCGAGTCAAACCAGTTTCCCCTCGTGAGCAAATCTGAAGGCGCCTGCCTACGAGCCCTCGTTTGGCAACACAGCCCAGGCCTGGGTTGCTTAACACTCCTGGAGTTGCTGGACTCTGAATTTCTTTCCGTGCGCGCTGTGAGCCGCACCCTAGCGGAGAGTTGCTGTGACTGTGTTGCATTTCTTGTTCAGGCGCAGCCGGTGCAACCAATGCAGCCGTTGCAGCCGGTGCAGCCTGTCCAAACGGCGCAGCCAGTGCAGACAGCGCCGGCGCCACACTTGCAAGAGCACCAGCCTACAGCGGCGAGGGAGGTGCGCAGAGTAATTACTTGAGCATTGGTCAGGGTGAGGGCGGAATGGATTTTCTTTTGGGGTCGGTACTGTGTCTATAAATGACAAGCAACACTCGTAGAAGTTTGCACCAGCTTTGCAAGATGGTGCCAAGGTAGATGTCCAATGTGTGTCTGGCTGTGTTGGTGTTGTCCTCGTGTGAAGGGCATGTTCCTGTGAATCAACCTGGGTGTGTCCCTTCAGGGTGCTTCTGTCGCAGAGTTGGCAAAGCTGGGTTGCGCTGAAAGACTCAATGCTTTCAGCACATGTAAAGCTCCTTGATGAATCAAAGCCTTGCAGCACCATGCCCGGATCAAGCCAGCTTTCACACATGGGCAAGTCTGCAGGGGTTCTTCAGCAAGAGTTTGTGTTTTTTTTGCATTTCTCGGTTGCGCCTTCAGCATTGATCAGAAGAATGGAGGATGTGTTCCGGCAGAAGCTCACTTCCTGAGCTCATGGATGTTGTTTTTTGGCAAGAGCATTTGAGTGGTCAGAAACCAAATTTATCCTTGTTGGGCAACCCCTCAGGACGCGAGGATGTTACTTTATGATTGCAAGAACTAGACGCTAAGGCAGCACTTGTGGGCGAAAGCCTCCGAAGTTGCGAGACTCTTTATTTCTTTCCGTGCTTGTGTGTGTGTGTGCTGTGGGCCATGTGTACCGGAAATGACTGTGACTGTGTTTCTTGCATTTCTTGCGCAGGCGCAGCCGGTGCAACCGATGCAGCCGCCGCAGCCTGTGCAAACAGCGCAGCCTGTGCAGCCAGCACCGGCACCGCCTGCAGCGGCGAGGGAGGTGCGCAGAGTACTTGAGCGTTGGGCAGGGTGATGGAGGATGGGACTCGTCAGTTCGGGCAGTACTTGGTCAATGCCTGGGCCGCAGCATTCCCAAAGTTTGCAGACATGCTTATGCTTGCTGTCTTTTGCAGGGCCAAGGTGATGTCCGACCTGTGTGTGCCATCAGGATGTCTTTGCTCTCCTCCTTTTTTGCGAGCCTTCATGTGTGAAACTGTAGTTTTGGTACAGGATGCTGGCTGTGCTGCGTCGGGGTGGTTTGTGGCGCTGACTTGGCAAAGCTGAGCTTTCCAGGAAAGATTCAGCGTTTTCAATGCGTGGGGAGCTCTTCAGGCGTCAAGGCATGAAAGCGCAATTGCCAAGTCGGGCCGAGTCAAACCAGTTTCCCCTCGTGAGCAAATCTGAAGGCGCCTGCCTACGAGCCCTCGTTTGGCAACACAGCCCAGGCCTGGGTTGCTTAACACTCCTGGAGTTGCTGGACTCTGAATTTCTTTCCGTGCGCGCTGTGAGCCGCACCCTAGCGGAGAGTTGCTGTGACTGCCTTTGCAATTCTTGCGCAGGCGCAGCCGGTGCAACCAATGCAGCCCGTGCAGCCTGTGGAAGCGGCGCAGCCGGTGCAGCCGGCGCCGGCGCCACACTCGCAAGAGCACCAGCCTACAGCGGCGAGGGAGGTGCGCAGAGTACTTTAGCATGGGTCTGGGTGAGGGCGTTTCCCTTCAAAACCACTCCAAAAGGGGTAGCCACACCCATGTTTATCCGGCGATCTGTGTTCTTTGCATTTCTTCGGTTCCAGCAAAGGTGCGAGTTGTCAGCATTGACCAAAAAAACGAAGAGAATGTCTTCCGGCAGACACTCGCTTCCAGAGCTCATGCAGATTGATTTTGTGTGAAGAGCAATTGAGTGGTGAATAAACAAATCCTTGTTGGGCAAACCTCTCAGGACGCGATGAACTTTAAACTGTATGACTGCAAGAACTAAAGGCTAGGGCAGCTCTTGTGGGCGAAAGCCTCGCAGTGCTACTGAAGTTGCGAGAGAGAGAGAGAGAGAGAGTGTGTATTTCTTTCCGTGCATGTGTGTGCTGTGAGCCGCGCATGCCGGAAATGACTGCGACTGTGTTCCTTGCATTTCTTGCGCAGGCGCAGCCGGTGCAACCGATGCAGCCGCCGCAGCCTGTGCAAACAGCGCAGCCTGTGCAGCCAGCACCGGCACCGCCTGCAGCGGCGAGGGAGGTGCGCAGAGTACTTGAGCGTTGGGCAGGGTGATGGAGGATGGGAGTCGTCAGTTCGGGCAGTACTTGGTCAATGCCTGGGCCGCAGCATTCCCAAAGTTTGCAGACATGCTTATGCTTGCTGTCTTTTGCAGGGCCAAGGTGATCTCCAACCTGCATGTGTGTGCCATTAGGATGTCATTGTTTTCCTTTGTTTGCGCCTTCATGTGAAAGTTGAGTTTGTGTGCAGGATGCTGGTTGTGTTGTGTCGGGGTGGTTTTTGTGGGCGTAGACTTGGCAAAACTGAACTTTCCAGGAAAGTTTCAGAATTTTCAATGCATGTGAAGCGTTGCAAGCGTCAAAAGTCAAACCAGTTTCCCCACGTGAACAATTCTGCAGGCGCCTGCCTACGAGCCCTCGTTTGGCAACGCAGTCCAGGCCTGGGTTGCGTGGCACTGCTGTACCGAAGTTGCGGGACTCTGTATTTCGTTCCGTGTGCCGCGCGTAGCGGAGAGTTGCTGTGGCTGCCTTTCATTTTTTGTTCAGGCGCAGCCGGGGCAACCAATGCAGCCGGTGCAGCCTGTGCAAGCGGCGCAGCCGGTGCAGCCAGCGCCGGCACCATACTTGGAGCAACAGCAGCCCACAGCGAGGGAGGCGCACAGAGTACTTGAGCAATGGGCTAGGTGATGGCCCCCCAAGCTGAAAAGTACTATTTATCTGACTGGCTGGCCGCATTTGGCATATATTTAGAGTATACTTGAGCTGCCTGATCGTGACGACAGGGTCAAACACTTTGCAAGTTTTGCCCCCAGTGATATTGAATGTGTGTGTGTGTGCGCGTGTCAGCAGGATTTGGGGACGTTCTTGTGGCAAACCTTCAGTGCACAGATCACATTGAGCAAGTTGTGCTTCACCAGTGAGGTCTCAGCATAGACTTAGCCACAGGATTATTACAATAATTTATGTCAAACAATGTTTGGGTGAAAGCCTCAACATGCTGTTCCCGGACATTGATTTTGCACATTGGGCAATGAGTCAGGCAGCTGCCTACGAACCCTCGTTTGGCAACACAGCTGAGGCCTGGATTGCTCAACGAGGTCAATGGGACCAAAGTTGCTAGTCTACGTATTTCTGTCCGTTTGTGTTGTGAGCTGTCCGTACGGGCAATCGCTGTGACAATGCTGTGCACGTTTCTCATGCAGGCACAGCCGACACAACCGACGCAGCCGGTGCAACCGGCGCAGCTGGTGCAGCCAGCACCGGCACCGCACTTGCAAGACCAGCAGGCTGGTGCAGCGAGGGAGGTGCGCAGAGCACTTGAGCCATTGGGTGTGGTGAGGGGCCACACAGCTGGCAATTAGTGTGTTTATGAACCGGTGGCCACACATTGCCAGGTGTTTGTTTGTATATGCATATGTATATATTAACATATTTACATATTCAAGTTGTTTGGTCTTAATAACAGAGCAACACCCCTCGCAAGTTTAGAACCCCACTGATGCTGGATGTGTGTGTGTGTGTGTCAGCAGGATGTGGGTCCGTTCTTGTGGCAAGCCTTCAGCGCAAAGATCACACGGAGCGAGCAGCGCTTCATCAGTCAGGCCCCAGCATTGGGTTAGCTGTGTGAGTTAGGACGGGATGATTGCAACAATTTCATGTCAGAGTTGGTTTGTGCCAGAAAGCCTTGAACCAGCTTCACACCGAAAACCAGGGGACGGCTGGAGATGTAAACTAGATTTGTGGAACATTGAACCAGGCTGCTTTAGGCGCTGACATCTTTCTACATTTCCATTCAATGCCAAAGGAGTTTGTTTATCATGGACTGGGACACGTCAGGTCTGCAGTTTGCATTTTTCAGGGGGGCGGCCTTGAAACAGCATGGGTTTGGGCCGGCGTGAACTGTTGGAGAGACGTCAGAGAATGGAAGGACCCACACGGCAAACAAAGTGCGCCCTCAAACATTCACGTTGCATTTTCAGACAGTCCCCACCTGTTTATTGGTGGGAATGGGGTTTCTTGCGCAGGCGCAGCCAGTGCAACATGTGCAACCGGCGCAGCCGGTGCAGCCAGCGCCGGCAGCACACTTGGAGCAACAGCAGCCTGCAGGAACGAGGGAGGCGCACAGAGTGATTCAGCATTGGGCTGGGTGAGGGGCCCTACAGCTGGTAAGTACTGTTTTTATGACTGGCTGGCCGCATGTGGCATATTTTAGAATATACTGTAGCACTTAAGTTGTCTGATTGTGACGACAGGGTCAGACGCAGGCAGCTGCCTACGAACCCTCGTTTGACAGCACAGCTGAGGCCTGTGTTGCTCAACAAGATGAATGGGACCAAAGATGCTAGTCTACGTATTTCTGTCCGTTTGTGCTGTGAGCCGTCCATATATGGGCAATCGCTGCGACAATGCTGTGCACGTTTCTCATGCAGGCACAGCCGACACAACCGACGGTGCAACCGGCGCAGCCGCTCCTGCAAGACCCGCAGCCTGATGCACCGAGGGAGGCGCGCAGAGCACTTGAGCAATTGGGCGTGGTGAGGGGCCATACAACTGGCAATTACTGTGTTTTTGAACTGGTGGCCACACATTGCCAGGCGTATTTTGTACATGCATAATATATATATATATATATGACATCTTTAGTTTGTTTAGTGATGCTGGATCAGGATGTGGGTCCGTTCTTTAAGCCATCAGGGCACAGATCAGAGTTAGCCGTGTGAGTTAGGATGGGTTGATTGCAAACGGAATCATGTTGAAGGAATTTGTTTATCATGGACTGGAGAACGTCGGGTTTGCAGCTGAAGTTTTTTCAACAAGGCCTTGCACGGGTGTGGCCGGCTTGAAGGAGAGGCGTCAGAGAATGGAAGGAGAAAACAAAAAGCGGCAAACAAAATGCACCCTCAACCATGCACGTTGCATTTTCAGATGGCCCCACCTGTTTATTGGTGGGAATGGGGTTTCTTGCGCAGGCGCAGCCAGTGCAACATGTGCAACCGGCGCAGCCGGTGCAGCCAGCGCCGGCAGCACACTTGGAGCAACAGCAGCCTGCAGGACCGAGGGAGGCGCACAGAGTGATTGAGCATTGGGCTGGGTGAGGGGCCCCACAGCTGGTAAGTACTGTTTTTATCGCATTTGGCACATATTCAGAATGCAATTGGGTTGTCTGATCGTGACGACAGGGTCAAACACTTGCTAGTTTAGCCCCCTAGTGAAATTGAAGGTGTATGTGTGCGTGTCATTCTTGTGGCAAACCTTCAGTGCAAAGGTCGCATTGAGCAAGCTGCGCTTCCTCAGTAAGTCCCCAGCGTAGAGTTAGCGACGGGATTATTGCAATAACCTCTGTCAAACAAGCTTGTTGCGGAGGAAAGCCTCAACGTGTTGTGCCCGGATTCATTGATTTCGCGCGCTGGGCAACGACGCAGGCAGCTGCCCACGAACCCTCGTTTGGCAACACAGCTGAGGCCTGGATTGCCCAACAAGATCAATGGGAGCAAAGTTGCTAGTCTTTCTGTCCGTTTGTGCTGTGAGCCATCCGTATGGAAGGTGTGTATTTTTCGTGCAGGCACAGCCGACGCAGCCGGTGCAACCGACGCAGCAGCAGCCAGCACCGGCACCGCACTTGCAAGACCAGCAGCCTGATGCAGCGAGGGAGGTGCGCAGAGCACTTGAGCCATTGGGCGTGGTGAGGGGCCATACAGCTGGCAACTTCTGTTGCCAGGCGATTTTTGTTCAACTTGTTTGACCTTGATGACAGAACAAAACCCTTGCAAGTTTATAGAATCCCCGTGATGCTGGATGCGTGCGTGTGTGCGCTTGTGTCAGCAGGATGTGGGTCCGTTCTTGCAGCAATCCTTTAGTGCAAAGATCACATGGTGCAAGCTGTGCTTCATCAGTGAGTCCCTTGCATAGAGATAGCGATCAGCTGATTGCAAAAACATGTTAACATGGGTTATTTTGCGTGATCTCCTCGACGTGTGGTGCCCGGAATCATTGATTCCGCGCACTGGGCAATGACGCAGGCAGCTGCCTACAAACCCTCGGTTGGCAACACAGCTGAGGCCTGGATTGCTCAGCAGCATCAATGGGACCAAAGTTGCAAATCCACGTATGTTTGTCCGTTTGTGCCGTTCTTGTGGGTAGTTGCTGCAACTATGCGTTGCACGTTTCTCCTGCAGGCACAGCCGGCGCAGCCGGCGCAGCCGGTGCAGCCAGCACCGGCACCGCACTTGCAAGACCCGCAGCCTAATGCTGCGAGCGAGGTGCGCAGAGCACTTGAGCATTGGGCAGGGTGGGGGAGGATGAGACCAGGGAGGAAGCCAGCTGTGTCCCATCAGGGTGCTGTCCACCTAGAGCTGCCAAAGCTCGGTTTTTCACAAATGGCAACACAGCATTTGCGTGTTAAGATCCTGCCCCCTCGAAAATAGAATATGGCACGGGAGGGGTGTTTCCATCTGTCAGAATGGCGGGGCAATGCGTCGGCATCGCACACTAAAACCAAAATATTGCCCCCAAACACAACTGCAATATACACCTCCCCAGATATGGTTTTCCAATTTCCACTTCAGACCTCCCCAAAACCGCCCCAAGCCCGCACTCTCAATGTTCAGGCGCCGTTGTCATCCATTGGTTTTGAGGTTTCTGCCTTGGTTTGCCTTGCGTTGCTTTGTTCTAGGCTTCCCCCTTGCTTTTTTTGAAGAATGGGAGAGAAGGGGTGCAAGTTGCAGGAATGGGTGCAAAGCAGCCCCAGAAATGGAAGTGGTGGCTAGCAATGATCTAGCCCGGATTTGTAAGTAGCTTACAGTCACTGCAGGGACGAACGGATGGTTGCTGGTGAGATTTGTGACCAGCGATAATCAGGGCAAAGTGGGGTGAGGCATGTTTCGATCCTAGACCCCCCTCAAACAAAAACATACAAGGAAGGACTCACCGCTTTGACGAGAGGAGACTCGGAAGAGAAGAACGGCCAGCAAAGGAATCCTGGACGTGAATCCCCACCTGAATGGTGTTCACTACAGGGTCTCTTATTAAGATGTTCTACCCAAATCAAATGATCCAAAATGACAGGGTTTCCGAGCCATTTCTCTTGTTGGTGGCAATCGTTGCAAAGGAACCAGCAGCAGACTTCAACTTTTGACTGGGGGGAAATCCACTGACCCCTGCATATGAGAATGATCTTTCTGCGTTTCATGCTTTGGCCTGTCAGGAGCCTTCAGTGCGCGAGGCTGGGTTTCTCATTGTTGTAGCTCAGAGGCATGCCCCCTCCTTTCGTTCATTTGTTGGGAGCTGAGAGAAGTCCTGGCTGGTTAACCTTTTGAAAGCTTCCCACGTTGTGGGCTTATCCCAAAAGAGGATCACCCTCTAGGCCTGGTGGCCAGTCAGGAAGGCTTGCATTGGCCCAAAGCTAGGCCGTTGCGAGGGTCAAGCGCTCGAGATCGCATCTCGGGCCCCAAAGTTAACTGCCAGTCACCAGAACATCAATCGAAACGGCCGAAGGCAACTTTGGAGATGCTTGGATTTGCCGTCGGCCGGAATGAGCAGCTTAAGTGAACCGTTTGCAGGCCGTAAAGTGAATGACCGCACAGCCCCCCCCCCCATCACCCTCAGAGCAAGGCTCCCCTTGTAGAAGCTGGCTCTTGGCTTTCTGGGCTAAGGGACCTTTAAGCACCAACAGGAAAAGCCTTATGGCCCCACAAGTGATGCTTACACCTCCTAAAAGGTGAGGTTTATGGCCCTTTGCCAAGCATGACCCAACTGAATGTGGTTTTAACTTGCTTGCTATTGGGTAAGGACATAGTTAGACTCCAACTGTTTGCTTGAAATGCTTGGGGTTTTCCTTTGAAGCCACAAGAAGTCTTCAACTTCTGCGGAGGGATCGATCCGCGACACCAAGTTTTTGGGGGTTCCCAGTCACGCCTTCGGTTGCCTTCCGCGCCTTCGCCATGCTGGGCGCTGGTTTTGCATTGGACCCGGCCCCGCTCCCGTGCGCTCGAGTCGCCCGGCCACTGCCCCGCGGTGTGGCAGGCAGGGACCGCGTTTGCGGTAAAACGCCCCCTTTTTTGGGTGCGGCTTCTTTCTTTTTTCTTTTTTTTGGGGGGGGATATTTTGTTTGGTTGGTTTAAAAAGGGGAACCAAAAGGATTGAGAAGTCCACCTATATTGAGACACGCCCATATTCCCCGAAGTCACCGCAGGAATTGGTCTTGGCTCCAAGCTGAGCGTTTCAAGTTTCAATGTGCCACTTGCTTTCTCGCAACAGGGCACTTCTGTGTCGTTTCGGGTATTAAGGTGGATGCCTTATAGACCCAACTGGTCTTGGCTGGTGCTCCTGGCTTACGATGTTCTGTCAACATTTCCAGTAGGACTCAAAAAGCTGTTGCATAAAGACTGGGGGAAGTACTAGCTTTGCCATGTACTGGGAACCCCACTTGTTCATGACATATGGGTCATATGGGCTTTTTTAATATTTCCCTGTAATTCCAATTTCAGCATCGCGTCTTGGACCCATCGTCTTTCTTTCTTGCCCCTTGGGCAAATCGAGCTTTGATCTTTTGGTCCCCTTGATCCATTTTTAGCGGCCCCAGGTGATCGCCTTGGATTTTTCAGGTCCCCAACTGGCAACTGCGGTTTGGGAAGACCCTGTCGGTGGCAAAAGTTCACACTTCCTTCTGGCCAATCTACTCAACATGTAAGCACTGCCTCTTTAAAGTGATGCCTAAGGGGCGAATAAAGTGAGACCTACACCGACAGAAACGGCCGGACCGGCCAGCCGAAGCGTTTCCACACGTGAGGTGGCAAGGCCGCTTTCGCCTTCTCGAGCCTCGGAGTGATGCGTTTCTGGGTTTTCAAGCTACTTTGGAGGAGTAGATGTATGTAATTTATAGATATACATATATGTATACATGCCTCTACACATATATTTATGATTTCCCATGATTTTGAACCGCTCTTTGCAATAACCGCAGGCTCGCCTTTAATGGGCCGAAAAGGTGACCCGAAAGATGAACCTTTTTCCAGGTCCTTAGGGGCAGAGAAATCAATCTCTGTCCCGGAGCCTCGGCAAGCAAGCTGGTTTCTTCATCAGGTTTCTTAAGGACTTGGTTCCTGAAAATGGATGGTCACGTGTCCAGGCTCCTTTGCATACTATCTCATGCTCTTTTGATTCTTTTTGTTGAGCCAGAAAGTTTGGAGAGTCACAAAGGGGTTCAAGCACCGCGGGCTTACACCGTTCCATTCTTGCTTTAGCGAGTAAACCAATCGCAATCCACCGTACATCACGGGTTTTCCCTGCAAATGACCCGCAGGAACACAAAAAGGAGATTGCCCCAACATGGCATCGCTCTAAAAGTTGGTGAGCCGTCGGGTTTTATGGGAATGTGCACAAGGGTGTACTTCATTGCAATATACGTCTAACAGTAGTTCTCTAGTGTGTTCACCCAACCTTCTTTGGCAAGCCCAGACATGTCGTAAGGATTGCGTCCCATCCTATGAAAAGACGGATCCGTGGAAAGAATGGAGAAGAACGGCTAGAAAACTTGTATTCTTATGAGTGGTAATGACTGTTTTGGGGATAGGCGGGGGGGGGGGCTCTACAAACCTCTTTGTCTCTCTTAGAGTGCGTAAATCAGTAACATGATGACGTTTGCTTACCCTTTTGAAAGTGCGCGTACCCTGAAATGACTCCGCCAACGGCCCACGGCAGTTTTTAACCCTGAACCAAGCATGTGCATTTGTTCTGGCCGCTGTCGACTCTGGATGTGGGGCTTCCCAGCCATGTGGCCGGAGTGCCCATGATATACGTGTCATATGGAAGTCGCCCCAAAGGTCCTTGCAGTTAGAGATTTGAAGGAGAAGCGCTCCGTCTTATGTGCTGTCCCGCTAAAGCTCCGAGTGGACCTTGCGAACGTGGTTGCTTCGCAGAAGTTGTGTGAACATTTGCCCCTCGAGAGCCCGCGATGCATGCAAAAGCTAGCAGCATTTCCTGGAACAAATCGCCCCACGCCCAGCATGCATCCGCATCTGCACCGGCAGTAAGTAATATACACATATTATAAACGTTGGTATATATGTGTCAATGCACGCTGCACTGGGTATATCAACGAATCAATCAGTGCTCAAAATGGCCATCAGCAAAAGGTCACTGAGTTGCTGATGGGAATTTAAATAGCACCTGAAGCCAGGGCATGTGCAAATGCACATGTATGTATATGTATACATATGACGATAAAGATATGCAAGCAACGGCCTGTAACACATGTATTTAATGCGTATATAGATAAACGGACACCTAAACAAACAAGCATAAGCACATAAGCTTCATACATGCATTTATATATCTATATACATACATGCACATGTACATTATATTCAGATATATCTTGTTGTCATGTCAGCGTACCTACTCCGTTCCTTGGTGAAGCTTTCAGCGCCTTAGGCCGCCTTGGGACCGCCTCGCTTGCGCGGGCGCCGGCGGTTTCTACGCCCTCAGCGGTGGCTTCCGCCGCCGCAAAACGGCCGCGCGATCGCGGCGGTGGAGGCAGCCGAAAGAGGTGCCTTCGAACGACGTCAACTCGTCGGTGGGAATGTGGCCAGATCGAGTGTACCCTTGGGGTACCCATGGATTTGACTTGATTGCTAGTGGGTAACGGGTCTTTAGACTTTAACTTTTTGGTTAGTTTCCTTATCGATGCAGTAAGAGTCCCCTGGTTGGGCGACCTTAACCTGCTCGTGTACTTCCTGTTCTGCTTTTGCCTGGGTCCAAGGAACAGGCCTTGGGCCTTCTGCAAGAAGCGTCCCCCACAGCAACCCCCCACATCAGCTGCCCAAAAACGGATCAAGTCCAGATCAGAGTCCAAGAGTCCCAAGGAGCCATTCCAATCCCCAAGCCGTCGGGCACAAGCCCAAGCCAAGACGTCTGGCAGGATGAAGGATTGGCGTGGAACATGTTTCCAGCTTTGCGGCATCAATTGAAACGGTTTTTTGGTGCTTGATGTAGGGGGAAATCCCGCAAAAAGGACATAAGGAAGCAACTTCACTGGATGTTTGGACACGAAGGGAAACCACGACTTGGTTGCTGCAAGGACCCCTCTGTAAAACGTGAAAATCACTTTTTCCAGGCTCAATTTGGAAAACCCTAAGGATTTCCAATGGGGCCACCGCCCCGTGAAAAGGAACTCCCTCACTGGGGAAACACGCCCTTTGAGTCCGCGTGAGTGGTTTCTCGGGCCATCCCGTTGCATCCGCCAGCTTGGAGGTTGAATGGATCTAGGTCTAACCGGCCCTCCATGATCAGGTCATCAACATGCATTGCAATCATCATCCCTTCTACATCAGTTGAACAAAGACTTCCATGCCGCAGGGGTCCGTCCGTTTTTTGGGAGAGGAGTTCATCCCCTAACCTTTCTATTCAAACTTTGATTGTTTTCCCGCGACTTGCGCCCTTGAAGAGAAGGGGCTCTTTCAGCCAGTGATAGCATCCTGTGGAATATTTCCTTCAGACACCGGTTTTTCAGGGAGCTTCCGAACAGCTCGCGAATTTATCCCGGTAGGAACTCTACTGCCTCATCCAGGGAAAGCTAGGTCTGACGTTTATAGTCAAAACGCAACATGTGCTTGGGGTTGGCATAGCAACAAGCTTCTTCCCCGAAGCGATTGCTTGCAAGGTTCTATCTTGATTCCATGAATTCTGGTAACCATTGATTGGTGGTTTGGCTTTGTGGTTTGGGGATGGGAACCCTCGGTTCTTGTAAAGGGTAAATGGGAAACTACGCCCTAACCACAAAACCACAAACTAGAGGGAAGCTGATTACTTCCAGATCTTGATTGTGCAAGCAACCAGTTGCCACAGCCTTCTACAATGAGGATGTTGGTTCAAGACGTTTGCCCCCAAAGCACCAAGTCCCCCGAGCCCCCTCCCCAACCCCCCAGACCCAAGTTCCATAGCCGTCCCTGTTTGTTCCACTCCCTCGTTGGAACAGCAAAGGGCCACCCCAGTGAAGAAGCGGTTCATGTTTAAGATGTGCCCTTGCTGCTGCCCTTGTGCTTCTTGTTTCCCCCTCAAATTTACGGAGCTGAACACGATTCTCAAGGTGGTTTTTTTGTTGCGTTGCCTTTTTACCGCTGGGGGGGGGGGGCCTGCAAAGAACACTGGTAAATCACATAAACTCATTTGCCACAGGTTGGGACTAAGCGTCACTCAAAAACATGACATGGCGTTGTGCTCCCC